TCAATGACGCCAATTTATTTGCAATAATAATAATGTTTTGATGTCGCTTCGCGTTTTCCAAAGTGTTTCACTCAATCACTCCATTCGTTCATTCATAGACAGTGGGTCTTCAGTTACTAACTGTCATACTCTCAAGTGAACGTTCAATAATATGACACTTTATTTTGAAAAGCAGACACAGGAGTGCAGATAAGTCTAGCCAACTCTGCGCGCAACACACACAATCACACCGAACTCACCTTTCTGCTTTTCAAAATAAAGTGTCATATTAAGAGTACATCTCTTTATTAAACTTTTTTTTGCTAACTAGCGAGACTTCGATGTCCCCCGTCGGAGGGCGATAACACTTTGGCGGGCTATGGATTCATACTTTATTGAAGACATACTTGATAGGATTCCAGCTCCAGCGATCCCTCTTTATCGGTTTGGACACCAACGAAAATGGACAGTTGTTGGGAAGGTTAAGGGAGTAGTCTTTTTCAAATCCACGTGGGTCCATATACATGATGATGGTCTTTAGAGTGGTACATTGGGACAATGTTGTGAGCCAGGCCATTGACATTTCTTGGTGACCTTGTAATTGTCGCAGTTCCAATCGCACAAGACTCTTGCTAAACTGTAGTGCGTTGACTAGTATTTGAAGGACCACCTCCTCGTCAGCGCCATCAACTCGCAAGTATCGCAGTTTAGTGTTGGACGAGAAGAATTCATGTGTGTCTGGCCGATATTCACCTCGCAAGTATTCTTTGTGGTCGAGCTTGATGTGCAATCTCTCGATGGTGGACGGTGTGTTTATCTTGAGGAAGTACCATAACTGGTCAAACTCGTTGACCGCATGCGATGGTATCCTCTTCCAAACAAAAGACTTGACCGAATCTGGAATAAGGAGGAGGTATCTATCCACATCTGTCCTGTCAAATCCTTCGTCATTCATCATTGGGAAGGACATTGACAGGTGCTCAAGTGTGTTGCTCTTCTCCAACCTGTCCAGGAACACCTGATCCTCTGTGTAGTATGAGCCGAGATCCAGCGACCTCAGGGTGTCGCTGCTCTGGATGACAAAGTTTGAGAGATTGTCGTGAAACATGTGCTGCGCGCTTTCATCACTGTGGCCATGAGCATTGACACTAATCGAGAGATGCTTCAACATCGTGAATCCATTGAGGAATATGAAAAACTGTGTCAAGTCATCACGATGCAAGCTACAACTATAAAGTTTTAAAGATTTGATGTGTCCAAAGTCATAGGGGCCACCTTTAGGGAACGACGAGATGATTTCCCAATCGTTGCCAACCATATTAAAGAGAGATCGATCGATTGTAATGTTCCTGAGCGATTTCTTGTCCTGGATAAAGGTGAACAATGCGCCCAGGTCTAGAGTGTTGCGGTTGCGATCATAGTTCTTGCTCTTGACTACCATAGTTGTGAGGTTGTCGCACTTTGAGTGCAGCCAGTCGAATACCTGCGTTAACGTCGTGTTGTTATCGAACCATTGATGGTTGGTGAAGTAAACGATGGTCAACTGCTCCGTGAAGACCATTCTCTCGGTGATCGCCTTGATGATCTTGCTCTCCCAGCCATCGACATATTTGCCAAAGATGATACCACTGGCTGCCAGAGTGTATCTGTTGTTGCTGTCAGGATCATTGTCATACCTGCACTTCCACCTTTCAACATGTCTATGTGAGTCGTCGTCCGGTTTGTTGCTGGCCGCCTGCTGTAGCTCAATCATATTGTCTAGCTCTGGACGGAGGTAGGTGATAATGATATGTCGTGTTGAGACAATCGTATTAGTCTTCCAAAGTGAGAAGCGATTGTTGAAGGTATTGACAAGCCAAGACTCATCAAAAACTAAATGCTTTGGGTCATACAACAACTTGAGATTGATGCTGTACAATGATCTGGATATGAAGCGGAAGTGTGACCATGAGAGTGTAGACAGCTGCAATCTCCAGATATCATCAACATCATCTTGCCAACAGAACAGTATGATCCTAAATTGTACTTGAAGAGGTAGATCATTCATAGAATGAATAATATAATTATCTATTTGTTTGAACCATATTAAGTAAAATGAAAAACAGTTTATATATCCAAACACAACAGACACTTTGGAAACTGATTTTTGTTGAATCAAAAGATATTTAGTTTAAATAGAGATAATAATACAATTTCCTTAATAACTAATAATAATAATAATAATAATAATTTTAAATGATTGATTGGCTAGAAGTAGACACAAGTGTGTCGAGTGCGGTGAAAAAGGGGAGTCTGCATTTCCAATCGAATGTCAAAATCATGTCAATGAAGATCAAAAGGTAACATCTCCACCAACACAACTGGTACCCCGATCCTCTCCAAAGGTAAGATATTGCCTCGGGTGTGTTTGCTATTGACCATAAAAAAAATTTAATGTACTCTTAATATTATTGAACGTTCACTTGAGAGTATGACAGTTAGTAACTGGAGACCCACTGTCTATGAATTAACGAATGAAGTGATTGAGTGCGCGAAGCGACATCAAAACACTTTGGAAAACGAATCATTCGACTCTGGAAGTTCCTCATGATACAAAAAAGTGAGGATCAAGCATTACTAACTGTCATACTCTCAAGGTATGTCCTCTTGGTTACACCAATCATTATAAATATAAATAAATAAGTTTATATTAGATTCGTTCATTCATAGACAGTGGGTCTTCAATTACTAACTGTCATACTCTCAAGTGAACGTTCAATAATATTAAGAGTACATCTCTTTATATTAAAGACAAAGAACAAAAAGGTTTTATCGACTGTGGGGATCGAACCCACGACCCTAACCGTGTAAAGGTCATGTGATAACCAACTACACCAAGTCGACATGTTTTTTCTTTATTGTCCTCCCGTATTTTGTTCCGGAAAAATTTTGCAAAATTGAAGGGTATGTTATTTAAATCTAAAATATTTCCTCAATTACTACCTTTAAGAATTAACTAAATTATTAAACAAAGAATAAATATTATTAATATTATTTTAATATGATTTTAAAATAGTAATAATCGAATGATTGAAAACGAAACATTCGTCAACATTCACACTTAGTCCTCTCAACTTCATACGACAAATCGAACTATCATCAATATAATATACATACAGAACAGGCATTCATTCACATTGCAATGTCTATTCGAAAGCAGAACAAGGTCAACTACTTTAGATTAAAGGTATGTGTTCGAAGGACTGATTAAACAATCATATTCTCCAACATGGCATGCCTCCTCTTACACCACTCATATCCACTCATATCCATTCAATATAAATACAGTGGTCTGAACAAAAGGAGACCTTTAAGCTTCACGATCAACACTCGACACATCATGCCAAACCATTGTCATCACAACCAGTCGAGGAGAACCTGACACTGACTGTGTTTGTTCAATTGTTGGTGTCGAAGCGACCAGGTGACAATGACAAGGGTTTGCGATCAATGAGCAAATTGATCAGAGACGAGAAGGAGAATCCAGACAATGTCAGTTGTCCAACAAACTTTCAGAATCCAGTACTGGCGCCACTATTCCAATATCTAAAGCAGTCGCCTCAGTGTATCGAGTTGTTCAACTTGTGGGCATTGTACACTGATAAGCCCGACCTCTATGTCGATGTCTTTAGTCATCTGCTAGAATTGATTGCAATGGTCATCGTGATCAATGATGACCCGACACTGGCACGAGTCAACAAACATATTACCGAGACCATAACAGAGAAGAATCTGGCCAGTCTAGTGTCGACCGTCATGGCCTACGAGACCAATGGCAACATATCCCTGTCGATCAACACATTCCGTGTGCTGTCAGCACTCGTACAGTACTCTGTTAGGTTGGCCAAACTCATCCAGTCCAAGTTCCCATTCAATGCGCCGGCCTTTGAACAGTCATTGAGTGACATGTCGGCATTGGGTGCCTACCACGGCACAAGACCATTCGTCATCCGTTTCATCTTGGCATTCTTTAAGCATCAGAACTACAAGTTGACAACATCCATCGTGGCCAGCCGCAACATATTGAATCTAATATTCAACAAACTCAACTATGACCATCATTATGTCGTGTTGGACGTGATTGAGGCAATGGACAAGCATGTACTCAAGCCCAACTTGATGTCAAGACATGACCGACTTAAACTGTTCACTGGACAGTTCCTCACAAGAGTGACCATCGCCTTTGCCAAAGAGGACATGCCAGATGATGTACGCGATGCCATCGCCACATTCCTCACCATCCTCTGCACGTCGTCCACACATGGCATGGCCCCATCGGACCCCCGCTGGCATTGGTTCCGCGACGACCAGGACGTTTGCAACGAGTCAACATTGATATTCAACGTGCTGTCAAGTCTTGAGCCACACAAGTTCCAACAACATCATGCACTGTTCATCAAGATCATCAACTCGTGTCCAGACCTGTTCTTTAAATTTGACCTGGTGCACCCATCACTCAACATGCTCTGGTTCAACAGGAGTGCGATGTTTGTCAAGATCCTGATGACCACTGTTCCGCGCCAGCCACGCAGTGGCACGTTGCTACTTGGTGGCATCCCGTCGTCGCCGCTCACACTCATCTCGATGCTCATCCCGCCACACATGTCCAACTTCAACTTTGGTTTCGATCTCTCGCCATTCGTCACGTACAATCAATCATTGATCTATCTACTATGTCTACGTCGTGTCAACTCTGTTATTGCAGAGATGACTCAAATGGCCGACTCAACGACGACGACCACAGCAACAGAGTCCTACACTGGCGCAGAGTTGGAATCATTCATTGGAGACCTCAAGCAGGGTATCAAAGAGCGTATGTTGCCATTGTTATACTTTAAGGACAATGCCAAGCAGTTCAAGGTTACACCATTGGTCTATGCACAGTACATCTCGATATTGGCCGAGTACACCAAGTTCTTTGGAGTCAACGAGTTCCTTCCCATTCGTCTCTTTGATCTTGACATGATCCAACAATCCGATGCCCTCGTCCAAAAGCATTTCATCCACATCCTCTCCACATCCAAGACCTTCCAACGTCCATCCCAGATATTCACCAATCTAACAGAGAACAATGGTATGTTTGATTGACTGATGGGATAGATCCAGGTACTAACTTTAACATCAACTTCAATCACTTAGAGTCAATATTCACATTGGTACTCAGATTATATTTGAGATGTAGACAGAGTGCGTTGAGATCAATGTACCATCAGTTGTTGTACAAGTTGTTGTCGATCAATAACTTCTTTGCTGGCGTGGATCATGAGATTGATTGTTGGATTGAGAATGTGGACTGCGCACAATCATTGCCATTCTTTGTCAATGTATTGCACGAGATCAACAACAACAAGTTCAACTATTTAGATATATGCCAACGTGTTGCACATTGTCTAAATGGTGGTGGATCAAACGACTCTTTGGTATCACCAGTATTGATGGCTGCTATATCATTGTACCTGTCCATGTCAACGATTGATGATCAGGTATCATCATACCTGGCCAAGGTCTTGGTGTCTATTGGATCAAACTCGAGCAGTGCACAGACAATCATGGCGTTGATTCATCTCCTCCATCAAAAGAAGACCATTGGATCAGAGTTCTCGGTACTCGACACGCTGAGACAGTCGCCCACCAAGGCCCAGTTGTTGAAGCAACCAAAGGACTTCAAACTTGGCAACACAATTATGGACAACGTATACCAATTCCTCGTTATCCAGGCGAGAGATGGCGACCAACATATCACCCAGGACGATAAATCAGTGATCAATCAATCTGGCATCTTGGTGGACAATGTCAATGTGCAATGGAAGCATTTGAGCGAGAAGGACACAATCAACATACTCAAACATACACCAATCATTCAGATACTCTCACATCTGTCAGTGTCGAGCACAAAGGATGTTGGAGCATTGTTTGATAGATGTGCCGCACGAATGATCATTGCCAACAATATTGAGCAACTTCCACCTCGTCGCATGGTCTCGATCATACCATTGATGACACAACTGGTAGCTCAACATATTGGATCAGAGACGATATCTCAGTTCCACTTTGATCTGATATCAATCATGTTTGATACATTGATCTCGACCAAGTCTGCCAAGGCCATCAAGCTTGCCGACGACCTACTTCAGAGCGCTGTCATTAGCAAGAGATGGGCGTCGGCGCCCGTCACCCAGCTGCTCATGCAGTTGCTGATGAGCAATGACGAGCACTGCTTCAACGTTGCAAGACAGCCAGCCAGCGCCATCATCACACAGTTTATCCAAGATCTAAAGTCGTCCAAGCACACCGAAGTCGTGCCCGACTCTTTCAAGGCCATTCAATCAATCATACCATTCGTGGACTTTGAGACCTGTCTTGACATCATGCTCCATGTGTCGGCCAGCACTCAGAAGTCGCCACAGCTTCACAAACTCTTTGTCCTCATGCTGCACACCCTGTCCCAGTTCAGTGACTTTAGGTCGTGCCAGCCATTGGTCGAGACATTGTCACGCTATCAACTTGATGTCGTCATCCCAGAACAGTTACTGATGTTGACCAACAACACTCAATCCAGTCAGCACAGAGTGCACTCGACAACTTACAACAATGATCAATCAGTGGCAACACAAAGAGTTGGACTGTACAAGTTATTGCGAGATACTATGAAGATCAACGTTGATGCTATTGTTGGTGCTGCCACTCTTGACAATGCCATACTACATCTACTACTGTCATCTTTGGCCAATCCATCAGTGTACCATCATGCCACACTTGTTAGCATCATGTGCGAGAACAACTTTGCCAGTCTCACCGCAGCACTCACTCAACGACCAACCGACGCGAGATTGATGATGGCATCCATCGTCCTGCTAAATCTTGATACAGTGCAAGCTCAAAGATTGATCGAACACATTGCCGAACAACAACAAACACTCAAGGCCATGCTCTCCAGCAACAGCAAACAGTGCTCAACTACCAACATCATATCTTCACTCTATTGTCTGTTTAGACAGTTCATGAACAGTCCATGTGCTGGCATGACAGAGTCGATCAAGGTCATTGCCAAGTCAATAAGTGTAGACTTGTTTGATTTGTACAAAAGACATGACATCCTGGCCTCATCATCATCGACGACGACGCACAGCAACAGCAAACAGTTTATCCGAATGGCCATCCAACTTGTTCAGTTCCTCTTTAAGCAACTGGATCATCAATCGATTGATGTTGGATCACTGTCCTCCCCTCTTCAGATTGTGTTGACCCCCCAGATAGACTCTCGAGTTGGTCAAGCAGCCAAGCTCTACATCAACAACCTCAAGCAATGTCTCAAGGACATAGAATCGCCACTAGTCGACACTCTCTACACAGAGCTGTTTCCAACGTATTCTCCACACATTTCAAACGGTGACTGTCTGGACATTGTAAAGTTGTCACTAAAGACACCAGACACTACCAACCTCGCACTATTGGTCAAGATGATGGAGCTCAGATCCAAGGATGATGTCAAGGACATTGGTAACCTCATCCACTCAACACTCCTTGGTACTGGTAGTAAGATGACCGTCCATGTCTGGAGCGTACTGAAGGACTCTGCCAAGAGGGACTCAATCAAACGGTACCTGATGGTGAGAATACTCTACAAGGTCTACTTGATGAACACTGATCTTTGCGACAATGGACAACATTTGGATCATATATTCGAAGCGTATGGTGCCACAACTCATCCAGTCGACTGTCTACTGTACCGCATCATCTATTTGCATCAGGTTGCCAATCCCGACTTGACCGAGTCACGCATTGGTCGTTGGGGATCAAACTACTCTGACAACATGAGCTTCAACAACATGTTGATTACCAACACATTGTTCAATGACAAGCTGTTGGAAGCCAGTGTGCAACGCTTCCCAATGGAAGCCAAGGCCGACATGACCCAGGAGCTGCCCCTCCTCAACCTGGACATCTATACTCAGAGTTTGACCACACAGACCTTCAAGTACGACCCGGCCTTCCTCCTGCGTCTGTTCAAGTCGTTGTTGGCCACTGCCAGCGAAGACTCGCTCAATCGTGGAGCATTCTACACCAATGGTCCATTGGCATTCACTCTGTCGGCACTCTCGTCACAGGATAAACCGATCAGAAAGCTTGCACACAATGTGTTGGAGCGATTCACTCTGTTGCTTGACCAATGGAAGACTGCAAGTCGTACAGCCAAGGACCAGCTTCGTGTTCTAAAGGTCATCAAGCATAGTCTAAAGTCCAAGGATCAACATGTACCTCCACTCTACACAATGTTCTTGGTCAGGACCATACCATTGTTCTCCAAAGATGCATCCATTCATCCAGTTCTCCGTTTTGAGATATTGACCTACTTCCAGAATATCCAAAAGATGGACTTTGGTGTAAGTTCTCCGTACAATGAATGATCAATCAATCGATCAATCTAACAATCAATTCATACTCCACTCCATAGTCAATCCCATTCATTAGCAACCTTGCAGAGTTCACCAAGAGCAAGTTCATTTATTGGATATTGGATACAATCAATCAATCATTGCCAGATAGCTCGGTATGTTATCAATAATACTTCCCAACCCTGGAACAATCCCACGCAATCATACTAACTTACCATATCTACATCAATAAAATAGAGCGAATATATTATCAAGAAGAAATTGAAGTTGGCAGATTTGTTATCATTCTTTGATAGCCAAACGACAAAGACAAAGATGAAGTTAAAGATTATCGATCTGTTGACATCTTTGGCAAAGTCTGGTGCAATGATATTGGTCAACAATGGATTGTTGCCATGGATGACAAACATCATCTCCAACGGCAGTATCTCCAAGCAGGTGTTCCAGTCCATCCTATCATTGCTTCAAGTCACCCTTGAGAACATCCCATCCTACTGCAAGGACTTCTCTGAGGCCACATCCATCTGTTTCTACCTCTTGGACTATATTCGTAAGTCATCCAATCACAAAGACCTGGAAGCACATCATCATACCATACTCACTCGCATTATCAATCAATCACATTTAGTGTCCATCGATTGGGTCAAGAATAGCAATGAGTTTATGGACATTATCATGTCGAGTATGAAGTGTCTTGTTTGTGCCCTTTCAAGCAATCACTCAATGGTATCCATTCCATTGGACAAGGTACAGAGATTGGTGGCCAAGTTGGAATCAGTGCCACAAGCCAACACTGAGTTGTTTGAGTTGGTCGTCCGAGTGATCTCCCTCAACCCAATCAGAAGCGTTGCACATCGACACCAAGCTCACAATGCCAGAGACATTGGCTGCAGTGGTCCAGGTGGTCAMAAGCAGACGATGAACTTCACCATGACATGTGTCTCCTCCTCCGACCTTGTTGTGGCCGAACTGAGCCAGCTCTGGGTGGTTAGCAGCTTGCTAAAGTGGATCCAGAACCTGCTGTTGGCCAACTTTGCCTTTGCCAAGCTGTTCTCCCAGGAGGTCGTCCACCAGCTCTGCTCGATGGAGAGATCGATGGCCTTGCGTCATGAGCATCCACGTATCAACCTTGTTCGCATTGTCAACATTCTGGTCATGTCCACTCACCAGCAGATGGCTGGCGACAAGGCATACTTTTTGGATGTTAACACATTACTACATCCTGCCACCAACTTCAACTTGCCACTCGTGTCATCACTGGACATGAACAAATATGAGCAAGTGCTCTCGACCATTCGTCAATCATTGCCAACAATGTAGGACACCAAGGTTTAGAATAAATCAAGACATTATATATATATGATATTTAGTCGTAGTATCTTTCACAACTGCCAAGGAGAGTCTATCCCAGTGGCTGTGGCTGTGGCTGTGGCTGTGCATGTTCCTGTGACTGTTGCTGTTGCGGCTCTGGCTGTTGCTGTGGCTGTGGCTGTGGCTCTGGCTTTGGCTGCTGTGGCTGTGTCTGCTCCTGTGGCAGTGGCTGTTGCTGTTTGTTCTTCCTCTGGAAGAATGATGATATATCAGATTGATTCAATATTGCTACTGATGGTTTGTCCTTCTCTTTCTCCATTTCCATTTCCTTTTCCTTCTCCCTCTCCTTCTCTTTATTCTCCTTCTCCTTTCTATTCTCTGTGAATGTTTGATTGATTGATTAGTGACCAATGCATTGGCTATGGCTGAATGACACATACCCTCCAAGACCTTATCCCTCCATTGTTGATAATTATCATCCTTAACCTTCTTGAATGCTAGTCTCTCCTCTTCAACAGTCATTGATCCATCGTTCATTGGTGGTGGCACTTTTGATTGACTATGCCTAAGTGATTTTGTTGACGTTGTTGATGTTGTTGATGTTGTAGTAGTACTTGGCTCAGTGGTGCCACTTGAAGGTGGTGTACTATCCTGTGAACTTGGTTGCTTGTTATCCAGACTGGACCTCACTCTCTTCTTTGGAGGTGATGTCTTGCCTGTAGGACTGAGAGGTGGAGGTAGTTTGAGTACAAGCTTTGGTGAGGTTATAGGCAATGGTCTGCCAGCATAACAATGTTCTTGAATCGATCCAACAATCTAGATTGGGACAGTCAGTTAGTCAGTCAGTGAACAAGGAGCCAACATCCAGCAGTGACTTACTCTATCAAACTCGGCCTTTGAGAACTTGCAAATGTCCAAGAACTTTATCTGTGATATATATATCTAAAGGTAATAGGTAGGTAGGTAGGTAGGTCCAGGTTAGTTAGACAGCCAGCCCATCCAGCCAGCCAGAATTACAACCAGCCATCCATAGAAGTATTGTCCCTACCATGTTTTGTTGTGTCATGACATAGAGTGCTGAGCAAGTGTACTCCACATTGGCCAGATCCAATTGATTTGCTGTTGCACCAAGATTACTCTTGTATCTGTTGGTGTGTATAGACATCCTGATCAGTATTGATTGATCCGTATTGATTGAATGAATGAATGACAGACTTACAGAGCCAACAAGTTCAATGTCTGTTCCACCAGTTCAGTGTGTGACTTTAGTTCTGGAAGCATCTCTATCAACTCTGGAACACTAGTATGTCGTCTAGTATTATTGTTAGTGAGATGCCAGTGTAGTATTGGTCATGTTAACATACTGTATACTAAGTATATTCTGAAGGTTCCTAACAGCCAGATAGAACAACTTGTCCGTCGTACCACATTGTCCAATGAGCTTTGGCAAGTCCAACTCCTTCAATATATTCAATCTAAAGTTGTCAAGAGTAAGTATGTAAGTCATGTAATGTTGATTGATTGATTGATTGATTGAGTTTGACCATCATCATACGTTTGGTAGGCCAAATATACACAAGCAGTTGGTTTACATATCTCACACTAGTAGATGTCATGGCCCCATATTAGTTAGTAAGGTTAGACCAGGTAAACAAGATGTATACATACACCACCTAGACCCTGTGGCTGTCTAATAGTTGCCTTCCTCATCAACTCTTTTGCCTTGTTGATGATACTCTTCTTCTTGATACCCAATGACTTTGCCAACTCGCTGAGTAATGTTTCAACATCACCATACTCCATTATCTAACTATATATCTTGTGTTGTATATATAAATATATAAATAGAATGAATGAATGAAAGAATGAATGAATATATATGATTGATATGAAAGTGATAGAGAGAGATAGATAGAGATGAAAAGTAAAAGACAAGGTCAAGTCAATAGATTGACTTTGTGAGAGAGATGCTAAAGACACCAAAGTCAATAAATTGATTGACTTTGTTGTGAATAATAAATAATGTCCATGAATGAATATATTATTCAATCAATCAATCTTTAACCATGGATGGTTGTTGTTTATCTTTAAGTTTTGTGGATTTGGGTTTAAGGACAATGACGTCCTCTCAAAAATGATGAATACTCTTTGATGCCACCTGCCCACGGGCTCAGCAATAGTAAAAGGCGATTGGAGCGTACGTAATGAGCAGATGGCAGAGCTTATCTCTATCCAATACAATAATAAATCTTTTATTTGATTGATCTTCCAACACAAATTATGGGATTGAGTGTTTTCATTCAAAAAAGGAGGGAATCAATATTTCAATTTGAATATTCAAATTCAAAATGACAGTTTGATACCCTTCGAGGAAACAAACATTAAGTAATACTATTATTATTGTTGTTGTTGTATTAAGACAGTAAGATAGATATGGATAGATTTCTCATTGTCAAACCATCTAATAAGACAACAGTGTCATCTGCTGCTGTTGTTGACACCAATGATTCCAAAGCACCTCCAGTGGCAGCGACAACAACAATAACATCGTCTACAGTAGGATCAGACAAAGAGAATCAACCAGATAATAAGATTCAATCACATTCTAGCAAGACTACCACAACAACTCAACAGCAGGACAAGAAGACGACTACAACACCACAACAACCTACAACTCCAAAGAAGAAGAAGGCACCTGCCGCCACACCAAAGAAGTCAAATGCTTTTGCGAACAAGTCAACTACATCCACTACCGCGACAACTACCACTCCCGCCGCTGCCGCCAACACCTTGTCATCGACAACATCACAGACTCAGACTCAACAACCACAAATGCAACAGACATGCCTATCATTCTTCTTCAAGCCATTGTCCAGTAATGATGAACCTGTGTGGAAGTACTTGTTTGAGAAGGAGGCAGCTGATAGGGCTGAACGTGAGAGGTTGGAGAAGGAGAGACAGGAACGTGCAATGGAGGAGTTGCGTGTGAAGAAGGCAGAGGAGAGGAAAAAGAGACTGGAGATCAAGAAGATAAAGGATGCAGAGAGACGCAGAAGAGAGGAAGAGGAGTGGCAAGAGTATCAGATGATTCAAGAAAAGAGGAACAAGGGTGTGGAGATCATACCACATCTCTATCTGGGTTCATTCGTCGCCGCCAAGAATGTCGAGTGGCTCACCAATCAAGAGGCACCAATCAGCAAGATCATCAACGTCACCACAGAGATAAAGTGTTACTTCACCAAGGGCAAGGACACAACTGTCGTTGTCCAGGAGGATGATGATGAAGAAGAGGATGAGGATGCCGAGGATGAGGAGGATGAGGACGAGGATGCCGAGGATGAGGACGAAGATGTGGATGTGGATGCGGTTGATGAGGCTGCCAAGGATGTAGTCGTCAGCGATGAGCCACAGACGACCGTGTCCATGGATGGCCAGCCAAAGGATCAGTCCAAGGATGATGTCGTGATGATCGATGCCACCACTGTGGCGCCACAAAAGGATAGTGAGCAAGACGCCATGGTTGACCAACCTCTCACTGATCAAGCCAAGGATGTCGAGGAACAGCCACAACAACAGCAACAACAACAACAAGTAGAGGAAGAAGAGCCAATGAAGGAGGAGGAGGAGAAGGAGGTGGAATTGGTAATTGATTACCTCAGAGTACCTGTGGCCGACAGCTCAAGAGCACAGATAGAACAATACTTTGATCAATCTTGTGTGTTCATTGAGACTGGAATCAAGAGTGGCGCCAATATATTGGTACATTGTCAACAGGGCAGGAGTAGATCACCGACCATCATCATTGCCTACCTCATGAAGTGCTGCAACTGGACATTGGAGCGTGCATGGACAGTGGTCCAAGAGAAGAGTCCAAAGACTCTAACAGTCAACGATGGCTTCAAACAAAAGTTAATGGCACTGGAGCACTCGATATTCAAGACAAACTCAAACGTTGAATGCTTCCTCAATGGACGCACTACTACTGCTGCTGGCCATAATGATAGCGCCACTGGCGGTGAGTCCCAGAGGTCGTTGCGCGCAAAGGCCCTGACCGACATTAAGAACAGACGTGCCAATGGCTCGAATGCTCCACCCGTCAAGCCTGTCGACACCTATGATGACTGTTGCGTCGAGGATGAGGATGACGCAGATGCTGATGGTGATAAGCTCATCAGCACATTGGATGATCTAAAGGTAGTCAAGCGCAGGAAAGAGTAATGTTGTCGATTATGATGTTGTTGCTTGTTTGAGTGAGGGAGAGTGATCAAGAGGGACAGTGAATGTCCTTCTTACTCTCTGCCTCACCGAGTTGGATAATGCTGCTTGCTGAATAAACTCTATCTTTTAATACAAATGGTTATGGTTGTTGTTGTTGTTGGGTCCTAGAGGTTGTCCAGGGTCCAGCAAAGCCCCTGAGCCTCCAGTGGGGGAGGGTTGTCGTCCAGCAGCGTATGATGATGTAGGTGGAAGTGGTCGTCGGGTAGCCATCCAATCCTTACTTCTTGGTTCTCAACCATTTGAGACAGATGATCAGAGTGATGATCGCCAGTAGGAGGAAAATGATAAACAGTAGTATGATCTTGTTGGTGGCCACACGTCTTGCCATGCTTCCAATAACCTTTCTTGCAGTCTTGACATTGTCATCTGTTTCATCAAGCTATAATATGTTATGATTGATTGATTGATTGAGTCAGTGATGGTCCTAACCAAGTCCAGTCCCAATTCCAGTCACAATTCCAATCATTACCTTGTTCTTCATTGATCTGATTTGATTACCCTGCTCTCCCAACTGCACTAGAATACCCTCACCAATCTGCTCGTTCTGTGCCGATGTCTGTTGGATTCGTACCAGACGGTCGGACGACTCGTTGACGACCTCGTAGCCACCGAGCAGATGCTGTCGCTGCTGATCGTACTGTGATTGATAGTCCTCTGGTGCGTTGGAGAATCCCGCGTCTCTATTGAAATCATTGCTAGACGTTGTCGATGCCTTCAACACATCCCTCTGGAATCTTTGCATATCTGTCTGGTACTGTCTAATCTGTTGCTGTATCTTGATCCTCTGTGGATGTGATTGACTGATCCTATCCATTTCATTTATCTATATAATGTTGATGCTGGTTGGTTAGTGACTCGGCCTTCATTCAATCATTCAATCAATCAACCATACATATTGAAGTCCATCATTTATATCTTGTTCGGCATCTCTTATGGCTCTCTTCTTGCTCTCTGTGTTTGAGTGTGATTAGTATTTGTGTATCAATCAACTAATCAATCAATCAATGAATGATCATACCTCCAGTATAGTTTGGCAACTGCTTGATTCTTCTGGTCAAAGCATTGCACACCTTTTGATAATTCTCATTAACTCTATCGAATGAATCCATATCTATCTATATTATATATGTATGTGTAATTATGTATATGTATTCAATTTAACAACAAATAAACAAAGAAAAACACAACAAGTTGAGTACAGGCACTCTCTTGGTCTTGATCAAATCAGTGGACCTCACTATGAACAAAAATCTTGGAACAGTTGACATTGTCTTTAGAAAAGTTGATTTTTGAAATTTTGTACGTGTTTGACAAACGAACAAAGGGGGTTGATTCCTCACTATCAAGGGTTCGCTCAACTATTGATCATGTTGTTGAACAGATACCAACTCAATTGTAATGTACAACATGTTAGAGATACATCTCTCTTCTATCTCTCTCTTGATCTTGGATTGCCAAAACATCGATATCAATCAATCAATCAATCAATCAATCAATCAAATATTTGTGTGTCGTTCTCTTTATCAGAGGAATGAATCTAAATGTCTGAACACATATAGAGATATAGATAATGATATACATGTATTTTATAAATAGATAGAAAGCAAAGTATCTGATGATGTCCCGCACATGGAAGTAAGTAAGTATTGTGGATGCATGCGGCCATTGGCTGAAACCCAGCCACTACTCCATCGGTAACCCGACTGCCATCGCATCAACAAAAATCTATTCTTGGGCAGATCAATGAAAATTATAATTATTCTTTTTGATAATAATTTTGGACATGTCTTTGTATCTTTGAGTGGGAGTGTGTATGCGATGGCAGTCATATGAATGTGACAGAGGGTGTAACAAAGCAAAGTATGTGTGTGTTGTTGTTGTTAGTGTGTGTGAAAGGGAGATGGGTGGATGGGTGTTGAACATTGATTCGATTTGCGTCTGTCATTCATTCATTCAGTCTGCCAGTCATTCATTCATTCCATTCCATTCATTCAATCATACACGCAAACATATATATATATTGATATATTTATATAAACAGGCCTACTACTATATACATTGTATATAACACATACCTAACTGTATTTCTAAATAACAACTTCATCACACAACAACTACTCAATCAATCAACTTGACAGGTACAGGATTTGATTGAATCAATCACAGCAACAACAACAGATTTATACAATACTCAAACATATAAAGAGCGACTCTTTTCAATTCACATTAGCAGCAACTCAACAACCTTAAGACATGCCACCTCCCCCACCACCAGGACCACCACCTCCCCCAAAGGCCACTCCTCCTCCAAAGACTGCTGAGAGAGGAGCCCTTCTCAACTCCATTCACAAAGGAGCAAAGTTAAAGAAGACAACCACCAATGATAGATCTGCCCCGCAAACAGTTAGTATGTAGACAAACGAACTATGATTGATCGAATCCATCATGATTGATTCCAAACAAGAGTACTAACAATCTTGGTTACGTCCATTCCTAACTAATATAGCACCCAAGGGAGGAGCTGGAGGCGGCGGCGGCGGCGGTATGCCAATGCCAGGAGGTGGAATGCCACGTCCAGGTGGCGCCAAGCCAATGGGCGGCGGCGGTATGAGTGCTCCAAGAAGCGAGGACTCTGGTTCCTCAGCCCCACAGCTTGGAGGTTTGTTTGCTGGTGGAATGCCAAAGCTCCACAAGCCAGCAGCTGTAAGTAATAACAACCTATCATGTTGATATGTGATATGACGACGAGTAATCTCTAACATGTCCTTTCTTCCTACTTTTAGGCCCCTGCTTTTAAGAAGCCACCTCCAATGATGGCACCAGTAGCTGCAGCTCCACCACCCTCAATGATGTCCAAGCCAGGCCCACCCCAGTTCAAGCCACCTCCCCCTGTTTCCGCTCCACCCTCATCCTCCCCACAAATGAAGCCAATGGGTATGTCTATCACATCACCATCACATTGACAATACGACTTGATCGACAAGCAAACTAACAATCATCAATCCAGCCAAACCACCCCCTATGATGTCAAAGCCAACTCCACCACCTCCAATGATGTCTAAACCAACTCCACCACCTCCAATGTCCAAACCAACTCCACCTCCACCCGTCGGAGCCACCAGAGCCCCACCAGGACCACCCCCAGCGGCCAGAGGCCCACCACCCCCTCCAACCAGAGCCTCCACCACCCAGTACGACGACAGCGAGTTGAGAGCTGCTCAATCGACCATCAGTGATTTGGAGTCTCGTTTGGCTGATGCACAGAACAGGATCAGCGAGCTCGAGAGTCAATTGCATCAGGCACAGTCCTCGTCAGGTCCCAAGGGAAGAAAGGCAGTTGCCATGTACGACTATGAGACCGACGCACAGCTGCACGATCTCTCCTTCAAGGTTGGTGAGTATATTACTGTTACCGAGCAGAACGGAGACTGGTGTACCGGCACCAAGACTGGTCCATTCCCAACCAGCTTTATCAAATTCGAATAAACGCGTAAAATTATTATCATATTCAATCATTTAGCCAGACCCAGGACTTGAGCGATCACTTTTATCCATCCAACCAACTTTTCAAACAAATACAAATGAATATAATACCATTGTACATCATTGCCAGCAAGATATTACCAAATGTACATGACCGATTGGACAGGGTGTGCATGGGTATGTCATGCAAGAAACTCTACTCTGTACTGCTGGACACGACAACATCAACTTTTAGAATGGGCAACACTCTAATGGAGGCAGTTACAAGTTGCGATCGATCAATTAGTCCATCTGTTAAAGAGCTCACATTTCACCAACAATTCAATCAAAGTATCATGATGTCTCTATCAACTACATCGATAATATCTCTTATCTTTGGGAAATGCTTCAACCAACCAATTGTCCCTGGTGCGTTGCCCTCTACCCTCATATCGCTTAAATTTGGGGAATGCTTCAACCAGCCCATTGTACCTGGTGCGTTGCCCTCATCCCTCGCAACTCTTGTCTTTGGGGACACATTCAATCAACACATTGACCCTGGGACACTTCCTTCTTCCATCACTTCGCTTGTCTTTGGCCATAGTTTCACACAAGAACTACTCCCAGGAACACTGCCATGTTATCTCAAGACATTAACATTTGGATATGTTTACTATATGGACCAGTTGGACAATGATGTTCTTCCACCATCACTCAGAAGATTGGAAGGGCAAATAGAGCATACAATTAGTCCAGGATTCCTCCCGGAAGGACTTCAATCATTGAAGATCGATTACTACTTTAACGATAGGTTGACAATTGGAATGCTTCCACAATCGCTCAAAAGTTTGACATTGTCATCTGCATTCAACAAACCAATTGACCAAGGTGCATTGGGACCAGCACTCACATCACTAATATTCCAAAATGGTTTCAAGAGACAAATGACTCCAGGAATGTTGCCTCAATCTCTACAAACACTTAAATTTGGTTACCATTTTAACAGGACCATTTTTCAAGGAGCACTTCCACTCTCATTGACAACATTAATTTTTGGGGATAGATTCAACAAATCACTATCCACAGGGGTATTGCCCCAGTCACTAATCAACTTGTTCTTTGGTTCAGACTTTGATCGAAGGCTCAATGGCGCACTTCCCTCATCACTACAATCATTAACACTTGGATCATCATTCAGACAGAGCCTTATCGATACATTGCCAATATCTCTCACGTCAATAACATTCCACGATACATATAGTTGTGAGGACATTTCTTGTCTTCCAGTCAACCTCAAATCATTGATATTCAAAAAACAATTGTTTTTGGAACAAAATCAGTCCTGGAACAATGCCACCAAAACTTCACACATTCATTGGCCTTGACTCTGTTCAAAGGATTAAACCTGGACTTCTTCCATCTACATTGAAATCATTGACTGTTGGAAATAGAAACAAACATGTTGACTTGTCCAACCTTCATCATCTCAACTACTTGACTATAGCCGCTCTTTCAAAATTGAAAGAAACCTCATTGTCATCACAATTCTCATCCCTACATGTCACAGCTGGATTCGAGTTCATTAGTGACATGACACCACCATCATCACTTCAAATGGACTCGCTAACAATTGAAATACCTCATTTCTCTCCACAAAGTGTTAGGTTATTTAACCTTCCAAAAGAAGCAATTAATATTAGCAAGTATAATTATCTAAAATCCCTTTCAAAGTTAGTTCCCAATGTCAATACCTATCATGTAAAGGCAAAGAATGAACAGAATGAGATTGAGAGTGTGTATTCCTACCGAAGGATTGACAAAAGCCATGGAATTGTTCTCAACAATGACAAAATAATTGTTTTCCATTTACCCAAGGATTGAATAAATAATTATTGATTGTAAGCTCTCAATAATATTATAAATATGTTTTCAAATTTTTTCTAGTTGAAAAAAAGGTTAGTTTTTTAAGGTTTTTGAACTTTTGATCAAAAAGTGGCCCCGATTTAACGGCTTAAAAACAGTTTAAGGAAGGACGATTTTTTCAAGGCTCCATAGTTGAATGGTACAATACTACCTTTGGGTGGTAGTGGTCTGGGTTCGATTCCCGGTGGAGCCCATTCTTTATGATGGAATGGTCCCAAAACGAACTTCCGATCAAAGTTTTGTTGTTGTAGACCCCAAGAAAACTCCAGAGAAGAAAGCCAATACCAAAAAAAGTGCTAATATCTAAATCTGCTCCAATGATAGCATTTTCAAATGAGCTTGTCTGTAATAATTGGAAATAATCTGTAACAAAGTCTTTGCATTACTCATTGGAGTTATTCGATAATACGAAGGTTGTATGATTGAGTTGAAATTGACTAAGACAACCACCTTACCTTACAAAATGAAAGATCAGGATATTTTGTGTAGAATCTTGATTTTAGAGGTGGGAAAAGTTTAATTTAATTCAATCTCAAACATTGGTCGTAAACATGGACTTGGCTGGCCCAACAACAGATGTAGATCATAATATTATTGTTCAACCTAAACATCGACTACCAATTAAACAACATCTACAAATACGAAATACTACATAATGAAATATATAACAACACTACTTTGTTTGACATTGATTCTGTTGGGCGTCTTCAGAACGTCCTTAATGGTCAATGGAAGCTTTGGAATTGATGTCAGCTCGCCAATCTCCCAAGGCATTAGTACTGCAGATTGGCAATGCTTGGCTGGCAAGAACCAACGTGTCGTCATTCAAGCATGGCAAGGAGGCTACGGCCTAAACACCGGAATCACCAATGCCATCCAATCAGCCCATTCCGCTGGATTCCAGATCGTTGATATTGTATGTTCTTTGACTCCGACTCTTCGACCTTTGCAAAATACTCAAACTTTGCTAACTTGATTGATTGATATCGATATTAGTATGCCTTCCTGTGTCCTCAGTGCTCTGGCAACAACCCACCATCCAATGCTATTGAGCAAATGATCAATCATTTGAGTGGTGTCAACTTTAATATGCTCTGGATTGATGTTGAGCAGTGCAATGGATGTTGGGGCAATGTCAATGACAATGCAAACTTTGTCGCTGCCACTGTCAAGGCTGCCGAGAGCATGGGTGTCAAGGTAGGCATCTATTCATCACTTGGTGAGTGGCCTCAGACTGTTGGCACATTCGATGGTCTGTCAAACTACCCTCAATGGTATGCCCATTATGACAATCAACCATCATTCTCAGACACTGCCTACTATCAATTTGGAGGTTGGAACAACCCTTCAATGAAGCAGTACAATGGTGGTTCAAATCAATGTAATGTCAACGTTGACTTGGATTACTATGCAGGTGGTGGTGGTACCTCATCATCTTCATCATCCACAACAGGACACTCCTCCTCCTCAGGACCATCTTCGTCAGGACCCTCCTCCTCGTCTTCAGGCCCACATAGCTCATCGTCGTCCACTAGTCCACACAGTTCCTCATCGAACGGTCCAACATCAGGTACCACATCGGGTACAACATCGGGTACAACATCGGGCACTACATCCGGTACTAGTGCTACCTCTGGAACCACAACTACCTCTGGCCAAACTTCGGGAACAAGTGGACAGACAACTGGAACATCGGGACAAACCACAACCACTACCTCTGGTCAAACCACCGGCACAAGTGGACAGACAACCGGAACGTCTGGTCAGACCGGCACCACCTCGGGAGACTCTACAACCACAAGCGGCCAGACCTCTGGTCAAACCTCTGGTCAGACCTCAGGTCAGACAACAGGATCGACCTCAGGTACAACCTCTGGATCATCCTCTGGACAAACCACATCTGGAACATCTGGTCAGACTGGTACCACCTCGTCGACTGGTACCACTAGTGGTGATAGCACTGGCCAAACTGCTTCGTCCTCAGGCCAGACAACTTCCATGACCAGTGGCTCATCGGGTCAGACAACCGGTGGTTCATCCGGCCAGACCACATCAATGACCAGCGGTTCCTCAGGTCAGACCTCCACAGGTTCAACTAGTGGTGGTTCATCCGGCGGTTCATCATCAGGACAGACTGCCTCCAGCGCATCAACTGGCTCATCTGGCTCATCTGCCTCTTCTGGTTCATCAGGTTCATCAGGTTCATCCAGTTCAGGTGGTAGTTCATCAGGTAGTACATCGTTTAAAGTCGGCACCGGCATCACATCTACATGTGTTGTATGTTAGATATATATATAGATAGTTATAACTAATAAAGGTATATGATGATGGCGAAGTGTGTGAATGATGTCATTGGGAACCATGTGCCACAAGGTTAAGTGTCAAGTTGACACACAAAACTTTCTTTGAAGGGTGAAACTTGGAAGTTTGATCGAAACCTGAGGTCATCTAGATGTTTGATGGGTCGTCGATTCATTGTTTGATCCATCAAAACAGGTAAATATATACTTACATAGATATACTTACAGCATACATACATACATACATATAAATATATATAATGTCTAAACGATTGAGATTGGTACAGTGTCTACTATGGTTCCCAATGCACATGTGTTTGATTGCCTTCTTGGTGACACTATCATTGAAGTTATCAGGTTCTACAATGTCATGGTATGACACCATCATCATAGATACATCGACACTTTGACATTGACATTGACAGACTAGACACTCACACAAACACTCATACAAACTCAAACAACGACAACGACGACGACGACGACAACAGGTATAGAACAATGGTACCATTATGGCTGATGGAGGCATTACTCATTTGGTTCGTTCTAGTTATCAAGAGTGTCACTTATAAGATATGGGGAGTGTTGTCAGTGCTGTCATTCGCATTGTGGACAGCATTGTTGGCAGTGCGATTAGAGGATACAGGCGATTTATCTTGGTGGGGCGTCATGACACCGTTCTGGATCTTCCTGGCGCTGATCAATGTGGTGCGACGCGAGAAGCGCAAGACCGACTATGACAACTACTCTAAAGGCAAGAAGGTGTTTGAAGTGGGCTTCTCCAACCTGGTCGCATCACTGGCTGTCTTTAGTGTGCTGCAAACACTGGTGATGAGCGGCGCGGCACAGATCTCATGGACACTGCGGTTCATACCATTGTTCTACTACATCTTTGTATGTCTGTTCACATTGTTCTCAATGTGGCAACAGGAGAACTTTGACTACACTCAGTCTATACTTGGTCTGATAGCGGCATTCCTCATACTACTCTACTTCAAAGGCAACAACAACATGTTGCCCTATAGCTCAGTGATGCTCATTCCAGTCTACATCCTAGAGATCGTCATCTTCTTTACGATATTCACCAAGCGTATGACTAAACATTTCTAAGAGAAAGAGAGATGGAATGTTATTAGCTCATGTATCTATCCATCATCGCTTCATGTAATATATATAATAATAAACCATTCATTTATTAATGTTTAGATTTAACATAAAGATGATGATCATCGTCATAATCCTTGTTTGGCATCGCGCGAACCCTAGAGGGGCTAGACGACCACGACCTCGAGCTTCAATCCCCCAGGCAACAGGGAAACACTCAACACCCCCACCACCTTTAACACCAATCGCATTGGGAACACACACATCCAAACAAATAACAACAACACCACTCAACTCACTATTCGATTACTTCCATCCACCATCACTTCAACACATTAATACCCACCTGTAACTTGCCATTAATGTTTAGTCATCTATATTATCAATACAATTGTTCAATCTCTGACTTTGATTGACACTATCATTCATTCATTCCTTCAAGTAGTAGTAGTAGTATTTATCCTACCTGTACATATAAATAATAAGAATATATAACATGAATATTGGGAATTGGTCAAGACCATGGAGGAGGTCATCACCATTCCTATTCCTACTTTTGACATTATTGTTCATGTTGATATTGGTCACTTCATCAACTACTACATATACATCACCAGAAGCAACAGATAATACAATCAATATACAAACTCAGCAAGATCAAGTACCTAGACAAGGACAAGGACAAGGAAAAGGACATCAACAAAAGTCAATAATATCAGATTTCGATGTGGATGATAGTAGTTATTCACCAGAGGTTAATCAACAAGCAGAGAATAATGCAATATTGGTTATATTAGGAATGTTATGTGGTGCTGTATTTATAGTTTATATCTTGGTTTCATTGCATATACCATTCATACCAGAGTCTGTAGCAATAGTTGTCTATGGTATTATAATTGGAATCATCGCAAGATTTACCAACAGTGCCATGGCAGAGAGAGTGACAACTTTCAATCCAGACCTATTCTTCCTATTCATACTTCCAACGATCATCTTTGAGACTGGATTCTCATTGCCAAAGGTATACTCATTCATCCATTAATTCAAATCAATCATTCCTAACCATACTCAATCATACATTCATTCAAACATTGGTTAGACGGACTTCTTTCACCATTTTATACCAATCATTATATTTGCCGTGTTTGGTACAATGATATCATTTGCTGTTACAGGTGCAGGAGTTTATGTAGTTGGACTTCTTGGATGGTCTTATCCACTAAGTGCCAAGGACTCATTCATGTATGTCGTCTTCATCACTCACTCTCCAACTCAATCACTGACTGTATCAACAAAACAATAGATTTGGAGCAATGACATCGGCAACAGATCCTGTGGCTACTTTGGCAATCTTCCAAGCACTTAATGTCGACTCCACTTTGTATATGTTAGTGTTGGGTGAGAGTATATTGAATGACGCTACTGCCATTATGCTCTATCGAACAGTTGAGAATTTCTCACTCAACCTACTCTGGATCAACTTATTGACATTCTTTGCAGTATCCATTGGTAGTGTTGCACTTGGAATTGTCATGGCACTTGTACTCTCATTGGTAAGATACCTTCTATCATTCAATCAAACTTAACTCGCTGACTCATTCATCAATGTGGAATAGATGCTCAAGTTTATCAACTTCGGTAAATTCCCAGCCTTGGAGACAATATTTATGATTATGTTCTCCTATGCCTCTTATGTCCTTGCAAATACATTGGAGATATCTGGAATATTGGCTGGTATGTTAGCTAATCAATCATTTATATGGACCTTCTCAACATGATACTAACTCCTATACATCACTTCGTAGTGTTCTTCTTTGGTATTACATTCAATCAATATGGTGCGTACAGCTTGTCACCTTACACCAAGTTGACATCCAAACAACTATTCAGGACAGCAGCATTCATTTGTGAAACATGTGTCTTTATCTACATTGGTATATCAGCATCATTCCACAGCTTTACATTCAATACTGGTCTATTCATTTGGAGTTTTGTAAGTAATAGGCTATCATTCATGATGGAATGATCGATCACATACTTACATCAGATCCATATTCTTTAACTAGGTATTCTTATTGGTATCCAGAGCAATGTCAGTGTTCCCAATATGCTTTATACTCAACAAGATTAAGAAGGATAAGATACCAATGCCAATCCAGGTGGCATTATGGTTTGCTGGATTGAGAGGCGCAATAGCCTTCTCTCTAAGTCTCTTCTACAAATCTCCATCACAGGCTTACATTCAAACCGATGTATTGTTGAATGTCTGTGCCACTCTGTTCATCCTGGGCATTGGTACATACCCTCTGCTCAAGGTGTTGGGTATCAAGACGGCCTCATCAGATCAATCACTCAACAACATCACACAGGTAATGAGCAAGAAGACCAAGGCAAAGGAGAGGACAAAGTTGTATCAGAGTATCGATGACAAGTACTTTAAGAAGTGGTTCAGGAGAAAGCTGCCGCCACTGTCCAACGAGGCCATTCAGATCTTTGAGCGATTGGTCAAGTTCTCAAATGAAGAGGATATCGACACGTACACATTCAACTCGCCAGAGTTGAGATTCGAGCTACTGGAGAATGCTGAGGACAACTTCAATCACAACTCTGATCCAACATCGCCATTGATAGAAGGTGGTCCACTGGTACTCTAGATATCACGATTGATCGACTGTTGTTTGGTTGATTGATTGATGCCGACTAATCTGTTTAATAATATAATCTCACGACATTGTAAACAAGCTGAGCTTAATTAATACTTTGATGTTGATGACTTTAACCTTTCGACCACCTCACTGGCAGCACGCTCTCCACTCTCAAGTGCACCTTCCATGTATCCAATCCAGATTGAAGCTGTCTCTGTACCAGCCCAGTGAATGCGTCCAACTGGGTTACGTAGTGCTCCGGCACAGCTCTCCAACACACCAGGTCCAGCATAGGACACGTAGCATCCTCTGGCATACTCATCGTTCTTCCAGTACTTCTCCAAGAAGTACTTGGGCTTGAGAGCACGCGGTCCCCACCAACGAGCGTAGCATTCGAGCACGGCTTGCTTGCGCTCCTCTGGTGTCTTTCTTCCCCACTCCTTGGCTGGTCCACCGGCAATGAATCCAACGATGGCGGTCTTCTTGTCATCGTGTGAGGAATCGTCGTAGCATATATAGATTGGACCCTTGTCGCTCAGAGCCTCGGCACTGTATCCATCCTGTCTCCAGAACGGTTCGTCATAGATGGCAATCGTCTTGATGACGGTGCCCATTGGCAGACGCTGGGTGAGCTCGTCACGCTCGGGTGGCATTAGTGGACGATACTCTATTCTTCCGGCCAGGGGTGGGGGCACGGTCACAATGACGAACTTGGAGTGGAAGGTGACACCCTTGTCGTTGGTCACCTGGCATCCCGAGCCATCCTGGTGAATTGACTTTATCGGTGAGTTGAGCTTGCAGTACTGCAGTCCAACCTTCTCGGCCAACCTCTCAGATATCTGTTGAGAGCCACCAATCATTCGTCTCTCCTGTGCTCCACCTCTAATATCAGCCAGAAGACCATAGTTTCCAGCGGCCTTGATGAACAACAGGAACCAAAGGAAGCTAACCTCTGATGGATCGGCAGCCAAACACACCTTGACGAACCAATCAATGATGTTCTTGGCCTCAACGTCCTTAATATTCAATGTTGTCCAATGTTGAACAGTCATATGATCCCTTCAATAGTGTGTTTGTTAGTTCTGGTCATCACTTGATAGTGTGATGATGTACACCATAATACATACCATTCATGTGCTCTTGGATGCTTGTGAGGTGCCTTGGTATCAATTGTATCGGCTAGTTTATCGACGAGGGCGATGGCATCCTCAAGACCAGCCAAACTGTATTTGGAAGTGTTCAACGATGAGATGTTTCCTTCATAGTAGATCTTCTTTCCATTGAGTTCCAATACATGTTTGCCCTCATCATATTGCTCAAAGGTCTTGATGCCCAGCTCGTCACATAGCTTCCTCAAGTGAGTATGCGTGCCACCCATCCATTGACCACCAAGATCAAACCAATATCCATCGACCTCCAACGATTCAGTTCTTCCACCAAACCTCTGCAGCAAGTTAAGTACTTGTAAGTTAGTAAAATGATTCAGTAAGTCTAGATAATGCCTCGCTCACTACACATACATCTCTGGCTTCAAGTACCAAGACGGTTTTATTCTGGTCTCTTAAAGATCTAGCTGCTTGGAGACCTGACAGGCCTCCACCAATAACAATGCAGTCGTACTGCGTCTTCATTTGTTGTTATATTTGTAAAGTTATAATATTAGTATCTGTTGTTGTTGTTGTAATTGAGTATGAATGAATGAGATGTATTAGATGGAATTTAACACCATTGTAGAGTGTTGGGTGAGTGTTGCCCTCACTGTTTAGAGATGTGTTTGTTGTTCACCCCATTCTACAAGATCTTGATATCCTATTCAGGAGATAACCCCAATCTTACACTTTATGAGCTTCACTTCTTTTCAAACCCTTGAAGTATCTTCTTTGACATTACCTTTATTTATTTAATCACTATCTCTCTATCTCTATCATTCTATCTATCATTATTATTTATTTCCACGATAACAATGAACAATATGAATATACCAAAGTGGCTCAACAACTACCAATATTTTGTTGATGATGCCAACTACAACAACAATGAGATTGAGAATCAAGACTCCAACAATATGAATAATGATACAAATAATAATAACAATACTTTGATAACGTATAGAAGTGAGTTGGATGAGGTTAGAGGTGAATGGAATGAATACTTGTTAAAGTATAATAGAGCATGTGATTATTATCAATCATTGAAACAATTGATTGCATTTTTGTCAACCAAACATCACAAGCTTGAGATGGAGTATATGTCATTGGACACAAAGAATAATGAGAAGTTGATTGAGATTGCAAGGATGAAGTATACTATTATTTGTTTGGATAGAGGTAATATCTTTAAATTAATTTAAAGAGTACCTCCCTTGATATTTTACTAACTAAATTGGATGATTGATAATAACTAAGACTTCAAGAGAGTGATCAAAGATATTATCAATTTGAGATTGAAGTCCAGGACCGAGTCCAACATATTGGATGGTGAGAGGAATGACTATGACAAAGAGTACAAGTTTATGGATGAGGTCAAGAGTGAGTTCAACTCAGTCTTGAACCAATCAACGACATCAATTGAGAAAGAGAAGTCAATCGTACAACAGAATATTGGTATGTTTGGTAGAGAATAGTGTTTGTATGACTTACTAATTGTAAACTTTAATTAAGATGATGTACTTAGTGGTGATGTTGAGCATAGTGCCTATGATGAAGAGGATAGGGAGAAGTATCTGGCCGAGCTGAAGGAGAAGGAGTCCAAACTGAACAAGAAGATCAATGAACTTACTGATCATGTCCACCAGGAGAAGAGGGATCAGTTGGAGACATTGAGGAAGAGATGTCAAACCTCATGTTAGAGAATGAAAGAAAGATAGAGTGAATGAAATGAAGGGAGGGAAGGAATGGGTAGAGCCACCTCCTTGTGTTTTTGATGATCATGCTAGAATGACACCCCCTTTTTTTTAATTAACACCCTCTCACCCTGAGGGAAGTGCACAGTTCAGCTGTAAGAGCAACAGACATTGTCAGTCAGCTACAACAAGACAGACAGATAGATAGGTAGATTGGGTAGATAGATAGATAGAGAACGTTGTTGTTGCAAAAGGTTTGGGGAATAGAGTAAATAGAGAGATGTGCATGTGAGCTACCTGTGACACAAAGACACGACAAAGACAGACAGAACGATCAGATACCTATTTATATATATATATACACATTAAAGGGACACTGATAACAACAACACTGCCCTCTTTATGACCCAGACCAAACACCTACCAACATCATCATCATCTACATCAACATCACATACTATAATGGAGAACAACCAATTAAAGCATGGAAGAAGCGATGCTCCTATCATCAAGCTATCGATCGACCTTATCAAGACATATAAGAACATCAACCAAGTATGTATTGGTTCATTATACAACCATGATCATGATGATGATGTTGACTCATCAAATCAAACAAATAGATATACTATGCAGCAAAGTCAAAGAAGAAGAATGAGCTACTAGCCAAGCAAGCTGCTGCAACAGCTGGAAGTGGTAGTAGTAGTAGCAGCAGCAGCGGCGGCAGTAACATCAATAACAACAACAACAATAATAATAACAATGGCTTTGACGATGAGAATGGTGACTATATATTCAGGGACAACGATGTCTTTGAGGATCGCTTCGAGATCAAGGCACACTTGGGCAAAGGATCATTCGGTCAAGTTGTCAAGGCATACGATCGTGTCACAGAAGAGTTTGTCGCCATCAAGATCATCAAGAACAGGACACCCTTTTACAATCAAGCACTGATCGAGATTGAGTTGCTAGAGTCCATGAACCGGAAGGACCCTGAAGATCAATACAAGATAGGTATGTAGACGGAGGAGCATGTAGTCGTGACCACTCTACTCACCTCACCCATTAACGACAGTTCGATACAAGCAACACTTCAAGTTCAAGGGACACCTTTGTCTGGTGACAGAGCTGTTGTCATTCAATCTGTACGACCTGCTGAGGAACACTCAGTTCTTGGGCGTCTCACTGAATCTGATCAAGAAGTTTGCACATCAGATACTCACGGCACTCTACTTTATGTCGACTGCCGAGGTCGACGTCATCCACTGCGACCTCAAACCAGAGAACATCTTGCTGAGGAATCCCAAGCGAAGTGCGATCAAGATCATCGACTTTGGTAGCTCATGCCATTCCAACGAACGAGTATGGTGTCGTCCTTGTCGTATCGCTCGTCTCACATCACATCACTAACCATCCTTTTAGATGTACAAGTACATACAGAGTCGATTCTATCGATCACCAGAGATTATAATGGAGTTGGAGTACTCATTCTCGATTGACATGTGGAGTTTGGGCTGCATCCTTGTGGAGATGCACTGTGGTGAACCATTGTTTGCCGGTCAGAATGAGCTTGACCAGCTGACACGCATCATTGAGGTGCTGGACATGCCTCCTGTATATATGATTGAAAAGAGTCCAAAGCTAAAGAAGTTCTTCACTGTCAATCACAGTGATCCCCTATCCAAGTACCAGTTGAGAAGGACTGATCGATTGAAAGAGGTACGTGTGTGACCGACCAGCCATTCCAATCATTCAATCATACGATCAATCGTACTAACATCTACGATCCATCTCATAGTTCCAGCCCAAGAAACTATCGGACATCATTGGAGTGGACAAGGGAGGACCTCATGGACGAAGGAAAGGCGAGCAATGCCATACTTTGGCCGATTATTTAAAGTTTCAAGTATGTTGTTTGATGATCCATGACCAACTCCATCATATTAACAATGTACCAATCAAACAAACAGGACCTCATTGAGAAGATGCTGATATATGATCCAATCAAACGTATAACACCACTGGAAGCATTGCAACATCCATTTTTCCTTTCTGGCACAAATGAGGACAATAGGGGCACTGGTGGCGTCAATCCAGCATCATTGACTCTTCCACCACTTTCATTCCCATTCCCACCGCCAACGTCCCAACTTCAACAACAGTCAGCCATATCTCACTCTCATTCCCATTCCCATTCCCAATCTCAACCAAACCTGTCGACGACGACATCATCATCATCATCCAACATCATCAATAGTAGTACCAACAGTAACAACAACAACAGTAATATCGACTACACTAATCAGCAGAGCAGCTCACCAACAACAAAGTCATCAAACTCTTCCACACTCTCACCTCACCTATCATCCACATCCTTGCATTCACATTCGCCACAGCTTCATCAACATCAGCATCAACAACTCCACTCTTACCAACATCAACAACGTTACAAATCACCAACAACATCATCATCATCCAATATAGACCAACATCAACAATATCCACAACAACAACAACAACAACAACAACAACACAAGACTCATTCACCTTCAAAGCATGACATCCATCATTTGATTGAAGATACATCTAGCACTACTAGTACAAGCAGTGGTAGTGGTATTGGCATTGGAGGTCACCATCATTACAAGCAGAGTGCAGACGATGACTTGCGACTCAACCATCATAGCATCCATCCACATTCCCATCATCACCAACATGGTGGTGGACAACCAACCAACATGAACATTTACAGCAACAACAACAATGATGACACATCACCCGAGCATGTCCCACCTCTAAACTCCTTATTGTTGAGTGACAAGCAACAGATCTAAGAATTATGGATGGGCCATCATTAATAATAAAGCAGAAGGAAGTGATCATTCAAAAAGCTGGATCATCTTAATGCTCTCATGACGATCATGAATTTGACAATTGTGTACTTCAGTGTCGATTCATCAAAGCGCTGCAATTGCAACAGACAATGTCAAGTCTGTAGACTAGGCGGGAACAGAAGTCCGTTCGAAAAGGTATTTTTGGGTTTTGCAAAAATAAATAAAATTGGGTTTTGCGAAACAGTGTTGGGCCGATCCAAGATTCAAAATTGGGTTCAGTCAAAAACAGATTAGTTCTAAACAATTAATAATAATCTTCACCATTATATATATATTATTCATATACATATACAATACAATACAATATACTTTAGATATAGATACAACATACATTGATGATGTCGACATCATTGAATGATACTCAGCAACAAGGCGAGACTGCTGAGGGCGCAGCATCGCCCTCACCACAGAACTCACCTTCGGTGATCAAGAGGATTGTACCGGCTTTGTTACCAGAGGCCTCACAACCAAATAGTGCACCACCATCACCACAGACACCGAGAGCAAATGGTGGATCACAACTACAAATGGATACTTCAACAACAATAGGCAACAATAATAACAATCCATCATCAGTGATATCAAGACTCTCAACATTGGTACCTTCATCACCAAAGACTACATCATCAACAACACAGAATGGACAGAGTTCACCTTTGTCTGGCTCGCCACAGACGTCGGCTGCGGATGGTCTACGTCAGTTTGCCTCGCGCAAGTATCAGGCCGTGGCATCATTCCTTTCGATTGCGCTCAAGGACGAGGAGATACAACAACACAACCCTCTGCGATTAACTTGGAGCGACTTTGAAGCCGAGTACGAGAAGGAATGCCAAACACTGCCAGAGGGACTGCGCTTCCCAAATGGTGAAGTGCTCGTGAGACGCATCGAGAAGTGTCCACGCTATATATTCCCGCCGACTGTGGGTCTGGTCATGGGCGGCCTCGAGCAGCATGTCAAAGACATCATACATCACTTCTACAAGGACTATCTGATCGTGCAGAACAAGAGCGAGTTGGCGCGCAGTCAGTCTGGACGAAGGTCCAGCGCAGGATTGGCCAGCAAGTCAGCAATGTTCAGTTTGGCCAACAACAACAATACCTCGCCAACAATGTCATCGTCGCCGAGCGAACACAGTAATCCACTCAAGAGTCAGTTGTTCTCAAGAACAAAGATTAGCGCGTCAATCAATGGTGGTGGTGGCAAGGGCAATGTGAACATATCAACAACACCAGGACGACGAACCATCATCGAGACATCAGGCGACGACCTAATATCATTCATGGCTCCACCATCAATCACAACCACCGCCACACAAGATCCACTCAAACAATTGATACCAGAACGATAGTATGTAGATGGATATACAGAGAGACCTCGAAGTGAGCTCATATGACTAACACTGATCCTAGTGGCCTGGAACTATTGTGCGAGGTCAAGGAACTCAAGTTCCTGCATGACATTGAACCTTTGTTCTGCACACTGTACATTGTGGACTTGGATAAGCGCGAGAGGATATCAGAGAACTTCAACTTCCACTTGAACTCAAAGCAGATGTTGGACTCACTCAAGATCAACAGCGACACGATACTGGGCGGGTGGGCCTGCCAGCGACAGGCACTGTTCTCGCTCAACAAGTACCATCCAAACATGTACTTCATTCTGCGAGTGTATCATATCTTCCGTGGCGACATTGAGAAGGACATCAAGCCCTACATCAAGGACTACAAGAAACAAAACAAACCCAATGTCATCACTCAGTTCAAGGCCGAGATCGTCGAGAAGTGCTCGGGCTGGGGCGCGTCGCCCGACCATCACGATCTTCAACCGTTGGCGTGGGGAGCCTACCCGGTGTTCCATCGTCCGACACTGACTACCACGACACAGGCGTCAGCATCAACCGCCAACCTGTTACAGTATCTTCAACAACAGCAACCTCTTCCACAGTCACCGTCGCAAGCGCAATCGACACCAGCCACACCTTTATCTCCACCCCAGTCACCTTCACCAACGATCAACTCTACATCACCGCCTTACAATCCAATGTTATCGCCACCCAGCGTCAACATGACCAAGGCACGCAGCTACACACCTCCTCCAAACATCCCCACGCCACCGCCACCTCCCATGTCACCGTCAACCACTCCACCCATCATCATGTCACCTCATGGCAACAAGACCAACATTGAGATTGTGGGCATGGTGCCGTGCACGCCCAACCTGAACGACAGATCGATTTGCGAGTTGCTCATCAACGACAAGGACCTTCGCAAGATGAAGACTGTGCAGGCCAGCTTCACAATGACTTTGCGAACGTTGGATACGGACGAGGAGGTCAAGGGTCGCATCAGCCCGTCGCTGGTGCCCCTGCTGCCCACTGTTGAGCCCGAGAACCTGCATCAGAGCGGTCTTATTCGCGACATCCAGGACTTTAGCGAGACACCCTATCCCTTTGTTGAGTATATCAACAACTTGTATATTTATCCAGACACTGCACTCATCAAGAGCTACAAGAATCCCAACCTGCAGATTCAGGTGCAGCTGGTGGAGGACTTGGTCAGCCTCAAGGCCATCAAGTGCGTCTATCCAACGACGCCACCCTACATCCCCACCAACCTGTGGGACAAACTGAACATGCCCGGCCCCGGCCAACCAGGTCCCACACCATCCATGCCCTTCCCACCTCTCGACTTTGGATGCTACTCGTCTGTGTCGTTCCACGACAAGCGTCCACTTTTTGTCGAGGAGTTCAAGCTGAAGCTGCCGACCAAGCTCACCGGACAACACCTGTTGTTCACCTTTTATCACTCCAATCCCAACTCCAAGAAGGAACAAAAGACAGCGATTGGCTACGCTGCCATCTCGCTGCTGCAGGCGCAGGGCATGTTCTTGCGCGATGACATCTATCATATACCGATCAGTAGCGAGCTGTCGTCCACACTGGACACGACCATCATCACATCCGAGGAGAACAAGAAGGAGAAGCGCGAGTACTTCACCTTCCGTCTCAAGCTGGTCAGCAGTGTGATCACACAGGACACCAACATCTCAATGTTCTTCCGTCACTTTAGCAGTGAACACAACTCTATTGGACGCACGCAGGAAGTTGTCAAGGGCATCCAAAAGATCGATCGACTGAGTTGTGTCCAATTCTTCCCATCCATCCTCGATCAACTATTCCAAATCATGGTGTGCTGTGCCAACGATGTTGCCATGCAGGCATTCTCATCAATATTACATGTGATCAAGATGTAAGTTGCAACCTCAATCACTCAATGGAACTACTCCACTCACTAACTCAATCAATCATACAGAGTTGATGGATACGAGAAGAAGGCAGGAACAGAGAAGAGTAGATTGTTGACGTATTACTCAGAGTATATGTTTGATTATGTACCTGATTCAAAGAACCTTTATGAGGAGCTGTGTAGACAGTGGCTACACGCAATGCATGGCGACAGTGGAGGTGGCTCGACCAAGACCAACTCCAACCTCATCTTTGTCAAGGACTTTAGATTGAATTGGTTCCTCTTTGACATTATGACCAAGTCGATGGCACTGTCCTTGGCCAACTCATCGCAGCTCGACTCTGACCTGGGTCGTGAGAACCGTTTCAAAGTGGAGTTCCAAGAGAACCTGCATCGTCTCGTACTCAAGCTGCTGCCACAGAGTGACTCAACCAACATGTCAGTTCAAAGTTGGGAGTTCTTCACCAAGTTCCCATACTTTATCAACAACCTCTTCCCTCTGATCGACAGAGGATTCCTTTATAACCTGGTACGTACATCAAGGTACAAATTATGGCGTCTATGGATGGCCAATCCACTAACTTACACTCGATCAATCAAACAGATATATAGTTACATTGCACGTATAGTTACATTCTCCAATGGAAGCGAGAAGGATAAGGACAACATTGCATTAATCACAATCAAGTTCAACTTCCTCAAGATCATCTGCGACTATGATCACTACATTCCACTCAACTTCCCTCTGCCCATCCAGGTTGTAGACTCAATATCAGACTTGACCACAAAGTTCTTGTATGTTATTACTTTGATTGATCATGACACATGATGAATCGACACTGATATTCTCAACCATTCAAATAGCAAACGACATTTCATTGCAGTGTTATTGATCAATGAGGTTGAAGCATGCCTCAAACAGAACAAACCATCGATACGCAATCATGCCATTCTTACATTGAAGCAACTGTTGAAGAAGCATCACTACGATCCACGTTACCAAATGCAGGACATCCGTGAGAAGATAGCCACTATCTACTTCCCATTCGTACTAATGGTATGTCCGTCCGACCTATACATCATGGAATCATTCCAACTCCCACTAACCAATCAATCAATCATATGATTAGATGGTGGAACACTATTCAATATTGAGTTATGGATTGGATGCAATCAATGAGTTACCGGAATGGTTGACTTGTTTGATTTGGATACTTCAATATTGTAATCGATCATTGTTGAGAGTTTGGTTCCAGAAAGAGACAGAGACACGTCAGCTCAACTTCCTCTCAATCATGTTGTTGTCATTGGAGACGTTCAAAGATGAACCATCGATACACGAGATCATCCAGCTGGACATTGAGATATGCAAGCTGATCCTGGAGGACTTCAAATCGATCGAGGACAAGGTGTTCAACATGGTTATGAACAACATTCAGCGCGCATCCACGCTGGCCACGCACGACCTGTTGCCCGAGGTCTACAAGTTGATCCGCGAGACGCTGATACCCAATCACTCGATCAACATCTTCCAATCATCACAGAACTCCTACTGCGAGATACTGTCCTACGAACTGTTCTGTGCGGCTGACTCGCCCAAGCTGGCCAACGAGGCATCGACACTCTTTTACCAACTGCTCGACCGTAACTTTGCCACGACTAATGATGTGGCGCGCATGAAGGTCCAGTCGACGGTGGCCATCTCCAAGCTGGTCGGCGAGCTCAAGCTGGACAACTCCAACAATCTCACGGCGTTCCTGTCGCGAGTGCGTGCACAGCTGAAGGACCACGGCTCACAAACGTTCCAGAACCACGTGGACGAGTTGATCACTCGCATCAACACATTGATCAAGTACGCCAACACTATAACTGCTAATCGATCAGATATAGAGATGGTGGCCGAGATGTATTATAACATTGCCAACAACTATTTTGAGAGTCCCAACCTGCGCGTCACATGGCTCGAGAACCTCTCCAAGAAGAACACCGACAATGCACAGTACGATGAAGCGGCGCAGTGTCTGATACAGAGCGCCTTCCTCATCTCTCGCTACCTGTTCAAGTCTGGCAAGTATGGATTCGTCGGTACCACTTCCGACTACGTTGCCATTTGCCCCAATATTCCCAACGAACTAGAGTTGCCACCTCTCAAGGACGACACGGTGCTACAGGCTTGGACCCTCGAGTACATGATCCATCTGTTGGAGCATGCCATTGAGCTTGGACTGCGAGCCAATCGCTACGAGCTGGCGATCGAGATCCACTCGCTCATCTCTGGCATCTACAAGTCCAAGAAGGACTACCGGTCGATGATCACAACGCTCTCCAATCAAAAGACAGTGTGCGAGACGATGGTAGAGAAGTCAAAGGACAGGTTCCAGCCCAAGTACTACAGGATCAGCTTCATTGGCAGTGGGTTCGAGGAGATGGACGGCAAGGAGTACATCTACAAGAAACCGGCCGACTGTCTGCTCAAGCACATTCAGACACAGATTCGCGAGTACCTCAACGAGAAGTTTGGCAAGACCCTAGACCAGAACCTCGTGCTGCTGCCCAATGCCCCGTTCGACCGCGCCAGCCTGGACGCCAGCAAGCTCTACTTCCAGATCATCAATGTGGACGCCTACATTGAGCTGAGCCAGCTCTCTGCGGCCGACGGCAAGTTTGACCAATACTTTGGCGTGTCACAGTTCATCAGTGAGACGGCGTACAGTCACGAGGGCAAGGCTATTCAGGAGGACTTGTCCAAGCAACTCAAGAAGAAGACCATCTTCTCGGTGGAGCCTGCATCATTCCCCTACATGAAGAATCGTATCGAGATCACGTCGAAGCGCGAGATCATCCTGTCGCCAATCGAGAATGCAATCGAATTGATCAAAGCGCGCACAGTCAAGATGGTGGAGCAGCTCAACACATCGTCGCCATCGATCAACTTGGTTCAACAACTCTTGCAGGGCACGGTACTACCAATGGTCAACGAGGGTCCTTTGAAGATCTGCGAGGTCTTTTTGCCAAAGTGCAATCCTAGCTCACCGCCCACGACACCAGTGCAGTACAAGACAGAACATGTTGAGCAGCTCAGGAAAGAGATGTGTGGATTCCTTCATTACAGTCAACACTTGATCAGATTGAACAAACGATTGATCACTCCACAACATCAAGACTTTCACAGTATGGTCGAGAAGCACTTTGAGCAACTGAAGAAGGACATGCAGGCCTATGGCATTGTAATGGCTGCGCCACACACCAGATTCAACAGTCCAACTACTGCTACTGCTGCTGCTCCTTCAGGACAGTGATCATTGGAGGATCTGTTCAACAATGAAATGATATCAACTTGATGTCCATTTATTTATTTATTCCACATACATTGTCGTCTTCCAATCAATCACTCACACCACCACTCTCACACACACTTGCGATTCAATTTCATTAGCACTTTGCATCGGGATCAAAACACTCTACATCACAACAAGAAACAAAGAAACAAACAATCCACCCACACCCATCCACCCAACCAAACTTGATTGATTTTTGTTTCTGTTGTTGTAAACACAACAACATTGACCAACTATTATTATTCACCTATTTAGATAGATAGATAGAGATAGAGATAGAAAGAGATTGTGTATGTGATCACATATACTCTTATTGATTATGTATAATAATAGTAAATACTATCATTAATAATAATATCAATATCTATCAACTCATACTTTGTAATACTATATAACTACACTACAACTTATTTATTTAATCATTCAGCTTCAATAGATTCAATTATTATTAATGAGAATGATGATAGAGATGAATGAACATCATACTCCTGTAACAACATCGTCATCAGTTGTCCCTCAACAACAACAACAAGAACATGGCAACCTTGTTGTTTTAGAGACATATCCACATGCATCTGGAAGATATCCAGTACATGAAGCAGCATATAATAATGATATAAATCAACTAATTGTATATTGTGGTGTGATCACTCAACAACAACTACTTCAACAACAACAACAATTACAACAACAGCAGGCTAATAGTAATAGAGGTTCATTTGATGAAGATGATGATAATGATGCAGATGACAATAACAACAATGATCAATTGGCACAATCAACTTTAAATGCTGGAACATCTTCATCATCACAACCAATCAATGAATTGGATTCACTCGGACAAACACCATTGATGTACGCCAATCAGTTGAGTACCATCAACTACTTGATCGCCAAGAACGCTCGTCTTAACATCAGAGACTTGGAACGACAGACTGCGATGCACAAGGCTGCCAAGCGTGGCTTTGCCCAGGGACTCTCCACCCTGCTTGACGCCGGCGCCCACATAAAGCGTGACATCACAGGCTGCACCCCGCTGCACATTTGCTGCGCCAATGGCAACGTGGAGTGTGTCGCCACCATGGTGGCCAAGGGTCCGCGACGTGTCAAGGCAGAGGCACGCGACAGGAAGGGACGAACGGCACTGCACATCGCCGTCGACTCCAACATGCCTGACGAGGTATCCGAACAGATCATCCAGTTGCTACTGAATGGCGGCTCACTCATCGACACCAAGGACAAGGAGAAGAAGACGCCGCTGCATCTGGCATCGCTCAGGGGCAAGACAAAGTGTGTTCTGGCCCTACTGAGTCGTGGCGCCAGCGTGGAGATATGTGACAACAGTGGCGCTCTGGCGTTGCACTATGCTGTGGGCAACACACACTGCTACAAGGCGGCCAAGCACATGATTGCCAAGGGTGCCAAGGTCAGTGCCGTCGACAACAATGGACAGACACCAATCTTCTATGCAGCACGCTCTGGTCATCCAAAGAGCGTCAAGGTGCTTCTGCGATCAGGTGCTCAGGCCAACGTCAAGGACAACCAGAGTCGCACGCCACTACACTTCTCGTTGGACATTTGCAACTCGACAATTTCCAGCATGTTGGTGTCGGCTGGTGCCGACGTCTCGCTGAGATACAAGTATGGAGCCAAAGGCGAGAAGACAACACCACGCGAAAAGTCACTTCAGTGGGCGACGTCGCCATCCCCCGATGCCCCAGCACCATCACCAACGACAACTGGTGCCGACCTGGAGGACGCGCGCGCCGACATGTTTGGCTTCCTTCCCGACTCCTCATTGTCCACACTTCACATCAAGAAGTGGTCCGACACCAAGGAGTTCTATCACACACTGAACAAGCAGAAGTCGTCGTACGAGAAGCTGCTCGAGAAGAAGTGGCTAAAGATCATTGACAACTGGGATAGGTACACGACAAAGAAGCCGACCAAAGTACATAGCATGTCATGGAAGACCGTGCCGGACTCTGTTCGCGGTCGTCTCTGGAAGCTGATACTCAAGCCCGACGACTACAGCAGCACTGCCACCATCACCTATGAACAACTACTCGCCAACGACTCTGAGTACGTCAAGCAAATCGACTTGGACATTGACAGAACATACAGGAATCACATCATCTTTAAAGAACGTTTCAGTTCTGGGTATGTACAAACAATCATAGTACTTGATTGATTGATTAAACAGTGCACTGACTAATCACTCTATCAACAACAGACAACAATCACTATTCAACATATTGAAGGCATATAGTATATATGATAATGAAGTTGGATATTGCCAAGGAATGAGTGGATTCGCATCGGTGCTGCTGATGTATATGACAGAGGAGGAGGCATTCTGGTCGTTGGTGTCACTGATGGAGTCGGACAAGTACCAACTTCGTGGTCTGTTCTTACCATCATTCCCACTGCTCTACAGACACTACGCTATACACGAGTCACTGTTGCATGAGGAGCTGCCCAAGCTACAGACACACTTTGGAATCGAAGGCATCACCACATCGATGTACGCCACCAAATGGTTCCTCACGGTGTTTAGTGGCAACATACCATTCCCTCTGTTGATGCGCTTCTGGGACTTGGTACTGGTCAATGGCTACTTTGTCCTACACACATTGGTATTACATCTGCTGCGGACCTACCAAGATACACTCTGTAAGGATAGCTTTGAGAACATACTGCAGTTCTTCTCGAGTCTGGACACAAATGGCATCGACACGTACACATTCTGCCGTGGCGCCAAGAAGCACAAGGTGTCAGAGAGAAAGATAGAGAAGATACTCAAGAAACATGAACATCAGCAAACACAACTTCACATCAACCCGGACTTGCCCAGTTCCCCGCAACAGCTGGGGATGCCCGCTCTCAACACGGCCACAACTCCAACTGGCACCGCCTAAGTTGGGGGGTGCGTGCCTGCAGACAGGGCCAGTGGTTGGCTCCAACTTGCAAGGTCCAAAGCCAATCATTTAGTTGATCTCATTAAAGCGAGAAGATTTGGCTATAGATGTACACACAACACACACTACTACTTTGGTGCTGGTCTTTCCTTGCGTCATTAGTGCTCTGGTGGTGGGCGCGCCGCGTACTTGTCAAAGATCAAGTTGGTTGTGGAGAACAAAACAACACGACTGTTGTCTAGATCAGGTCAGTCAAAGTGCTGCCTGCCACCCGACACCTTTAGTTTGTTTCCGTAGACTTTCAGATCGTTTTCCGTGTTCATCTTGTCCTTTGGCACTCGCGACCACCCTCAGTCTTGTCGTGATGATCCGAGTTATGATAACAGCAAAGAGACACCCGCTTAATTACCCAGAGACTGACCCCACCTAGTCCAAAGTCGGGGCATCTTTCGGTCGTTCCGATCAAACCACGTTGGGTTAGTTCTGAACTAAAAAAGTGGGGAGACACTCTCGTGTTTGATCACTTGATCACTTGCGTTCCTTTGCAATCTTTGCCGACACCCACACAGCCACGAAACAAACCCCACCCACACTCGGGATCGGAACACTAACAGGGATACGCCCCACCACAAGGCCCAGTGGGCTTTCGTCTTTACAGAAATGTGGACAAGCAACGAGTCAGATGATATTATCATCTTTGCAGCACCACCTACACCTTGTCAGTGTGTGTTTGAGTGTGGGTATATCAATAGCGCCAAGGACTATCTTGATTGAAGGTGTAGTTGTAGCGATAGACACACCTCAACACACACTAATCATATGATGGGGGTGGTCAAAGATATTCTATTTGTTCCATACTTATACAAGTCAGTGGGTGTCAGACTCAAAGGCCGAGAATGAAAGCCAAGGGGTCGGGGTTAGGGCACTGCCCAAAGGTTGTCCTTTGCCAGTTATACTACTTCAAAAGCTTATACTACCACCACCATCATCATAATGACCTTTGAATCTAATTGGTTCCCTGATAACTTATGAGTATGATAGTCTAAATATAATCCAAAGTATAAGGGTGTCGATCACGTGATCGTCCGAATACCTTGTTATAATTATCTGCCAATACTCCGATATTTAAGCAGACACTTGGTAGTCCTTCATTAATCATTCATAATTATAACTTATAACTTATACATATTTATTTATTTATATTATATATATATACTAAACAATGACTAGATCAGGATTAGAAACTGAGAGCTACCCAAGTGGTGGCAGAACATTGACCACCGGAAAGAAGATTGCCATCTTTGTTGGAACCGTCGCTACCGCCTCCTTGTTGATCTTGCTGCTGGTGTTCCTCGTACCTAGAAAGGACACTTGCTCAGATAACAACAACAACAACACACCAATCGTATCCAACAAGCCACTCAATGTCATCGTCTTTGTACCAGATGGATTCGGACCATCTGGAGCCACCCTCGGCCGTGTCATGAAGCAACTCACCACCGGCAAACCAACTGGAGCCCTCAACTTTGACCCATACCTCACCGGAACCATCCAGACCAAGTCGTCCAACAGTTTGATCACCGACTCTGCGGCCGCCGCCTCTGCCTACTCAACTGGATTCAAGTGTGCCAACGGTGCCATGGGTGTCAACGACAAGTCCGAGCCAATCGGTACCATGTTCGAGGCCGCCAAGACCAAGGGAATGAAGACTGGAGTCGTCGTCACCACCAGAATCTCAGATGCCACCCCAGGTGGTTTCTACTCCCACACTGTCAGCAGAGGTTACGAGGACTTCATCATCTCCCAGTTCATCAACCGCAACATGTCTGTCGCCCTTGGTGGTGGCAAGAAGTACTTCAACGCCACCGTCATGGAGAAGGCCAACAAGATGTACAACGTTGTCTACGACAAGGATGCCATGAACAAGGTTACCACCGGTAACATCTTGGGTCTGTTTGCCGACGCCGACCTTCCATACGAGATCGACAGACTCAACAACCAGAACTACTCCAAGATCCCATCGCTCGCCGAGATGACCGCCAAGGGACTCGAGCTGATCTCCCAGAACAACGACAAGGGTTTCATCATGTTGGTTGAGGGTTCCAAGATCGATCTTGCTGGCCACGACAACGACGCCTTTGCCCACTGGCAAGAGACCCTTGCATTTGACAATGCCTTCCAGGTTGTTTTGGACTTTGCCAACAAGGACAACAACACCGTCCTCGTCATGATGGCCGACCACGAGACTGGAGGTCTTACCCTTGGTCTTCAGCCAAACAACATGGTCGGTGCCATCTACGAGTTCTTCCCAGACTTCCTGCTCTCAAACAACGGCTCTGCCCAGACCATTGCTAAGGCCATCCTCAGCATGAAGAACTTGAACTCCACCACCACCCCAACCATCGTCCAGGCAATCAACAGCGCTGTCAACTCCTACTACAAGCCAGGCAACTGGGACACCAACCCCAACACAACATTCACAACAGCCGAGCTCGACCATCTCTCAGCCCTTTACGTAAAGGCCGACAGCTCATTGCTCTCCGAGTACATTGGCCGTTACATGTCTGTTCGCGCTAAGATTGGCTGGACCACCGGAGGTCACACTGGTACCGACATCAACCTGTACAACCACTACACTGGTAACACCACCTTTGTCCAGATGAACATGTTGAAGGGTAACCACGACAACACTGACATCTCACGTTACCTTGCCACCATCCTCGGATTGGATCTTGCTGCTGAGACTGCCAAGTTGGCCGGTACTCCAGTCAAGCCATAAGGGATGGTTGTTGGACAACAGAATAATATATAATAATAATAATAACAATAATAAACTTCGCTAAGTATATATTTATATGTATACATACAAATACAACAACTAAAAGAATGAACTGTCAGAGTGATGTCGTCTTTGTTGGACTCCAACAATGCTACGCAATGCTAAAAACAATTCGAAACAATTCAAAACAATTATTATTATTTATCTGATCGCGAACATTGAGTTGCATAGATGTTGACAACAAGTTGATGAATTGTTGATCGGCCCCAATGTTTTATTTATGTTGTAGGATGAAGTTGATTGAATCCTTCATCAACTTGGATATAAATGGTAGGTGTGCCCTTATAAAATAAGTTGGTGGTTATCTCCGACACTATAGGGATGTGACCTTTAAGGTTCCCTGCTGCTGAAGTTGCATTCGTCGGTGTCGTCTATGTCTTTGATATTATTGTAGTTGCTCGTTCGATCGACACAACTTAAATATTTAATATTAAAAGGTACCCATTACCCAACGACCGGTCACATGCAACATCCTGGTGCTATCTACGAATGAATGGACCTGCTGGCTTAAGTATCAATAGTCCATTCCAATTCAAACAACTTTCCATCGATCAATCAATCGAAATAATAAATATATATACTTATCTATTTATACATATATTCATATACAAAAAAATAATGACACAACAAATGGATACTGATTACCCAACTGGTGGTTCTAAATTGTCTACTGCCAAGAAGATTGCCATTGGAGTGGTGGTCGTTGCCTTGGCTGTGTTGCTGATATTGTTGTGTGTGTTCTTGATTCCAAGAAACAACGATGATAAACATACCGGTCCATTGAATGTTATTGTCTTTATACCTGATGGATTCGGACCATCAGGTGCCACTCTGGCCAGAGTGATGAAGAACGTTACAACGAATGGTGGCTCGCTCTCTCTCAACTTTGATCCATTCCTCGTGGGTACCGTCCGAACTAGGTCTGCCAGCAGTCTGGTCACGGACTCTGCCGCTGCCGCCTCTGCCTACTCCACTGGATACAAGACGATAAACGATGCTCTGGGTGTCGATGCCGCCATGAGGCCACTCGGTACCATGTTTGAGGCGGCCAAGACCAAGGGAATGAAGACCGGTCTGGTTGTCACCACCAGAATCTCCGACGCCACTCCATCAGCATTCTACGCTCACTCGGCCACCAGAGAGAATGAGGCATTCATCATCTCGCAGTGGGCCAACCGTGGTATCAATGTTGCGCTGGGCGGTGGCAAGAAGTACTTCAACTCCACAATCCTGGAGCAGGCTGCCAACAACTACACGATCGTTTTTGACAAGGAGTCCATGGCCAATGTGACCAAGGGCAACATTCTCGGTCTGTTTGCTAGGAAGGACATGCCATATGAGATCGACAGAGTCAATGATCCACAGTACTCCCATCTGCCATCGCTCGCCGAGATGACCACCAAGGCTCTGGAACTGATCTCCCAGAACAACGACAAGGGTTTCATTCTCTTGGTTGAGGGATCCAAGATTGATCTGGCCGGCCACGACAATGACGCCTTCACTCACTGGCGCGAGACTCTTGCCTTTGACAGTGCTTTCCAGGTCGGTTTAGACTTTGCCAAGAAGGACAAGAACACTGTGATTGTGATGATGGCCGACCACGAGACTGGTGGACTGACCCTTGGCTTCCAGCCAGACCTGAAGACCTACCCAGACTACCTGTGGATCCCTGAGCTCCTGACCATGACTACTGCCTCGGCCACAGCCATGACTGCCGAGATCTCCGCCATGAACAAGACGACCAACGCTACCGTGATCACCGGCTATATCAACACAGTGATCAACAAGCACTACAAGCCAGCCAACTGGGACACCAACCCAAACACAACATTCACCACTGCAGAGACAGAGTTGCTGGTCCACTTTTACGGCATTGAGGACTGGTGGTCGTTGGCCCAGTTCATTGGTCGCTACATGTCTGAGCGTGCATGGGTAGGCTTCACCACTGGCGGTCACACAGGATCCGACATCAACCTGTACAACCACTACACGGGCAGTGATGACAATGTTGAGGAGCAAATGTTGCATGGTAATTACGACAACACTGACATTGCTCGTTATCTTGAATCCATCCTACACTTGGACCTGGCTGCTGAGACTGCTAAACTTGTCAACACACCTGTTAAGCCATAAGCTAAGCTAAGATCTAATATAATATAATAATATAACATTAATGATTACGAATCAAAAAGGACGTGTAATGAGTATGTGTTTGTCACTTGAAATGATGAGAGAATATGTTAATGACATTGTTGAGATAATCGCAAGGTCTCAAGTGAGATCATTACACACAATTGGGGTGACGATACCATATGGGTGATGAATGATGAGGTCACAATGATTTGATGAATGTGAGGTTCACACAATCTAATTGATATTTAATCCCAACAACTTGTCCTACATTATTATTAATAACACAATAGATAGATAGATAGATAGTAAAGATAAAGATAGAACAAGAACAATGTCAATGTCAAAGATAGTATCACGTATACCACCATCGGTAAACAAGTGGATACCAGAGTATGTTGTTGAGTTTGCAAAGAGGTATCCATTCACAACTGCTCAGATTGGTTTGTATGCCTTTGCATTGATCGCTGGTAAACTGGTCAAGTTGTACAAGTCAATCATTCCAAACAATACAATCATTGAAATTGATTTGGCCAATGCTACTCTAGTCACTGTTTGTATCGAATGCGTTGTTGGGATGGCCATCATCCATCCTGGTTCATATGACTAACAGTGCCAGTCTCACTCAATATCTTTTAGAAAGCACCAAGCCAGATTGATCAGATACTTGAGCCAAACTCTGTATATTATAGAGATATCATTGATGGCTTGAGAAAGGCAGCTGATGATCCAAAGATCATTGGTCTGATCTTTAGATTGGGCAACACAAACACACTCAACTTGGCAGCCCTCCAGGAGTTGCGTCGTGTCGTACATTACTTTAGGTCCAAGGGCAAGTCAACCGCAGTCTTTACCGATACGTTTGGAGAGTTTGCCGCTGCCCCTGCTCTATATTACTTTGCCAGTGCATTCGAGTGAGTTATGTTCCATGATGATTGATTGTTGATGGTGATGGATCACTTTGATTGAATACTAACCAAACACCATCCATCCATTAGGAATGTATACTTGTCACCATGTGGAGCAGTCAACATTATCAATTTGAGATTGGACCATCCATTCCTCAAGAAGATGTTGGACAAGGTTGGAACAAAGACTGAGTTCATCAAGAGAAAGGACTTCAAGGTATGAATGAATATCCAATCCTTCCAAACACAATCAATCACACAATACTAACTAACTATGACTGTATAGAGTGCCGCCAACATATTTACTGAGGAATCATTCACTGAGGCAGATAGAGAATCAACAACATCATTGGTCGAGGACCTCATTGGTGTGATGATTGAGGCCATTGCAAAGGACAGAGGCATGTCAGTTGATCACATTAGGGAGCTGTTTGGATCTGGTCCATTCAGTGCAGAGACGGCATTGAAGATCAAGTTGGTCGATGGTCTTTACTATGTGAACGAGGCCTACGATCAGTTCAAGGATAGGATCAAGTCATCAAATCCAAAGATCAAGAAGACACCCAACATGATCTATCTTCCAAAGTACCTCTCATTGTGTGGCAAGCTCAACACCAAGTCCAGGAAGAACAAGATTGCCTTTATCGAGGTCGAGGGACAGATCCATTGTGGAAAGTCACTCAGCAAGATGAATGGAGGACCAACCATTGGCTCAGAGTCACTTCGTCTGGCAATCAGAGCGGCAACATTGGATAAGAGCATCAAGTGCATCATCATTCGTGTGGACAGTCCAGGTGGAAGCTATGTGGCCTCATGCATCGTGTGGAATGAGATCGAGAGAGCAAAGAAGGCTGGCAAGAAGGTGATTGTCTCCATGGGATCAGTGGCAGCGAGCGGTGGCTACTTCATAGCCTGCAATGCAGACAAGATCTTGGCCGAGGAAGGCACCATCACTGGCAGCATTGGTGTGCTCGTTGGCAAGATCAACTACAAACAGACGGTTGAGAAGATCGGTGTAACATTCGATGCGATCAGAATCAATGCCAATGAGAACGACTCTGATGACAAGGACAACAGTTCTTTGTTCTCATCGCTCCACGACTACAATCAGATGCAGCGTGACTTTGTCAATCAAGAGTTGGACGTCATCTACGAGGACTTCACCAAGAAGGTCTCTGAGGGCAGGAAGCTCACCAGAGACGAGGTGGAGGCTTCGGCCCAAGGCAGAGTGTGGACTGGCAAGCAGGCATTGGAGAGGAAGCTGGTCGACAAGATTGGTGGCATGCACGAGGCCATCGAGCTTGCCAAAGAAGCCTGCTCCATACCCAAGGAGGAGAACGTGCAGTTAGTCTCCTTCCCCAAGGAGAACCTCATCGAGATGTTGCTCAGCTCATCACAACCATACAACTCGGAAGAGACCGACAAGAAGGGTGTTCCCGTTGGTATCAATACCAATCTGTGCATGGGCGTGTCCAATGTATCAAAGGTGGTCACAACACTTCGTTCACTTGGCATCCTCGACTCTCTGTTCCAAGTGGCAGCCTCGCGTCTTCCAAACAATCTAGTCAGCGCTGTCAACATGGAATTGAACAGACAGCCAGTTTCACTCCAAGCTGATTCAGGAATAATCAATTCCTTCTCTCTCTAAGAGACACACAATCATCGTTTTATCATCATCACAGGCATCATATGCAACAACAAACTACACCAATATCATATTAAAATGTATACTCGCCATTGCTTTAATTCAATTAATTATTTGTATTACTTGATCAAATGGGCTGGAAATAAGGATGGATTGATGGATGTTAGTGATCACGTGTGATTGATGTAGGTGTCCTTCCAAACAAACTTACATCTAACGGGTATCCTCAGTAGTTCATTGTCATTGACGATGGTCATGTGCAATTGACCTTGGAAGAGATAGGTGACCTTGAGCTGTTTCTCCTCGCCAACTCTTGGATCATAGAAGCCAATCAGATCGGACTTCTTGTTGGGGTGTAGCTCCAGCTTGCTGTCCTCGACCAGATACTGCAGGGGAATGGTCACATCGATGGTGGCGGGATAGTCGACGTCGGCAGAGGCAGAGTGCTCTTTCAACACTCCGTACAACGCCTGCTGGATGACCAGTCCGTTCTTGGCCTGCTCGACTGCCGCCTTTTTGTCGACGGTTGGCCTCATCAGTTGGATGTCAATGCTGGCCCTGCTCCTGGCCTCCTTGTAGGTTTCAGAGTGCTTCTCCTTGCGCGTCTTGATCTGCTCGAGTTCGCGTCGTCTGAGCAGTGGGTTGACGATGAGCAGCTTGAGGCCCGTGAACAGCAGAGATGGCACGGTGAAGAAGATGAGTGATGGCACCAGACCAACGTTGGCATAGATCGGAATGGGTATGTCGAATGATTGGTACTTGTGCTGGAAGCCCAGTGTGTATAGATACTTGGATGGTGACACCTGCATGGAGAATGTCACTCTGAGCACCTTTGAGATACGTCTTGTGATCGCCGCTGTTATACCTCCGAATGAGAGGTTAGAAGTTCCAATCGACACTGACATGTTTGTCTTCTTTGAGATTGGCAAGTGTCTTGTAATGCTAGACCTGAATCCAAATGTGTTGCTGGCCTGTTGTGTGTTTGTGATGGATGGTAACAAGGAGGTTGGTTAATGATCATTACCAATGAGCCAGCTCCAATATACATACGGCAACCTCAAGATCCAGTATTCTATTCTCAACATTCCTTGTCAGTTTCAGGATGGCAGTGGCTGAACCCATTGTGAAGTAGGTGGTCAGCTTGGACTCTACCGTCTGACTAAAGTGCTTATGTAATGATACCTGCAGGTCAGCTGGTATGACATGAGGTAATATGTTTGAACAAGCAATCTGTCCACGTCTAGAAATGATTGAATGAATGATTAGTACATTAACCAACAAGTTCTAATCACACTACATACATTGACTTGGTCAACATTGTCTTGAGAGCAATGTTGGATACGAGTGGCATACGATCGCTGTAGTGTAGTGATGATACGAGTTGGACACGATTGAACAATGTCTTTGAGTATGTTCCAGAGCATCTAAACTCAGAGTCGATACGCTTCTTTGTGAATGCTGGTGTGATTTCAAATGCTCCAATAGGTGTGTTCAGCTGTTGTTGTTGTTGTAGCAGTACAAGGTTAGTCACATGATCATTTACTTGTCCATGATCTAGGTAACTAACTTACTTTGAATGTCTGAGACGAGACAAACTTGTTCAGCCATATAAAGTTGTACTCTGGATGGTAGGCGATGGTCATTGATTGGTAACCATGTCCGTTGAAATAGTCTAGTACTCGCTCCTCTTTCATCGTCCTTTGAATTCGACCAAATGCACGTAGTAGGTTGTCAACCTCCTCGTACCTGTTGATCAGTGATCTCGAGTTGTTTAGACCGGATACACCGTATCGATCATATATCGCTCTGCTCTTCTCATCGCATAGTGTCTCCTTTGCACGACTGATCAATGCAAACTTATGCTGGCTCTGTGCCTTCAACTCCTCATTCGTCTGCTTATCAGGATGATATGTAAATGCCAACTTCTTATAGGCCACCTGTATTTCGCTTGCTGATGCCTAGATATTGACTTGGGTTATTAACATGTAGTTGGTAATAGAGGTAAGACACACTTACATCTCTGGGTACATTCAAGATGGCGTAAAAGTCTACGTTGTCCTCGTCTTGTTCTGAATCAGGTTGCAAGTCATCTTCATAGTCGCTGTCTGTATCGCTCTCTGCAAAGGGATCATCCCCACCCTCAAAGTTATCACTACTCATTCTTCTCTCTCTCTCTATCTATATATATCTGATGATCTTATAGAGATCGAATTGGATTGATTGATTGAATGAAGCTCACACACAAGAATTCAAAAGTACAGTAGGGTTGGCGCGCAAAAGAAAGACAGATAATTTGTGTGTGTTGAGCAGTGATCATATGATCGTCCATGTGTTTTATTTCTTTGGATTCCATAACCTTTTAAATACATTTAGTAATGATGATGATGGTGATGATGTTGGACTCTTGTTGGATGATGTATATAGTGGATGTGGAGGACGTTGTTGTACTGATTTGATGTATTGATGTATTTCCAATTGGTTGTGATCAATTGCCAAGTCCATCAGTGAATTGAGCTCACTGAAATGTTGCCTCTCATCGTCCATTATCCTTTTGATTGCACCAATGTTACCTAATATAATCGCATATTTTATACCTCTTATTGTTGGTCTACATTCGAATTGATCAATCAACTTGCCAATCAGCTGTTCATCGCCATTCATACAACTCTCGTCACCAATTCGAAAAGAGTATTCTGCCGTGAATTGATCGCCCATCTCTTTCAACATCCTTACAACCATATCACTGTCCTTACAATGACGTACAAAGTGTAGTACTGTCAATGGAAATACTGTCGTTTTTAGGTAGTTGTCCTTGTCAAAGTCGTTGTTGTCATTGTTGTTGTTGTTGTTTAAGTGATTGAGGATTGCCTTGTGATGACCTTTATAACTTGTGATGTATAGTGCGTCAAGATTGTTTCCAGGTACAAATCCAAGTTTACGGTCTTGATCACGAACGAATGACCACACTTGTCTGCGAAGTACGACGTTGTTGAAGAGTACTGAACGAAACAATGAGTCTGGAACAAAGCCTTGGCTATGTGGTTGAAGGACGGGTGGAGCCAATATCCGTGGAACAAGACTGATCTCTGGATCTTTGGTATTGTTCATGATCAAGTCCATTATAATGTTCCTTAGAGTGTCTAGGAGGTGACTGCTTTGATTATGGTTCGACTCGATGTAATGGTATGCAGAGAATTCCAGTGCCATCTGGCAACATTGTTGATAGGTGACCACTCTTGATTGGTGTAGGTCCGTCTTGTTACCAATGATCACCATTTTGGTGCGATGACCATATCGCTGGAATTCGTTGGCCCAACGAGTGAAGTTTTGGTACGACTCCAAGTTGGTCACGTCAAAGACAAACAGCACCAGTGAGAAGGCTGGGATTAGACTACTGCTGTGATCCATTGTGATTGACACATGTGGGTGATCATCATTGAGTTGTGGCATGTCCAATGCGAATGTCGACACTGATGGCATCATATAACTCACTAGACGTTCCTTCTCCACTGGTCTAGCATTTGAAGAATAGTCCAGAATTCTCTTTAAAACAGTGAACTTGCCAACATTTGTATCACCAATGATCTTTATCCTGTAGACAGATGGCTTGATCTTATAAGTACGAAATACAGACATTATATATTATTATTATTATATTGTTGTTATGTTATGATCATTTGGAATGTTTGTTGTGAATCCATCTTTTACTTCCTTATCCTCCTCTTTCTTTTGATGTTTCAGATTCAAAGAGACACGAATCAACCCCAAACAAACAGATTCATTATATTTAAAGAGCGAGTGTAAGTTGTAAAGTAAACTTGTAATGTCGTACAACAATATCAATAGTATGTATGTTACTCTTGAGTTATTGATACAACAACAATTACAACGACAACAACAACAACAACTACAACAACAGCTACAACACTGTTTGTGTGTCAATCTCTTTATCTCTCTTTGGTTGTTGGTTTGATTGATGTGTTTTTAATTCATTTTTATTGTGTGTTGTTCAAGGTGGGAGTGAAGAGAATGGGAGAGGGGTGTGTTGTTCATCAAGTGACTTCAATCGTCATTCTCGATCAAGCACAAAAGTATTACATACATACTATTTATAAACAACTACATATACAGACAAAATGACTATTACAACAAAGATTGTTGGAGAGGAGGGAGCCGGTTCATTCCGTGTTTACTTTAGTAAGTAAATCAGTAAACCTTACTCTTCTCTCTCTCTCTCACATCACTCACTCTCAACTACATAAACAGTGAACGGTGATCATGTTGTCTCACCATTCCATGATGTCCCACTCTGGGTCAACCAGCAAACTGCTGTTGCCAATATGTTGGTTGAGATCCCACGAGGAACCAATGCCAAGATGGAGATCTCTACAAAGGAGTTGATGAACCCAATCAAGCAGGACGTCAAGGACGGTAAGCTCCGTTTCGTTCACGACAAGTACCCATTCAACTATGGTGCTCTGCCACAGACATGGGAGAATCCAAACCACGTCCATCCAGACACTGGTGCCAAGGGTGACAACGACCCCCTTGATGCCTGTGAGATTGGTTCTGCACTTGGCACCCAAGGACAGTTCAAGCAGGTCAAGGTACTCGGTGTCTGGGCCATGTTGGACGCCGGTGAGACTGACTGGAAGATCCTCTGTATCGATGTTACCGATCCATTGGCTGCTCAAATCAACACCATTGAGGATGTTGAGAAGCATATGCCAGGAAAGATTGAGGAGGTGTTCACCTTCTTGAGAGACTACAAGATCCCCGACGGAAAGGGACCAAACAAGTTTGCCTTTGACAGCAAGCTGTTGGACAAGGAGTTCGCCGTCAAGATCACCAACGAGACACACGAGGAGTGGAAGGCACTGGTCACCGGTGCTTGCGAGTCCCCATTGGCCATCGAGTCCACCCTTAAGGAGGGTGTCAAGAAGTCCGTCTGCGGTCTTGCTACCAAGACTCAATTGAAGCTATGAATCGACGACCCATCTCAACGACTACGTCACTCCCTTCCAGTTTCAAAGTTATAAAGTGATCAAAACACAGTGATTTGTTCAACAATCTTCCAAACTTATTATTATTGTAAATCAATCAGATATTCGAAAGAGATAGAGATAATGGAGTCACTATCTATATACTTGATCAAATACTTGACTTGTAATTATATATTGGATGATGTTGATGTGGCTTGTCTTGCTATGACATGTAGCAAACTACGTAGATGTTTAACATCATCCAACTCAATCGGTCATATACATCTTACTTCATACTATCAACAAAGACATCACGATACCAACAACCAACAAGTACTTATATTTAGTGACTCATATAATATTAAACTCATACCCAATGTATTACCAAACAACTTAACTACACTATCATTTGGGTACTATTATAATCAACCAATAGTGTCCAATGATGTACTACCACAATCATTAACTAAGCTATCATTTGGATACTCTTATGATCAGAAGATAAAGAATGGAATACTACCTCCACTGTTATCACTTACACTTGGTGGATTATACAATCATCCAATCGATGATTCACTTCCATCATCACTCACTGAACTTATAATGGGCGTAGATTTTAATCATCCATTGCTATCACTACCCAAGTCACTGCGGTCACTTACACTGAGCTATCATTTTAATCATCCAATTGGTCATGGAGTACTGCCTAGTGGACTCACCTATCTCAAGTTCAAACAACAGTTTGATCAATACATTGAACCAGGTACATTTCCATCGAGTCTAAAGGAGTTGGTCTTTGGAGATGATTTTAGGCATCGATTGGTGGAGGGAGTCCTACCTGAAGGTCTACTCATACTACGATACGGACTGTATAGTTCGATTGAGCCACGGGCACTACCTCAATCGTTGACAATACTACATATTGGTCCACAGTACAACAGGCCTATTGAACCTGGAGCACTACCAAGACATCACTCACAGAGTTGACATTCAATTCCAACGCAAGCTTCAACGAAAAGGTCAATCATACCAATCTTCCAAACTCTGTCAGGACACTTAGATTCGGTCAGAGCTACAACAGACCCATACTACATGATACCCTGCCACAGTCACTTACCTTACTCACCTTTGGTACCAACTTTAACTACAGTCTTCCATTGAACACCTTGCCACTATCCCTGACATCGTTGATACTAGGAAGACATTTCAATCAACTGATTGTGAATGGTCAGCTACCTCACTCAATCACTCGATTGGCATTTGGCTTAAACTTTGATCAGACATTAGTACGTAGTGTATTGCCATCTGATCTATTGGACCTTACACTCAGCGTCACGTACAAGCAAGTGTTGGCTCCACCCCATACTCTTACACATCTCCAACTTGACAACGCTGGCTTCTATGGATCAATTAATATGTTTCCAAATGGATTGCGATATGTCAAGGATATACCTAGACTCAAAGCACTGACCATGAGGTGGAATGCAGACTTTGACATCAACATGTTGAAACAACTTATAATCAATCTTCCCAGCGTTGAGACATTTAGATTAGAATGTCAAAGTGAACTACATCAATATGTACCATACTCAATACGTGTGGTTGATAATGGTCAATGGCTCCTATGTTGTTCAATCAAACAGGTCACCTATCTACCTGTGGAGAGGTTGGAGAATTGTAAGAGGTACTTGAAACAAAGGCAACAGCAATAAAATAAGTTGGGTTGTGTTACCAGTGTGACCTCGCGTGCGAGAGTGGGGAGTGTTCATTCATTCTGTCAATGACTCATTCTGTCAATGACTCACTCATATGATCACATTAATAATAGTTACTATTACCCATTGATTGGACAGATTGATAGAAGATGGACTGTGCCTATGCCGACGTAGTCAACACTCTATCGCGCCTATTCAACTTAATTCTCATTGATTGTAATAAACGATATCTGTTTGTTGCAGTCGAGTAGTTGTGTGTGAATGAATATGCAAGAACCTACAGTCACCACAATGATTCATCAGCAGATAGTTAACTTATCTCTATTGTTGTCCACCAATCTCTTTAAAGTATGAACAATACTGCTGGACTCCATTGATTATTATTTAAAAAGAGTAGCAGCAGTAGAAAGAAATAACAATACATCAACAACTTATACTTATATTTATATACTATAACAATAACAAAGACATGTTCCTATTCGATTGGATTGAATCATTACTTAACTGGCTTGGATTCCTCAATAAAGAGGGCACACTGATGATCATCGGCCTTGGAAATGCTGGAAAGGTATGTTCACGGAACGAGGGATCTTGTGATCTATCACAGTCAACATAAACTGACATTAACCCAATCATTCAATCAATTAATCAATCATGGTATCATAGACTACATTACTGTAAGTGAATCAACTACATCATAACAAGATAGTTGAAGATATGCCTAACTCTCTCAATCAATCAATCACATAGACAAGTACTCTCTAAAGATGTATTGAGACAACATATGCCAACACTAAGACCTCACAGTGATAGCTTCGTATGTGTTGTAGAGCATTGATACATACAGTAGATCACCAACTAACATCAATGTTGACACAATACAGAATGCTGGAAGCATCAACTTTAAGGCTTGGGACTTAGGTGGACAACAGAATCTTAGATTCTTGTGGCGAGACTACTCTCCTGCCGCTACCAATGGCAAGAGTATTGTGATATTCATGATTGACAGTACTGATCAACAGTTGTTGGCAGAGGCAAAGTCTGAACTGTACGATGCGATGGAATATACAAACAATGCACCAATGCTCATTGTTGGAAGTAAGATAGACAGAGAGGGAATGTCACGCGATCAACTGATCAAGGCACTGGATCTGGACACCAACACACTTGGTCTAGGCAACGAAAGGTCACCCAGGATACTAGATGTATTGATGATCAGCTCAGTGTCAAGGAAGGGTATTCCAGAGATGATGAACTGGTTGATCAAGTGTCATGGTCTGATTGGAAACTAAAAGATAGATGATATACATATTATATACTTAATGTTCATGAACATTACACTTTACTTGAACTTATATACAGTCTTTAACAGTTCCAATCTCTCATCAGGTGTTACGGACTTCTTGTCCTTCTCTCCAGAGGGATTGGTGATTGTGAAGCTATCGCCAGTTAATACGGCCTGGCCAACTTCGGGTGCAAGTAGCAAACAGGTTAGATGATTGACGTTGAATGTCTCGAGCTCGTCCTCGTGGATCAAGCGTTGTGTTGTGTTGATAGTCTGCTCGGTTGCAATGATGTCGGTAGAAAAGGCGTAGCCCAGACGCCATTGATCGTTTGGATTCTTGGCCTCGAGCAAGTGTGTTCCCTTCTCGGTCTGTTGCACGTTCCATCTGTATGAGCCAGTGCGGGAGGTCACCTCTTGGCCTCCAAGTGGTATGGGCTTCAGCGCAAGGAACAGACCAAAGCCAACGTCAATCAAAAAGTCAGAGGTGGCGCCATCGTTCTCTTTGTGCAGGACTGTTATGATGTGGCCGTTGTTTGGTGCCCACTTGTCAAGTGTTTGTTGGTTCCATACGGTGCCAACATGTTGAGTGACGTTGAAGCCACAGTCGACCAGGAAGAGGTAGAACAGTCGATTGAGGTGGTAGCAGAGACCACCCCTGTTTGATTTGATCACCTTTTGAATCAGATACTCCTTAGAGATACCAGATGGTTGATGACCAATGACATCAGAGTTCTCGAATGGTATGTGCAATGCGAATGCTGTCATCACCTCTGGTAAGTCTTCAAACAGTATAGTCCTATGTGGGTCCAGTCCGATTCTCTCCAACAACAGTTGTTGTAACTCTGTATTAGTGTCCATTATTGTATAGCAGTATAGTATAGTATTGTATTAATAAATAAATAATAAATGAAGAATGAAGGAATATATATATTTATATCTTTGTATATGTGTTTGATAATATATCTTACGTGAAGTAACTCCTACTTTATAATAGTTTATTACACATCGGAAGACAAAATGAAGAGTCAGATCCTTCCAAAAGAGTCAACCCCCAAGATTCGAGAATCTATCAACTTTCGTTTTTGGAAGGACAAAGATTCTTCACAGCTTACAACACCAGTCACTATCAAACGCATCATAATTATTTTACCAACAGATAATAAGGAAATGTTGCTTCATGATTGGATGCGATGGTAATGTCGGAGCATTATACTTTCTCCAATTCAATACCAACGAGACTTTAGGGTTATGTTCTCGTTTGACTCGACATGTCAGTCGACGACAGACAATTTAGAAAGAGACTGACAGTGAGTGTATAAGCTCAAGCGATGAGATGATACAAATAAATATATTATTAATGTTTATGTTTAGATTTAGATTGAGATTGAGCGAGTTGGTGACGGATTGTCTACAGGAATGGATTGACACTTGTGTTGCCACTCTCTTTCTCGTGACGTCCAAGGTACTTGCTCTTGTAGAGTGGTTTGTGACCAATTTCCTTCTCTACTTTAGCATCTACAATGGCTTTCTTCCTGTTGGCATCATCAATCCTCTTCTCTTCCTCCTTGATTCCTTTCTTCTTCTCACGCTCTACCTGTCTGGACGACTTCCTCCTGAGCTCAAAATGATTGCCTCTGTCCATTGATTGATCTATATCGTCCAGTTTAATGGATTGTCTCTGGACCTCGGTGTGTGTGGCAATGGCTACATTCTTCATGTCAGCCAGGATGAGGTTCATCTGGTCCAAGTGTTCATCCTCCACCTTTATCCAGTTGGCATTCTTGATGTAGACATTGTCACGTAGATCCTCCTCATTCTGTTGTTCAATAGGTTTACTGCGTTCCATTGATTGTTCCGCTTGTTGTTTGATATCACTTGACTTTCTCCATAGTTTAGAACTAATACCCTGACGGTCATCTGTCTTTTCCAAGTTTGGTGTATTATATAAAGCCTTCTTCTGCTCCATCTCCAACAACCTATCCTGCTCTCTCTTCTTCATAATCACATCATTGGCATGATGTCTTGCCTCTACTACATTCAACTCATGATGTATCTCTTTCTACAATAACAATAAGTTAATAATGGATGTGAATATGAATGAATGAGTAGTAATACATACAGCCTTTGGTTTCTCCTCCTTATATTTATCCTTCTTTGACAACTTCTTCATATATTTATGGAACTTCTTATACTTTCCCAATCCTTTAACATGTCTACAATTATAATAATATTAATTACCTAAAAGTGTTCCATCATCTCTCTCTACCTCCATTGGTATGATTACATACTGTTCCTGTTCATTTGTTAACCTTTCTACACGATCCATTTGTTCACCTTGTTCACCTAGCTTCATTAGAGTATCCACACCAGTTGAATGAGTTTCTTGTAGTTGAGCCAACATCTTGGCAGTCCTATCGGTGCTAGAGTATTTAGCCTCCCATTCCAAGAGATCACTCTTTATACTCTCCTCAGAGTATAAAGATGCATGATGTTGTGATCTTTCGTCCATTCTATATTATTATTGAATATCCAAACAGTATCTGTATAATATTATTATTACTTATTATTCCAGCTTCAAAACTAATGATATGTGGTAGGATAGATTGAAATATAGAGACCAAGTCAGTCAGTCAGTCAGTTAGATATACTCTTTCTTGTTCAACTACAACACCAAGCTAGTCCTTCAATGGGGTTGGTGTGTGGTTAGTTGGTTGCCTCTTATGGACAAGTGTGTGTTTGTGTGTTCATTGCTCCCACATACACACACTATGAACACACCAGGCACACTACAATGACGACACGTGTCGTTGGTCTCGTCGAGTCCAGAGATTGGATTGCTGCCAATGTTGCCGCTTCAGAAGTCTGTTGCTGCTTGTTGTTGGTGAGTTTATTATTATTGATCATTAACCAAGTTTGATGATGATTATGCTTAATGATGTCATGTTGATATATTGTTGTTGATAGATTATGTATTGGTAGAAAACTTGTGTCTGTAGAAGTAGAGTAGTTGATGGATGTATAATGGTTAATACTTGGTTGTAGATGATATATATTGGTGTATATCACTGAGATACATACGAACACTTTTGGCATTCATAAAAGATGGTCTGACCTTCATCTGCTGATCTGGTCTGTGCAGTCTTGAAGTACATCTTGCCATGTCCACACTTTGGACACTCCTCGTCGATCTCTGCACCACGATCCTCCTCGTCATCCACCACCTTCTTTGGCTTCTTAAAGAGTGTACTGTTGGATGTGATCACCTTCTGACCAAGAACTAGTGTAATAACATTTGAGTCAGTCAGTCAATGCTCACCAACTAATGAACGACATTGATGTTCTACTTACTTGACTTGTCAGCACGGAATTTACAAACGCTGCACTTGGCTTGCTTGCCAAATGGCTCAAGGAATTGAAGTAGGTTGTTGCACTGTGGACAAAAGTCGGCCTTCATCTCCTTGTTCAATGCATTCCAAATTGTGGTCTGGTTTGATGACTGTTGCAGTGTCTTGTGCTCTCCATTCTGAGATGATGTGCTTCTGCTGCTACTATCCTTTGATTTGCTTGGTGTTGAGTTGTTGCCGTTTGATGATGATGATTGTTTTGACTTCTTGTTCTTGTCATTGTCGTCCTCAAGGACGGCCTTTCTCTTCTTGTCAGCACTCTCTTTCTCCTTCTTGACCTCCTCCTCAGCTTGTTTCTTCTTCTTCTTCTTCTTGTCCTTTTCGTCCTCAGTGCTAACATCATCATCCTCCTCCTCCTCATCGTCAGAGCCAGGCTTTGACTTCTTCTTGTCCTTCTTCTCTTTCTTATCCTTCTTGCTCTTCTTCTTCTTATCAGTATCATTGTCACTGTTTTCAGCATCACTTGATTGTTTGCTTGACTTCTTCTTCTTCTTCTTCTTCTTGTCGTTATCTTCATCCTCCTCTTCATCATCTGTGTTGTCTGCCTTTTTACTCTTCTTCTTGTCCTTCTTATCCTTCTTATCTTTCTTCTCTTTCTTCTTCTTCTTCTTCTTCTTATCATTATCATCATCACCATCACTGCTTGTATTCATTCTATCGTCATCATCATCATCACTAGTCTGTACTATGACCTTCTTCTTGCTATCCTTCTTTTTCAGTTGCTTATCATCATCATCACTATTATCCTCATCCTCATCCTTTCTCCTCTTCTTATCCTTTATCTCTTTATCCTTTGCCATATCTATATATTATCTGATCTCTTTATATATATACTTCAGATTATCACTTTGATTTCGTGTTCATCTGATTTGACCATGGTGCATTCAATCGAAACTTTCGTTTGTCGCTCGAATTCAATTATATTAAAAAAATAAATAAAATGTTTGACCTCAAACACGACAATGAAGGAATGAATGGAAACAGATAAACAGCATGCTTGTTTGTATATATAATACATATACACACTATATAGAGTGTGTTTATTACTATCTATCTTATCTACTATTCTGATAACTCATTATAGAGTAAAGACCATAGAGTAGTACTGCTTGCTTGTGTGAACATACTGCCAGTAGGGAGAGATGACACTTCTCTGCAGGTTGCAACTCAAAGCCTAACATTGAGTAGTCCTCTTTGGTTATGCTGTCAGGGAAGCATACAGCCTTCTTTACATAGTGTTTCAGGTCTCGGTTCAGTAGCATGTTGACCTCACGATAGTTGTAGTCGTCGTGACAGATGCCCTTGACGCGCTGTACATAATACCAGATGGCGCGTCTGAATGGCAGTGTGTCGATATCGGTGTTGTTGTTGAATTGATTGTAGGTGAGGGAGTAGACGAGGTTGAACTCCTCGTCGAGCAGCGAGGCCACCTCTGGGAAGATTCTGCTGACCAGTTCGTAGCCGTGCTCCTTCCAGCTGTAGTCCTGCACAGAGAACACTTGGTACTGGCGAGACTGGATGTCAAAGTCGGAATGAGTCATTGTGAAGTCTCCAGTGTACTTGGAGAATTGGGAAGATGTCTGTTGTGTTGGTATGCCATTGTTGGTTGTTGATCCACCACTCTGGCTGCTATTGCTACTTCCATCTGAAGTGTTGGATGCGTTGTTGATGTTGTCGAATAGTGGCGATGGTTCAAAGAGACCTGCATTAAGGAATTCTGTGTGTCGGTCTCCAGTCTCTTCGGCCTCTTGATCATCAACGGATGATCTGACTCTCATCTTGCCCAGTAGCTCCATTATCTTGATGGTGTTGGTCATGGATGATGGATCGTTCATCTCAAACTCTCCACTCTCATCCAATGAGAAGCATTGCTTCTCCTCGGTGATTAGGCCATACTCTGGAAGGATGCCACATGAGGACACAAAGCCAGACAGTGAGAGGAATGTGCTTATGACGATCATGGCATGTATCAGCTCGGCGATGGACCAGGAGTCGGTGCCCTTGACCAGGTAGCCAATGTCAAAGGATACCATGTGCCATGGCTGATGTGCCATGGTCTGAATCATCCCCATGAGGTTCCTCAGCTTGTTGGGGATGTGATCGATGCCTGCCAGCCACTTGGGATCGCCCTTGTTCTGGATGAACTCGTGCTCTTGGAGGGACACCAGATAGGTGCAGTTGTAGCGTGAGGCCGTGAGTATGGCAATATAGTTGCGCCAAAATAATGGCAGAGGGCCAGGATCACGCATGACCTTGTTATAACTTGAAAGGAACTTGTCAAGATATTGTGGATGCCATCCAAGTAGACGAACTACACGATTAACACGGCCAGACTGCATGAATACCTCTTGGAACAATTGTTTCGTTGTCTCATCACTCGTGTTGAGTGGTGTCAACTTGGACTCCTTTATGAATGATGTAGTTCTTTGCTTTGGAATATGATATTTATCCTAATGTGATGATGAATTGGTAAGTATATTGATCACTGGACATATATGATCCAACTTACTTGTATCAGATGAAGGAATGTTGTAAAGGTCTGAGTGATCTCCTCGAATGGAGACTCGGTGGCCAACACTATTATTGTGTTGAGATGAAGACGTAGCAGTCGTTCATTGTCTGGCTCCTTCAGGGCTGATGTGATGGACTCGAGAGCCGACAGTCTTATATCAATGTCTGGTGATTGTAGATGTTGGAATAATGTTGATATTGGATCTGTCTCTCCCTTTGGAGAGTGAACTGGACTGTAATGTGTGTTGGCGCCATCATATACAGCTGCACCATTAATATTATTACTATCTGAAGAGAGTGATAAAGAGTAGATTGATGTCGTTGGTGATTTGAAAGGAGAAGTGGAAGGAGATGGTGAAGTGGACAACGTTGAGTTGGTCATCATCATATTAGAATTGTGGTCGGGTTGTGATGGACAGAGGAATGCGGCCATTGATGAGGATGCCAACCGTCTGCTATTGGTCCGCAATGGAGTGGTATCCGATAGCTGTTGTTGGACATCCTCTAGGCATTTAGTCCTACCTGATATTAATGTTGTTGATGCTGTTGTAGATATTGTTGAAGGTTGGCGTTGTGGACTGCTGCTGACCACAATTGGAACAAACAAAGAAGTTGGTTCAGACATATTATTATTTTCTTTAGTTTGTTGTTGTATTTGTTTGTCTTAGCTGGATGGATGGATTGATTAATTGATTGGAATTGAAATGGAATGGAATGGAATTATAATGATGAGTTGTGTGTTTGTTAGTTAGTGAAGAGTTATTGGTAATCTCAGATATGTATATTTAGACATAGGGTTTCCAAACATGTCCCAACACTCCGATCATTAATTTCGTTTGAAGGGACATGTGTGTGTGGCGAATGGGTGGGAGTGTGGCTGTGCGATGATGTCCAACTTACTTTGGTTAGACTCTATAGTCACAAAGGAGGCAACAACAGAGTTTCAGAAGAAGTATGATAGCTATAGACCTGGCTGACAACTGACTGTCTGACTGAGGATTGAGAGAGAATGTGTTTGCAGACGACCTCCTTCAAAGAGAAAGAGAGAGATGATTATTTGAATGAGTAGTGTCTTCTTCAGACCTTCCAAACTTCGTATATGGTCGACTAAAAAGAGAACTGTGTTTGTGTGTTTGTGTGTGTCTTATGTTGTTGTTGTACCCCACCAAACGATCTTCATCAGAGATGGTAAATATATGTGTGTCAATAATAATAATGAAGGTATAATAATAATGTGTTGTTGTTGTTGTTGTTGTGGATTATTAGAAGTGCGTGAACAGAGAGAGAGAGAGAGAGATGTGGAAGCAGAGCAGGGTGAGGGAGTCAAGATGGATTCAAATTCAATTTGGAGTGCATTGAAATTGAACATAATGAAATCAGCCTAAAATTGCACCTGGGGTGATAGAACCACACTAATTTGGTTATAATAATATGTGTGTTTTGTTGTTGCGTATGATGTGTGTGTGCAGGTGTAGGTGTATAATTCTCATGAATAAAGACACGTATTGTAAATCTGTGTTTGTGTGTATTGGAAGAGTGTGTGTTGAAGGGAAGGAAGTGCGCTCGCGACCAGTTCTGGTCACCTCTACGACTAGAACTCACCAAGTGCTTGCAAGCACTTACGCGCTCGCCAGTCCAGCATTGATGGGAAGTCGTAAGCGTTCGATGTGTAACTCTTTGCTTTCTTGATGTATGCTCTGCATTCAGTCTTTTTCTCCTCTGCCAACATCAGCTCCGCCAAGCCAACGCTTGCATAAGGTATGATAAAGTGATCGTAAGATAACTGTTTCTCTCGCGATAGTGATGCCTGTATATCGATGATTATGAAGATGAAGATGATGAGGTTGTTGGGGTGGTTGTGCAATCAATCAATCAATCAATCGATCAATTAATCCATTAGTTAGTTAGTTATTGCCGATTATGGATAACATAACAATCACATACCATATAATGCTTCTTTGCTTCTTCCGACTTGCCCAATTGTTGATCGTTAAATCCAAACATGTACTCTGCAACGGAGATCTCCTCTGACGTCAGACCAGGCAGGGTAATGGCTGCCTGTAGTACTTGGTTGCTCTCTTCAAAGAGATGTGCTTCGTTGAGCAGCGCTGCCTTGAGGTACTCTCGTTCAAATGCATTCAGTTGCTTGTTCTTGATGTATCGCAGCGCTTTGCGTTGGGAGAACTCATCAAAGTCGTATCCTTTGCGCACACATGAGTCGATTGTTCGCATTGTCTCCATGGCCTTGTCGCGGTTGTCCTGCATCTCGTAGCAGCATGCCAGTTGATAGGCAATGAATGCCTTGAAGCCCTTGCTTGTCGTGCCCTGGAGGAAGAGTGATAGATGCTGCTCGGCAGCAGCCCAGTTGAGATTGAGGAATTCGTTGTAGCCCAGCTCCGACTCTATGAACAGCTGCAGCTGCTTAAGCTCTGTTGAGTTCTTGAGTGCATTGTTGTAATATATTGATGATTGTGCAGTGTTGCCCTTCTTTCTCTGGATCGCACCAGACATATAGTTGATCATTGCGCCATCCGGGTATCTCTCCAAGAGTTCATCGATCGTTGCCTTTGGTGTCTCAAAGTCCTCAAAGAAGAAACAATATAACAATGCGTAACAACACTTGGCCATTATAGCTGATGTGGAAGGTATATGTTAGGTGACTGATTGAATTGATTGATTGATTGAATGGTTGAATGACAACTTACATCTAATACCATATGTGATATCCGCTGCTATCTTTATCTCTTTGACACCTTCCATACGGTTGGCTTTGAAGCCGATACCTTCGACCAACCATACGTATTGGGGCGGCACGGCAGAGACGAGGAAGTGGAATATACCCACACCATAGTATGAGGCGCTGGCAATGTGTTGGTAGGCGGGGAAGGTGGATGGGAGTGCCTGGACGACCTCGAATGCCTGTGAGAACTGCTTCCATGACTTTCTGAATGATAGACCTGCTTTGATATTGTTCTGTGCCTTGAACTCCAGGATGCCCTTCATGACCAATGACTCGGCGTACACCAGTTTGGCGATCAGGTACTGTGCCTTGGTGACCTGTGAGTCGGCGGTGGCACCATTTGAGCCACTGCCATTCTTCTTCTCATCCTTCTCCTGCTTGATATAGAGTGGCTTTTGTGAAAGTTGTTGTTCACGTGCCAGCTTCTTGGCGTTGCCTATACGCTTTGAGGCCTCGTCCGAGTCCTCCTTGGTCTCGGTCAGACCACATTTGATAAAGGAAATATCTGCATACAACAATGCAAACAGTGGCAATCTGTCATTGTACTTTAAAAGTATCTTTTCACACTCTGTTGAATGATTGATTGATTGATTGATTGATTTGGATTAGTATTGGTGTATCAACACAGACAGACAGACAGAATGTGAGGGACAAGCCAATCTACCTTGTAATTTGAATGACCAAAACAGTTGGATGGCCTCATTCAATTGATCTGTTTCTTCAACATTCATTGTCTATATATATATAAATATAACTTTTACACTTATTTCTATTACTATCTATTAATACAAAGTGATTCGGTTGTATGGTACTGGCACCAACATGAATCAGAGATGAGACGTTGAAACAACCCATTTTTTGATAGACAGACAGATATTTTTCAAAGTTTGACGAAACTTCTCCATCCTATTTGTGGGGCATCAAAGAAGTTGTGAAAGGGTGTTTAATGATGATTTGGTTGCATCATTATTGTTATTCCAAACTAAAGTTGTACAAGTATTTGCAAATAATATGTTGTTCGTGAAGTGAGATAGGAAGGCTTCGTTGGGGTTGACCTCTTCTTCTTACGAAACTACATGTTCATCTTCTGATGAACTGAACAACAACAACAACAACAACAACAATAGCAATCTCATATAATGATATGAACAATGAATAATTGTATGTTCTTAAGCTTGGATGCAGTAGTAGTTGTTGAAGAGATATCTGAATGTCCATTGATAACCCAATCAAACTGTGATTATTGTACAGGTAACTCACTAACCTACTAACAAACTAGTTTAATAACTAACGAACTGACCAAAGTAGAAAGTTTTTGGATCAAGACCCACGACGACTGACTGTCCACTATCCAATGGTTCTTTTCATTATGCTTCAACAGGCGTGTGACTACCAGCAAAGGAAATTCATTGGTTGACCAATCAAAATCGATTATTGACTTGTTTTTGAAATAACTCAGTGACCAATGCACATTGGTACCATGATTATAATGTTATTGTTGTTGTTGTTAATGATGGTGTTGATGATGTTGATGATGATGATATTGACAATAATGTCAAGGTGACATCTGTCATACACCCATTCTGATTACCATTGTACTATTCAAGAGATAATAATAATATATATATTTATATAATTCAGATCATACCATATGGTCTTGCTTAACAACAACATTCAACCAAACACTAAGGTAATACCCATTAGTTCAAAACTTTGTGACATTGCCCCATTAGGGCAATCTGTTTGATGTTGGTGTTTATTGTTGTTTCCATTCACAATCATACACACAATTCAATCCATGCTCTGACCAAATTGACCTCTCTCTTGGATTGTGATGATGGATCACACTAGCTAGTCATACTCTATACCAATAACACACACACACACACACAACTTAATCGACAATGCTCATTCACACACAGAGATATAGTACATAACAGATACAATATATTGCGATGTGATGCGTTCAAGTAGTATGCATGTGACATTCAATCATGTATCCAACCAAACAGGTATATATTTATTTAATCACACACCTTTCCATCTTCTCATTTACACACACACACATAAATGAACCCACACACATCATCCATCACACACATAATTAACACTACCTGTGTGTATGTGTATGTGTTGTTGTTGTTGTTAATGAATGGATAGTGATGAGTTGGTGTGGTTGTGCTCATTTGCCACACATTTGATAAGAGATAGAGATAGAGAGAGAGAGAGAGAGAAGAAGATAGAGATAGCACTATCTATAAATATATATAAATATAAATATTAGTTTGTCACGGCGTCAACAAATTCCAGTTGCAACAAACTACAGTATCCATCTTACAAATTCATCTTATCGTGCATCGACAAAATCATCACAACTCTTTGGACTACCACCTGGCCAATAGATAGTGACAGACAGACAGACAGAGACAGACATATAGATTGACAGGCTGGCTGCGTATACAGGTAGACATCAAACAATCAATCCAACATCACACACATCACCATCAACCAACTGAAATTGCCTAGTTGGATTATTTAATCTCGTAACAAGTGTATCCATCCCCGACAAACGTAAGTTGGTATACACTCACAACACACAGACATTGATTGGGTATGGATCGATCACTCGTCTCTCTCTCATTTGTTCTCTGTCGTCAATCAAACCACGCACACTCCTTCCTGCCTACTGCTTCACCACCATATTAGGCAATGTTGCCACACTGTCTGATCGATTGATTGATTGATTGATACCACAATCCATACATCAAACCATCAATCAGTCCATCTTTCTATCTATCTATCCACACATCCACCCGACCATCGGAACACAGAGTGGAGCACTGGTGCACACACTCATATTCATTCCTTTAAATAATAATAATAATATTTATAAATATTAATAATATAACCATCAACCATCAACCATCAACAATTCAATCCATTCATAATCATTATCTAACAAACAACAACACCAACAATAATATTTACATTGCCAATAGATCAATTCAATCAGCAATAGTGCTCCACCAATATTATCATTAAGGTTGGACATTATATATAACAAAGTGTATAGATACTTCAAGAAGAGAGGATCACGCAGCAAGACAATGACCGAAACGATGAAGGCGCATAATATCAATGACCACTTGGGTCTGGAAAAGAAGGATTCTCACCAGCTGGCCAAGGATTCATCATCTTCCACCACTTCGTCATCGTCCTCTTCGTCTTCATCAACATCGGGTGCCAACAACTCCACATCGTCGTCGTCACATAGTTCCAAGACCTACCCCTACGAAATCCTCAGAATCGTAGGCCAGGGCACCTTTGGCAAGGTGTACGAGGCCAAGAACAGTGACGGCAAGCGTGTTGCCATCAAAAAGGTGGAGAAGTCCAGCCATTTCATCAGTAGAGAGTATGACATCCTAAAGGTTATCAATCATCCCAACTGTCTAAAGATATTGGATATTTTTATTACCAATGAGGATAACAAGAAGATGCAAGTATGTATTCAACAACAACAACATTGATAGCTTCAAAGCCAATGACTAACATTATATTAATTTAGAACTTAGTGTTTGACTTCATACCATATACACTGGCCAGTCTGCTAAAGAAGAAGACATTGTCTTTGAACTTTATCCGTGTACAGTTCTACCAACTGTGTCAGGCCATCAAACATATACACTCCAAGAATATATGTCACCGAGACATTACGCCAAACAACATCCTGCTGAACGCCAAGGGAGAGTTGGTACTGGCAGACTTTGGCAGTGCCAAGATACTAGAGTTCAATCACACCAGCATGTCATATATATGCTCACGATACTATCGCGCACCTGAACTCTTGGTTGGTTGTCAGAACTACTCTACAAAGATTGTATGTATATTCATCAATATTATCAGTCCAATTGATTACTTACCACGATCTCATCACTTAGGATATATGGTCGATTGGATGTATCCTTGCCGAGATGTTGAATGGTAAACCATTGTTCCCAGGAACAAATTCGGCAGATCAACTCGCCAGGATTATCGAAGTACTTGGAACACCAACATCAGATGATATGGAGGCCATGAGACCAAGCAAGAGTCACTCAATGCAGGTGCCATCTGTTCGAGCAAAGATGTTCGATGCGTTCAACTCTGTGGACTGCAGAGAGGTAGTTGATCTACTATCAAAGATACTGGTGTTTGATCCAACAAAGAGTATGTACAACTATTACTACAAGGGACATCTACCGATGACTAACAAAATGTACCATATTATAGGAGCATCAATTGAGGACATTCTACTTCATCCATTCCTGCAGAAGGTGAACCTCCAGACACTTGAGCACTTTGAAGAGATGAAGTGCTTCAATACCAAGTCGATGTCAACATCACAGAATAATATGTCGTCCTCGGGATCATCATCGATCACTACGGCATCGACATCCACCACGAGCAAAGATCACACCTCTCTATCGAGAATGAACTCCAGCGTAATCACCAGCAGCACCAATCTTATTAGTCTCAACACCAGCACCAGCTCAACAAACGTACACAAGGTGGCCACAGGTGGCTCCAACCACATGGCCAGCTTGGGCAACAGCAACAACGGCGTCATCAACACACATCCACTTACGATCAACACAACAACATAAGGTCTTTTGGTAGGAGCGCCTACTTTAATGACCTAATTATCATTATTACGATCATTTATCTCAAGACAAGATGGATGGTCTGTAGAGGAAGAGGAGTAGAGAAGGGTACGCCACATCATATCACATATTGTGTGGTTATGATGATGACACCATTGATACTCCATCAACATGTAAATAAACAATGCAACAAAGTCCCAAAGAGTAATAACAATGATTGTTGATTAGGGGTTATTCGAATGGTCATTCATTCTTGTGAAACCAATCTGGGCCATCCAGATTTATGATGGGGATGTCCCGAAAAAAAAAACAAAACAATTCAAAAACAAAACAATCGCTTATGAGAGGGGTCAACAGCAACATTCAATCAACACACACACCATTATTAATAGATATATAACTTTGCATACATATAAATACAATCACACACATATATATTTGTACCATTTATATAACCTGCGCAATATTGTCGCGAACCATCAGACCACTTAGCACACACACACAACACACAACACACCTAAGTTACCCAAACACAAAACACACAACACACACAAACACAAACAAACAAACAGACACATAAACAACTTGTATCACTATCACTACTATCACTACTACTACTAGTACTAGTACTATACCTCCAGCTACCTTGGTTGGTTGCACTTTTCCTGTGTCAGTCAATCATCATCAGTACACGCATTCCTCAAACACAATATATACAACACTGTTAATTAGTTAGATATATAGAGTTTAGTTAGTTGTTTACCAACTGTCGACAATAGAAAATATGAATAGACCAAGCAGACCATCAAATGGCAAGAAGATGTCTTCGAGCTCAGTGACCATCACTATATCAGACTTCCACACTTATGAGATGCAGAATCGTTCAGTTGAGTGTCATCGATGGATTGAACAGGTGATCAATGAACAGGTGGACAACGACCTGTTTACTGCTCTCAAGGATGGTGTGGTCCTGTGTAAGCTGGCCAATGTCATGTTCCCAAACATCATACCTCGCTACAACAGACAGACATCTATTACATTCAAACTCATTGAGAATATCAATTCGTAGGTGGTCACCTCTATCTTTCATGTGACCCTGAAGTGTCCTCTCCAGCCAATGCTAACAACTCTACTGTTTACCACTTAAAATATAGATTCATTGCAGTTGTAAAGAGACTTGGTATCAATGACAATCAGATATTCACTGCTACAGACTTGATAGAGAATAAGAACATGCAAAAGGTTGTTGGAACGTTGAGGACGATGGCAACTTTGGTCACTCAGAAGGGTTTCCCAATAAAGTGGCCAACGAATGACGAGATGGAGGGTGTGAATGGCGCCGATGAACAATCTTCAAGATCAGCCAACAAAACAGAGTCATCACAACACACTATCAATTGGGACTCATCATTCATATTATCTGCATCATCGGGTTCAAAGACAGCTCCAGCTGGTGCACTCTCACCCAATGCCAAGCCATCTCTTTACTCCCCATCACGTCCATTTCGCTCGAGCTCAGTCAGTACTAGCTCACCATCATTCACAACCCCTCAGAAACAAGTCACGACTTCAGCAGTAGTAGCATCACCCACTCCATTGGCTTCATCAGTTACACAAGCACCACCATCAGCTGCAGCAGTACCAAAGGTGGAAGCTGTACAGCAGCAGCCTACAAAGGTAGTGGCACCCGTGGCAGTGGTAGTTGATCAAAAGATACAACAATACGACAAGATGCAAAAGGAATCACGTGAGGAGGTCACATCACTTCACTTTGCAGTCAAAGAGGGCGACTTGGAGGCTGTCAAGAAGATCATAGACAAACAGAGCTACCTTACCAAATCAATCACTGTGTATGGTCGCACACCATTACACTTTGCCGCCACACACAGCAGAAGCGAAATGGTCGAGTTCATCGTACGTGGTGGCAGTCCCATCAATGCTCAGGACAAGGATGGAAACACTGCTTTGCACTTGGCACTGCTCCAGAATGATTATCCAACAATTGAAGCTTTGATCAAGAATGGTGCTGATGTGAACGCTGTCAACAAGGATCACTCGACACCAATCATGATGGTGTCACTCAATGGCGATGAAAAGATCGTGGACCTACTGCTGTCATCAGGTGCCGACGTGCGCAGTGCCAACAAGAAGGGAAATACTGCACTGCACTATGCCACGCTCAGAGGCCACAAGAAGGTGGTGGACAAACTTCTCGACGCTGGCAGTGATGTGAATGCCGTCAATGTGGATGGAGCCACGTCGTTGCATGTGGCTGCAGAGGAGAACTTTGCCGGAATTGCAGAGTCACTGGCCAACAAAGGTGCCACAGTGGACTCTCAGCGATTCGATGGATGGACACCTCTTTATACATCGGCCTACAAAGGAAACATCGAGACTGCCAAGTCTCTCCTGGAGCGTGGTGCCAACGTTGACTCTGCCAACCTGGATGGTTGGACACCATTACATGCTGCCTCAGCCGAAGGCCACGAAGACATTGCAAAGATGCTTATTGGACATGGAGCCAAGATCAACCAACAAGATGCACAGGGTACCACACCAATCTATCACGCATGTTCATCAGGATCACTAGAGATGACCAAGTTCCTTTTGGCCCATGGTGCTGACCCCAACCTCTCAAAGACGGGCGGATGGAAGCCTATCCACATCGCCTGCTATAATGACAACGACCAAGTCACCAGGTTACTTGTGGAGCACGGCGCTGACCTCAACGCCAGCAACGATGAAATCAAGGGCTACTCACCAATTCATATTCTGATATCGACTGAGGAGCCGAGACTCGAGGTGATTGAGCTGTTCCTCAAGAAGAGGATCGATTTGAACAAGAAGAACATCAATGGCAGTACACCACTTCATCTGGCCGTATTTTGGAATCACTTCAAGGTACTGGAACTGCTACTAAAGTACAGTGCATCGTTGGATGAAAAGAACAACAAGGGACGTACTCCACTTAGTCTGGCCTGTCACTATGGTAATGAAGAAGTCGCAAAGTATCTAGCCAGCAAGATGTCAATTGATCCACGCAAACTAAAGATAAAGAACAACAAACAAAAGATATTGGATATGGAGACACCAAGTGCTCCTCCCGTGCCCTTGAACTGAGACACAGTACCTACAAACAACAACAACCCCAATGTATAGACAGCAGCACAGAACAGTACAGCACCAGCACAGCACACCTACCAACCTTTGGATGTGAATCATACACCAATAAAACAATAACAAACTCTCTCTCTCTCTCTCTGTACTATTATAAGCCCAATGATATTTCATTCATTCAATCATCAAAGTTGCTCGATGGATGGCTGATCACATTCCAGGATACATCAATTTGAAGTGTTATTCTGACTTTCATTGGGCACTTGGTCTTGGGATGTGAAAAGCTGAAAGTACAAACTTTGACAAGTCCTAAGGTAGGTTGGCAGAGTGTCTAGCTATTTAAAAGGATAGTCATCATCAATCATTATCAAACAATATAATCTAATATTTATGTATATATAATATCATGGTATGTAATAAGTAATAGATAGTACTCTACCCTTTATATTAATATATATTAATACATTTATAGACCAAGTACGTAGTTTACTGGCACCATCACGGTTCCCTGCATCATGACACTCATCACCATGAGCATGATGCCTTTAGACAATACGAGCACAAGAAGCATGAGGGATACTCCTGCGCAATCATGCATCACGGCAACATCAAGCATATTCATCACGGCAGTCATGCAGGTCAATTTGAGAACGAACTCTACTACCACTACCAGAACCATCCATGGGGTTGGTAATCAATACTATATATTATTGAATTCTATCTATTATTATTATTATCATTATAATTAAGAATGATATCTATTACAACAAGACGTCTTTTTTTATAAATCATCCCTGGTTTTTCCCTTTTTTGTACATACCTGGTTTGTGCCGGTGGGTTTCGAACCACACCTGGGGTTTTAGGCTAAAAGGGGACGTCGGCTACGAATGTAAGATGCAAGTTCACCTGATCCATCTAAACTACTACTCTCACTCATACAACAGGGCATAAGTTTAAGGTAAAGGTGTTCACCCTACTCTACCAGCTACCACCTTCATTTGTTGTTGTTGAACTGTGGGCAGTCATAATGGCTGCGGCACTGAAGATGCTGTTGAGTGCTCTCTCTAAAGGTTGAGGAGGGATGTAGGGCTGGAGAACGGAAAGAGTGAGAAGAGGGCCTCTCTAGAGAAGACTGGTCAGCATTATTAAGTTTATAACTATACTTATATAAATAACAAACTATTAAATAACCAATTATAACAAAATGGCAACATTATCAAGAAACCTTAGGTTGTCATTGGACACACCAACACAGGACTTTGTGAGAACAAAGATTGTATGCACTATTGGACCCAACACGATGAATGTTGAGATGTTGGTCAAGCTGCTAAACACTGGAATGTCAGTGTGCAGACTAAACTTCTCGCATGGAACTCATGAGTATCATGCCAGTGTTATAAAGAATGTGAGAGAGGCCATGAAGTTGACTGGCAAGAAGTGTGCCATCATGCTCGACACCAAAGGTCCAGAGATTAGATCGGGCAAGCTTGAGGGTGGAAAGCCACTCGACCTGGAGGTGGATCAAGAGTTGATCGTTGACACCAACACATCAGTGCCAGGTAACTCCAAGAGAATCTATCTTGACTACCAAGACCTGATCACATCTGTCAGTGTTGGTGGTAAGATACTCTTGTCAGATGGTGTCATATCTCTTACAATCACAGAGATCAACAAGGAGAATAAGTATGTATACTCAGAGCTTATCATCCATGAAAATAGACTCTAACTTAATAATCAACTTGTAGGTCATTGAAATGCAAGGTGGACAACAAGTCGAAATTAGGAGAGACCAAGAATTGCCATTTGCCAGGTGCCATTGTCACACTTCCAGCCGTCTCCGAGAAGGATGTCAGTGATATCAAGTTTGGTATTGAACAGAATATCAATCTCATTTCGGCATCATTCATTCGTAAGGCCCAAGATGTAATTGACATTAGAGAGCTGTTGGGTGACAGAGCAAAGGACATATTCATCATCTCAAAGATTGAGAGTGAGGAGGGAATCGTAAACTTTAACGAGATCCTAGAGGTATCCGATGGCATTATGGTGGCCAGAGGTGATCTAGGTGTTGTAGTGCCAACCGAGAAGATATTCGTCGCTCAAAAGATGATGGTCAGCAAGTGTAACGCAGGTATGTAGTTGAATCCAAAGATGACCATCAGCGGCAAGCATATAACTAATCGATCAATGAACACCTTAGCACATAAACCTGTTATAACAGCAACACAGATGTTGGACTCGATGATCAAAGCACCAAGACCAACTAGAGCCGAGGCCACTGATGTTGCCAACTCTGTGTTGGATGGTACTGACTGTGTTATGTTGTCTGGTGAGACTGCCAATGGTGACTATCCAATAGAGTCAGTTGACACAATGACCAGGATTTGTCGAGAGGCAGAGCTGGTAGAGTCGAGCACTGACTTCCAGACAGTGTTCACTGCGCTCAAGGTGTGCAACGATAAGACAATATCAATTGCCGAGTCTGTTGCATCGTATGCTGTTGCCACATCGATTGATTTGAAGGCCAGTATCATTATAACAATGACAGAGACAGGATTCACAACCAGACTGGTCAGCAAGTACAAGCCACCCATTCCAATCTATGCAGTGACATCAAGTGAGTCGACTGTTGCCCACCTCTATGCCACGAGAGGTGCCATTCCATTCTTGGTGCAGCCACACATTGGCACCAAAGAGAATGTCGAGAGCTGTATTGCCGAGGCATTCAGTCGTGGATTCGTCAAACCTGGTAGCAGAGTAGTGATTGTCTCTGGTGCTCTTGAGGGTGTACAAGGCAAGACCAACTCACTTCGTGTTGTTACCATTGGTGACTCCAAGGAGGTCATCTTCTAATAAACACCTGAGATGTATACAAATGAACTCAAATGGTGATCGTCTGGAACATCTACCAAACCAAACACAAACTTGTTGAACCCCACTGCAGTAGTATTTTATTGAGAAAACAGATAGAAAATGATTTCTTTAGATTTCTCTGATTATTTGTTTCTTATACCCGAGCGGAAAGGAGATGATAAGATAAGGTCATATACAATCCAAGTCAACTCCAGGTCATTACCAATACGCTCAACCAAACAAATAACATCAACACCAACAACACAACAACATTAATAACAATATTATATTATAAAATGTCAACAAACGAAGTAGTTAGGATATCAAAGACATTGTCATATTTGCTTAGACATGGTGCAGTCAAGGAGCATTTAAATATCAATAAGGAGGGCTTTATAAAGGTGGATGATGTACTTGCTCATAAACAACTCAGAGGTGTTACAATAGACCAGCTACAACATGTTGTAAAGACAAATGATAAGAATCGATTCCATTTGGAAACTCTGCCAGATGGTCTATTATACATACGTGCCAATCAAGGTCATACAATCAAGCAGGTATGTTAGTATACTACCAACAACTATAGTAGATGATCACAACACTCATGTTAACAAAAATCAAACAAACAAACAAAGGTGGATGATGTTGAATTCAAGACTATAACATCAATTGATGATGTACCATCAGTGATTCATGGCACTTATAGGAAGCATCTGATATCAATCAAATCAAAGGGACTTAATCGTATGGATAGGAATCATATTCACTTTGCAACAGGTGATCATGGTGATGTTGTGTCTGGTATGCGTTCAAACTGTGAACTGGTGATTATAATCGATCTGCAACTGGCATTGGACGATGGTATACCATTCTACCTGTCAAAGAATGGTGTCGTCCTGTGTCCAGGAATCAAAACAGTGAATGGTGAAGGATACCTTCCACCAAAGTACTTCAAGTCAATCACTGATCGCTATGGAAACTATGTCAATTGATGTAGATAGATAATCAAACATACAACAATACAAATGTATTATATTATTATTATATCTTTCGAATGATTAGTACGGCCACCAACTCCTTTGATATGTTTGAGGTTGAATAACCTTGTTCAGTTTGGCACATTGTTTGTATCTCTGGAATGCTGATGATCGTGCTCTCCATATAGGCAGGGTCCACTGTATGATAGATTAGACATCTTATTCTTGTGGACTGAAGGAATGCTTCGATCAGCTCTGGTGCAATTCGTCTGGTGTTACAACCTTGCAGCTCTACTGTATGGAGTTGGTCAAGTTTGAACTGATCGACACATTGTAGATATTTTGGATGTGTTGCATCGCCAACAACGTTCATGCCTGACAGTCGAAGATGCCTCAGTGTTGTGGAAACCTGTGAGATGAGACTAAAGTTGGATTCAATGTTGGACATGTTGATTGATAGATTGGTGATTGGTATGATGCCATTGAGCTTGACAGGTGAGTTGATCTTGATTGACAACTCTCTGAGATGTGTCTTTCTTGACAAGATTGGACCAATCTCTTCACCTTTGAATGATTCCGAATAGAATGGTATTGATATATTCTCAAGTAGTCCTTGTTCATTGGACAGATAGTCCTCCACGGCATTGATGTGAATGGCAGAGTTGTATGAGAAGAAGATGAACTCTACCAGTGGCAACTTTAAAAGAGCATCAAACATCTTGGTGTATGGTGTCACGATTGTACGTTTAGGTTCTACATCAATCACTTGTATACTGGCCAGCTTGGGTGTGAATGCAAAGAAGTTGACGATGGCATCCTGGTTGATGTAATCATTACCAATACCTCTGGTCTCCACGATTAGTGACTCTAGTGATTGAAATGGTACAGAATAATCTGGATTGGATAGCAATACCTCCACCAAAGTCTTTAAGCAATGTTGGAAGATACGCAATCGACGTATTGTCTTTAGTACACAGAGTGGCCTGTTCACAATCCTGTCCAGCATTGAGCGAAGCTTTTCTTCATTCTCATAAGTGATGTCCAATTGTACAGAGTGGAACTTGTGTGAGATGAGATCGAAACAATGTCTAGACACCAATGCCATCCGTAGTGCATCACCAAATGCTTTACGATAAAGGAGTCGTGGACTAATCCTAATGTTCCAACATGTTCTTAATATATCATCAATGATGTATTGTGGAAGTAGAGGTTGTTCCATCGATGTGGTTGTAATTGTTGTCATTGTAATCATAAATATAACTCTTGTTATCTCTACTTGATAAGTGATCAAATGATCGAGAGAACTTAAATAAAAGGCAAGATGGTCCACCTTGCTTTAGATACGTTGTGGTCCAAACACAGCAGCACCCACCTCTGGTAGTGGGGGTGTGGTAGAGAATCAGATAAACAGTCAGTCCGAGTCATCTTGACACAGGTCATTGACCCCACCACACAAACAAATACAACAAACAGATAACACTGTGCACAGGTGTGAGTGATTTGGAGATAATGATGTGTTTGTTCACAATACAATCATTGTATTGATTGACTACATTATTATTGAATTCGATTATCGACAATTGGGATAAATTGTTAGTGTCTAAAGTAATTAAATCAACAAGAGATCATAAGTGTGACACATAGTAACAATATATAACAACCAATACCCTATGATGCTATGAATAGAATACCAGCAGTGGATCAAGCAGAGCAGCAGCAACATAATCATCATCACCATCATAATCATCAACATCCTAAAATAATGACAAAAGAAGTGGACCAACTAATAGAAAACAACCATGCATGGAGTAAACGCATGACGTTGGAGGATCCAAACTATTTCCAACAGCTGGCAGAGTCACAGAAACCAAACTTCCTATGGATTGGTTGTTCAGACTCTCGTGTGCCTGCAGAGAAACTCACTTGTCTCGGTCCAGGTGAGCTGTTTGTACATAGAAATGTGGCCAACCTAGTGATTCACACCGATCTCAACTGTCTGTCTGTTATACAATACGCTGTGGAGGTGCTCAAGGTGGAGCACATCATCATATGTGGACACTATGCATGTGGAGGTGTTGCAGCAGCATTTGACAATCCAGACCTTGGACTGATCAACAATTGGTTGCTACACATCCGTGACATCTGTGCCAAACACAAAAAGATACTGGCCGATCTACCAAGAAAGCGAATGCTTGATGTACTGGTCGAACTGAACGTCGTCGAACAGGTCAACAATCTTGGTCATTCAACCATAATGCAGAGCGCATGGAGGCGTGGACAAAAGGTTGGCATTCACGGCTGGGTCTACGGCATACACGATGGATATCTACGCGACCTTGAAATCACGGCTCACTCTCCAGAGAGTCTAGAGAAGAACTATGTAGAATCTATATCCAAGCTACAACAGGTGAAGACACTACACGGTAGTGGGTAGTAGAGAAGGAAGGTAGTCAGGTTCTCCACAGACCCCAACAACAACCCACCCGTTTTTCCCAAACAAAAGCAAAAGAAACTTCAAAAAATCGACTTTGATCCCAAGTGACGCAACAATCGGGAGAGAGTGAACCCGACACAGGACCAATGACACTTGTTGTCATGCATGAATGAATGACACAATCCAATACAATTGTATAATTTCAAACACATAATAATACTACATACATAGTAATAACAATAACAATGAGATTAACACATTTGTTTGTTACCTTGTTGGCTTTGTCTGCCTTGTCAATGGCTTTGGCCTCTGACGTCAAGGTCAGTCCATTCTTTAAGAAGCACAATGGCTTTGCACCAATCCCCGAGCATGTCTTTGCTGACAACTCGTATGTATCTACTTCTAAAGTGTCAAGAACAGTTTCAATTATATTATAGAGTCTAACAATTCGATAACTTTACACTATAGAGGTGATGCTGGAGAGGCTCTCTACCTTTCCGAGTACTTGGATAACCCAGCTTTGGGAAGAAGAAAGTCATGTGTTGACATTGGTGCCCCATTTGGAGCTTGCTCCATGCTCGACAACCCAGAGGACAAGTTGAACGATGTCACTCCATTCTCCTACTCTGGTTTCTTCACTGTCAATGAGACCTACGACCAGAAGTAAGTTTGAACTACAATTGACTCGAACTTAACAGTTACTAATAATGATACGATAGCCTCTTCTACTGGTTCTTTGAGGCTCAAAACGGTAACAAGGACGCACCAGTCTTGCTCTGGCTCCAGGGTGGACCAGGTGGTTCCTCATTGTTTGGTCTGTTTGTTGAGAATGGCCCATACTCAATCCTTGACAACTTGACCATGGTGCCAAAGAACGTCACCTGGAACAGCGAGTACCATATGCTCTACGTGGACAACCCCGTCGGCACTGGATTCTCCTACACCACCGACATGCGTGGCTACAACACCAACCAGGATGAGATTGCCGCCAACCTCTACAGCCTGCTCACCCAGTTCTATGGAATTTTCCCACAGTATGCCGACAATGACTTCTACGTCACTGGTGAGTCCTACGCTGGCAAGTACGTCCCATCGCTCGCCTACTACATTCTTCAACAGAACAAGGTCCAGCAGACCCAGGTCAACCTGGTCGGTATTGCCGTTGGTGATGGTCTCTGTGATCCAATCACTCAGGTGACCCAGTACGCCAACCTTGCCTTCTACACTGGTCTTGCCGACATTGATCAGCAAAACACCATGACCATCTACCAGGACAAGATCATCCAGGCAATCCTTGCCCAGCAATGGCTCGAGGCCAACGACCTCTTCACCGATCTGGTCAACGGTCCACCCGACTACTTCCAGAACATCACTGGTGAGGCTGACTACTATGACATCCGTCGCACCATTGAGCCCACCTATGGTGGCAACTTTGAGGCCTACGTCAACCAGACCAACATCCGTGCCCTCCTCCACGTTGGAAACCACTACTTCCAGGACAACAACAACGTCTACTTGGCACTCCAGCAGGATATCCCCAAGTCTATCAAGAACTTGCTGCCAGAGCTGATCGAGAACATCAAGGTCATGTTCTACAACGGACAGTTCGACTTTATTGTCGGTGTCTCCTTGACCGAGACATTCATCCGCACCATTCCATGGATGGGTATCGATCCATTCGTGTCCTCCAGCAGATCCATCTGGTACATCCCATCTGATACAGTCAACGTTGCAGGTTATGTTCGTCAGTACGAGAATCTGACCCAAGTAGTAGTAAGAGGTGCCGGACACATCTTGCCCTATGACCAACCACTTAGAGCAATTGATATGATTACCAGATTTGTTGAAAACCAGCCATTCTAATAAATTTATTATATTACTGATTACACAGGATCGTGTCTTGTCCGTTTTGGATGTCAAAGTCGGAATGACTCAACTAGTTTCCCGGGGAGTTTGCCACGTTGTTGAGCGTGATGCTGTTCCAAGTGCCCTGCGCACTGATCATCATGGTAATGAAGATGTTGTTGATAACGATTTTCATTGTAGGAGGGCTGAGATTGGGTGGTACATAGAGGAATGCATGTCCATCGAGGAAGATATCGACGGCTCCTATTAGCCCATACTCTGATGCATTGGCAACGATTAAGCGTAATGGACAGACGAGATCATTCAGTGATTGAATAAATGACATCTCACTCTCCTTTCATAGTTAGATCAGTGATCATCAAAACAATAACTAAATAAGGTGCCAGAGATAATCTCAGGTAGTGACCATTGTGAATGATAATTTGAATGATTGTTTATTATGAACGAGATACAAGCCTATGCATCTTGGTCACAGTTCACAATCTTTAGATGATGAATCTTGCCTGTGTAGTCAGATGTAACGGCAGTGAGAACACCTTGAGTCTCATCACGGAAGATTAGAATGTTGGATGTGGAGATAGAGGCCAATGGGAATATGGTTGCGATGGTGCCTTGTTGTACGTCCCAAAGGATGGCCTGCTTGTCAAATGATGCAGACATAAGGTATTTGCCATTGGGAGTGAATGACATTGTTCTCACTGCAAACAGATGATTCTTTAGTATGCGCAGTGGGTAGAAGGTACGCTTGATATCAAACAGATGAATGGGTCCATCCTGGGTGCCAAGTGCAAGTACAGTCGATGACCACGCCATCGAGGTGATAGCTGACATTGGATTCAACTCCTGGTGTATGACAAAGCTGTACTGGTTGCCATTACGCTTGAGTACAGTGAACGTTCCCTTGCCATCGGATGCAGCCAAGAACTCATTGTTTGGGCTGAATGACACTTCGTTCACAACGAATCCATGACGTGCTGAGTAGATGTCGGTCTTTGACTCGAGGTCGTACACAACGACCACACCCTCCTTCAGGGCCATTGCAACATGTTTGCCATCATCACTGAGAGCAAAGGCATGTGCACCCTTGTCTACCTTGGAGATGATCTTGCCATTCAGGTCCGCTACCAATATTGATCCTGTACCCTCGCCTGCAGTGAGGCCAACGATACGTGATGTGTTCCTGTCCAATCTGAACGTCTTGAGCGAGAGAGCATTGATTGACTCCTTGTAGGAGAGTAAATCCTTTCTGGTGAACTGATCCCACACCTTGATCGTCTTGTCGTCGGAGCATGAGTACAGACAGTCGGTGTTATGATCGTATTGCAGCGCTGTAACAGACTTCTTGTGACCTTGGTGCATTTGTGTTGTGGCATAGCCAAGCTTTGGATCCCATATCTTGATGAACTTGTCTGTGGCACCAGTGACTACCTGGATACGTGCACTGGTTGGATGGAAGGCACAAGAAATGATACGACCAGAGTGACCAGTCATTACAGACACCTGGGTCCATTCATTGGTCTCAAAGAGTCGCACGGTCTTATCATCGGAACAAGATACGAGGTACTTTCCATCAGAGGAGAATCGTGATGAGATGACTGCCTCTGTGTGTCCATCAAGCTTGACCTTTTGCCATGAGCGAGTGTTGAACACATATGTGCTAGAGTCCACAGATGATAGGGCCAACATAGAGTCATCCTTTGAGAACTGCAGGCAGAGAACACTAAAGTCTGAGATCTTGAATCGCTGCAGCTCATTACCAGTTGCTGCGTCCCAAATGATGAGTATACCGCCCCAACAACCTGTGGCCACCCACTTGTTGTTGTGTGAGTAGGCACAAGCAGAGAGCTTCTGTGGAGAGTGTGCTGTGAGCTTGTGGACTGGCTTCTTTGTGGCAACGTCCCAGACAATTGCAGTGCCATCCCATGATGCTGTGACCAGACGGTTGCCATCACCACTGACACTCACACCCCACACAGCATTGGTGTGTCCATCCTTGAACTCAGAGATCACACGGCCATACTCATCCCAGAGTATGATCCTCTTGTCTCTTGATACGGTGACCAATGTGTTGCTCCTCCAAGAGAGTGATGTGATCTTGTCCGTGTGCAACTTGGGGAACACTCGCACCATTGCACCAGTCTCACCACTCCAGATACGGATGGTCTTGTCGTCAGAGCAAGAGGCAAGTAGAGAACCATCATGCTTGTAGAGTGCAGCTCTGACAAAGTCTTCGTGACCAGCCAGGGTTGAGATGACAAAGTCAGAGATCTGAGACTTGTTCACCCAACGGAAGTGGAGTGCCTTGTTGATGAGCATCTTGGTGGCGGCAGCGTGACAGGTCGAGTCATCGGGAAGGTTCAATGCCAGTTGTGCCGAGGCGAATGGGAATCGCATGAGATGATGTGCCTGGTACTGGATGAATGCAAAGAACTCCTCGACAATGTTGGCACTGGAGAAGTTGTAGCCAGTCCAACGCTCACCAGAGAGAGCTGGTCCACGCACTTCATTGATCAAGCAGAGTAGACGTTCGATCATCTCGCGACCCAGTGAGATACGGAAGTTGGACTCGATGAACTTGAGATCCTGGTAGAGTGCTGCGAGAAGGTCCCACCTCTTGGCCTTGGACAAATGGTAGGGCAACTCGAGGAATGGCTTGGAGATGACACCACTCCAGAAACGATCAGACTCTGGGTCGGCCACAGTGAGGTAGTAGTCAGACATCAATTGGTGCACGGCAATCTCTGTCTTCTCATTGGAGAGATAACGATGTACAATGACATTGGCAATCTCACCGTGGAAGAATGTGAGCACATGTCTGTTGGCCTCTCGGAGCAGAGGTGCCAAGTTGATGAGAAGTGGGGCCCACACGACAAATGGTAGTTGCTGGTGCTGCTCCTGCTTGTTGGCGGCTGATGCATATCTTGACAGTGTTGACGATGATGAGGATCTTGCCAAAAGGTCCAACAACTCAGTCTCTGTTAGACCAAAACGAGACAATGCAATGAAGCAGAGTGTCCTCTTGATCAAGTCCTTACCAAAGTCCTCCTCAAGACGTGACACCATCTGATTGATCACCTGTCCAATGGTCTCTGGCATCTTGTTGATGAACGATGACAACTTATCAAAGCTACCAAACACACGAAGCTCCTCACAGACCAACGTGATGAACAGTGGAAGCTTGGAGTGTGTCTTTGAGATGAGACGATCGAGTTGCTTTGAGTCCAATCTCTTGCCAAATCTCTCCAGAGTCTTGGTAAAGATAAGCTGTCTCTCATTCATCTCTAGAGGTGTCAAATAGAATGTCTGAGGAATCTGTGGTCTGAGGTGGAGATAGTCCCAACATGTCTTGCCCTGATCACAACTGAGCAACACCACAACGTTCGATGGCAGATCCGATGACTCTGGCAACCACTCCAATTGATGTGCTTGATTGGATGGGTTCAACAAGTCCAAGTCCTCAATCACAATCAATATCTTCTTGTTCTTGCATTGTGAAAGAATAACAGGGAAGTCAATTCTAAGTTTCTCTATATTGATTGTTTGGATTGATGGTTAGTAACATGATTGTGTTTGATTGATTGATGGGTGATAACTTACCAAAGCTCTCAGAAACTTCTATCTTCAACTTGAATGTCTTGATCAACTTTGAAGAGAACCTTGCAAGGATGTTGGCAACCTCTGTGGAGTTACCTGAACAACCAACAAAGTGATAGAGTACTACCCATGATGGATCACTCTCCATGGTCTTGGTGAAGTAGGCAAGTGATGAGGTCTTTCCAGCACCAGTCTCACCATAGACCACACCAATCGAGTCGATTGAAGTCTTCTCGCTGACGTGCTTCATTAGCTTCTGCTGGAATGCCTCTCTGCCATAGTAATGAGCAGACTTGTTGTCCAACACTGACTTGTGTGCGGTGAACTCTCTCTCGATAGAGTCTGGTGCACCCACTGGCGTTGGGAACTCAAGCTCGATGATATCCCACAGTTGCTCAATGACAAACTCGCCAAAGTGATGAAGGTCTCTAACGAATGGATTGCCAGATCGGTCAACGCCACCATATGTTGCAGGGTAGCCCTCGAGCACAGTGCAGTTTGGATGGTCCACCAGTGTTTGCTTGAACTTATCTAGTCGCTGCTTGGCCTCCTCACTCTCAACGGTGAAGGACTCGGCCACAACTGGTGGCACTGACTTGAGTGATTCATTGTCTCGAACCAGTGCCACACAATGCTTGTTGCCCTGACTGGCACCATGGAGTGCGTAGAGCATCTCAATGGCAGTGATGCTGTGACCAAGTGGAAGCTCCGACAGCCATCTTGCAGTCTGATCAGTGTCGGCACCATCAGACACACCTGAGTTGACCAGCTTGTACTCTGAAGGCACCCAGCCAGCACGTGAGCCAACCATACCCAGGGTGATGTGGCACTTCTCAATTTGCTTGAGACACAACTCAATCTGGCCCTTGACAGTGGTGTCCTCCTTGGTGAGACCCCAACGGAGATCAACGGGCACGATGGTCAAGTTCTTGGCCTTGGCCTTCATGTTGAGTGCAGGAAAGACGACCTTGATCAAATGGTCTCTCTCACCAATCATATCCTTGAATGTTGATGAGACGAATACATGGACGATGTTATTGTCGACCTTTGTAGCCAAGTTCAACTTTTGTCTTGGCTTGACATGTCTCAAAACAGTGGCATCCAGTGGCTTTATGTTGGCTGATGTTGATGTTGTGTTTAAATCATTTGGATGGAATACCTTTCCATCCTTTATAATGATCTTCTTGAATGGTGATGTATATAATCTTGTTGTTGTTGATGATTGTGACGATGATGATGATGACGATGATGATGATGATTGATATGACGTTGATGTAGTAGTGTTATCTGATTGATGTTGTTGATGTACTGTAGCTTGTTGTTGCTTTGCCAACTTCTCAGCCTTCTTCTTATCCTTCTCTAGATCAAAGATGATCTTCTTATTCTCGCTGATGATGTATAGTAACTCATCCTTTGATTGGAAAGGTGTGTATGCCAACTTGTACTGCTTCATCCACTTTTGGATTTCAAACTTGGTTGAAGCGTCATCTGGAAATATCACCTTTACCATTGTTATTATTATTATATGTTTGTTATGAAATATGTTAAGTTACTAGAATGGTAGCAATAGACATTGCTACTAATTAATCCTCCCATTCCACAGGACCACAACACCATCTTCAGTTGTTTGTTCATGAATGAATGAATGGATATTAAAGTTTAGTTCTTCCTTCTGATTTCATTCAGACAAAATTTCTGATGGTTTTCTTTGTCAAAGTCACTGTCTGGGGGTAGCAAACATTGTGTTTGGTGAGATCGATCTTTATTTAGGAAGTTCAGACTATATAGAATAGTTTTTTTAATTATTGACCGGAACTAGATTAGCTCTTTAAATATTTAAATCTTGGTATTATTAATACAATATAATACAATATATATATATGTATGACTAATAATTTAGATGATTTTAATCAAATATATTGAATTTCGACAATAATAAAATTAGGAGGGAAGGAATCCTATTGATTCAAACTTTGTATGATATGAACCCTTATTCATTCACTCACTCACTGACCTACAAACTCAGCAATGGGTAAACATACGATTGGTAATGATAGAGGCTTGTTTCTAGAACTGGCATGTCAGGAGGAGGTATGTTTATGTTACTATAGGTTGTGCTCAATGTTCATTCTGACATGGTTGACTAATATTTATATATATATATGTTAACATAGACACTTGTTACCAACCTCAATCGATTGGAGAGGGATTTAATCAGTCGACTGCCACTTTGTTTCAAACGCGATGAGATGCTTGGTCCAAATGTAGAGTTCACATCGGTACTGCCATGTACCCATGAACAGTATCAGGATCAGACCATTGCATTCATTCTAGAGCTGAGTGATTACATTGATCATGATCTAGACACATCTGTCATATCAAAGTCACTGTTCATTCACCAAGCAATGATCCTAATCGAGAAGGTTCAATCATCGTTACGTATAATGAGTAAGCTTATTTCCTCTACATTTCCACACGATGACACAAGCTAAACTAAGCCATCCATCAGTCAATTTCAAACAATCAGTGTCCAATGTCATCAACATCTTTGGATCAGGATCACTCAATAAGCTTCAGATGAAGGATCAGAAACAGCAGTCTATCAATGCACTAATGTTTTGGTTCCGATTCAATACATCGTTGATACACTTGATGGCCTCAATCAATCATCATCATTGTACAAACATACAGCAGAGTATGTATTCCTGGTGCTATTACACATCGCTAATAAGACGTCTAACATAATATCATAGATGATGATGATCAGACATCATTGTTGGTCAATAGTGTATCATATAATTACATCAAGTACTTGATCACATTCATCACTTCCAATGCTCATACCAACCAACAGTTATTAACAGAGACCAAACCATTTGTTGATCAACTTGGTCGTGTGTTTGAAAGATATCACTCACAGACTACTCCATCATCCTCCTCCTCCTTTTGGACTCTATTTGACAAGGTATTCCAGAAGGTACATTCTCGTGGCAAACAATTAGATGGTATGGATGTTCAAACTTGATGTTGTACTATACATTCCTTTGACTGACCCTGACCCTGACCCATTTCCATTAGAGTATCAGAGTCACTACATCAAGTGTCTGGATATAGTTGTACAGTGTCAATCAACAACAACAACATGTTATCATTGGATTGGTGTGTTCAACTTGGTCACCAACTATTACAATCATCTATGTGACGTTGTTGACAAAAAGATGTTGATGGAAAGGATCACCAATGGAAGACAACATATACTCAGACTGTTCCAACTCATTCATAGTCTATCAACTCGCTGGAGTCTACCATCGTTAGAGACCTACGAGCAAGATAACGTCATTGAAATGTTCAACTATATGTTTGATATGGTCTATGACGTATCATTCGCCAGCAACAACAGAGACATTAATCTGGATCAATACTTTGAGCGCTATGTCAACAATGCAGATGACTGTGAAAGTACATCATCGTCAGGCGGCGGAAGAGAAGATAATCATATACAATCAGATGACTTGATCATTCTTTGGACATTGATATTGAACACACACTTGAACAGACAGGTCAGCGAGTTATGGACAATGAAATCAACACTCATCGCTTCAAACCTACGAAAGAGTATGAAGGACAACATCACTGTCGTCAGACTTCAGACGAAACACACGTACGCACAGGACGAGCTCATGAACAAACCCTTGCCAAAGAACTACTGGGATTACTACCAAGTGGACCTTCGAAGAAAGAACTCTCAAGTACCTCTCAGTGTGCTGTGTCTATACACCTGGACATTGCTCACAAACATCAGACAATTGGCACTCATCTCCCCGGCCAAACTCGCTACCACCACCGAGATCATCTCCAACATGGACAAACTATACAAACTCATTGACTTGACGAAAGATATCAAGACAGCATCATCAGCAGCACAAGGTGAAGAGGTAGTGGTATACATTGAACATATCGTCAAGTCATTCATTGGCCTTATGCCACTCGTTCGACATTTACCACCAGTCATATCAAAGTTGGTTGAGCTACTCAAGACAATCTTCAAGCTGTTCCACAGCAAAGTGGATATGAGCACTATTCATAGTCATGAGATGATACTGGAATGTTGTTGTGAGTTGATCACACTTGAACATTTGGCATCACCATCATCGCCACTATTCCTACTCAAGAAGGACATTAGATTGGATCAAATGCCAACCCTATTCAATCACCCATTCACACCTGCATCAATAAGATACATGCATGTTGTACTCAATACAATGCTGTCAAGTTGTGGCCCTGCTGTTGGTCTACAGTCACTTGATAAAGAACACAAGAGTATCATTATACAGTTCACCTGCTCCGTTCTACCAAACCTTATTTACATTCTATGCGATATGGACAATCCTTCCAAAAGGGTTCATCAACAACTTGAAAGAACAGTCATTGTTGAGTCAATAGTAATTGGTATGCAGATACACAACATCATCAAGCCCAATTTAAAAGAAACAGTGTTCAAATACATTCGATCAATCATCCAAGCCAAGGCTGCCATTCCCATTACGATACTCTGTCACTTCACCATCAAACTGGAATATCTGTTACGTGATCCAAGTTATATGATAGTATGTATATTATTATATTTATATAATATTTCATACTGACCATACATATATATACAAACAGAACATAATCAAAGATCATAATGATGATGATGACATTCTATCAATGTTCCCGATGCTGTTATTATACTTTGAGTATGGTGCCAAGACTAGAAAGGTCATTGAATCCATACTACCCAGATTGAATCAGCATTGCTTTGACAATCCCATCACCACCTGTGTTCCTTTGTCCACAATTGAAAGGATGGATACTCTTCGAATATTTATCACTCACTTGGCCAAGTTAGAATCATCTCGATTTAACATCCAAACAATCTTTAAGAACATTGTAGACTTTGTCAATGCAGAGATTGGAATATCAGTTGAAGAGGATTTCATCAAAGGTAGGTAGTAAACAACCTCAAATGTATATTTATCACTCTTTTACTTACACGGCAATCAACAACAACAGTTGTAGATACATTGATAGAGACTATTCTCTCCAAAGTGGTTCTCAATGTTAAATTTGGCACTGCATTGGCTACATCACTACTTGGGACACAAGTAATTCAACAGAGAGTGGCCAGATTATTCAATGTCCTTCCAATATACACTGTTGGTCGTAATTACAAAAGTTCCAACTTGGAATTGTTCGCTTTGCACTTCTCGACCATCCTCATCAAATCCGACTTTACCCTGGATAGAACGACCATTGACCTTATATCCAATGATACCACACTGCGAAGAGTCACTCTGAAGTGTATATGTTTACCTATTATCAATGGACAGGCAGCTGATGACTACTCTACAGGTGTATTGCGAGTGATCAAACAAATCTATAAGCATTCCAAAGCACCAAAACAGTTCATCAAAGAGTTTAGCCTACTTATTCCAAAGATTACTCCATTCCTCAATGTAAGTTATGTCAACAATGATCATTGGTCAACTTTATCAAACAACTAATAGTTGAACTCTAGTCCATTACCAGTACAACACCATCTGCACTAGCATTGCTTAAAGTTTTCTACGAGACACTCAGCACCAACTACCCTCTGGTCAAGTGCGACGACTACTACTACTCGACACATTTGCCAAAGGAGATCTTTAACATGTACAGCCACTTTGTACAGTATAGCATTGATGCCACACGATCAATCATGTTATCAGCGTCACCTGGCCACAGAGAGACATCACATGACAGCAACAGTGATCTTAAAATGTTCCTACAAGAATTGCACCAAAACATTGACCTCTGCATATTTGAAGGCCCCACAGGGATTGCAGTGCCAAACTGTAGGAAACTATTTGGTGGTCCAATGATTTCCCTTTCCTCATCCACCTCTGTCATCTCTCCAGAATTGAAAGAACGACTATGGAAACAATCACTCAAGGTCCTCAGAGCACTCTACAACTTTGGATCGTATGGACGAAAGTTGATCACCGACCAAATACATTCATCGTCCATGCTCTCTTTGTTCCGCAAGACAGAGTATCACTCTCAGACCATTGTAAGTTGTGACCACAAAGTACCGAAAGGTAGTCACCAGAGACAAACTAACTAAATCTACTTTAGAAATTCTTACAAAGTCTTGGCGTTATTGGGATGACATATCTAGAGTACCTGAATATTCTATGAATAAATATAAATATATTTATTATCTGTATATGCCAGACAGCTACTATTGATCGGACAGTGCTGGCGATGGCGTCTTGTTACACTTGAAATGCTTATCAAACACGGCATGACACTCTTGCTTCCTTTCTGGCGTTGTCTTTTCACCAAAGTTCAACTCGACAATGGATAGTGCCACATGTTTCAATAGAGTGGCTTCAGAGTCAAAGACCATTTGCAGTTCCCAAACGAACTCAAAGTATTCTTCCTCCTTCCTCAGGTCCATTTGCTGTTGTTTCTTGCAGTGTGACACCACGACGTTGTTCTCACTGTCCCTGCTGACCTTGATAGTCCATCCACCTGCATCCTTAAACATTGGTTTGGGACATATAGAGAGTCGCAGCTCGATCACAGATGGTGCAATGATAGCCTGACTGCATACCTTTAGTATGTTCAACTGTAATAATAATAATGTTGTTAGTCATTTGTTGTGTTGATGTTGTCAAGTGATGTGTCATAAACATACAATGGGCTCCTGGAACTCTGTGGATAGATATGCCACCAGGTCGTTCGTTCTGAATGTACTGTCCTCATTCCTGGGTATGGCATCGTACTTTTGGATGAATTCATCGTCCAAGGTGAACTCTGGGGCAAAGAACTGCCTCAATCCCTGGAGCACATCATAGACCGTCTTCTTTGGATTGCCCTTCTCGGCAAGGTCTTCAGTGCTGCTATTGTCTTTGAAAATAGAAATACAACTGGCCAGTCGGGGTAGGTCTACTCCAACAGGCTGTGAAGCAAATGGCCTCAGCCATATTCGCTTGGTGTCCTCAACAAGATCTCTTGCTGGAAGTTTAGGTTGTGTAGGTGTTGGTGTTGGTGTAGGTGTGGGCGTAGATATTGGTGTTGGTAATGTTGCTTGGACTGGTGCAGATAATGTAGGTGTAGGTGTAGATGTAATAGGTACTGGTGTTTGTGGTTGCTCCTGGACTGTTGTTGGAATAGATGGCGTAGTTGCCTCCGTTGTTGAGGGTGACGATGATATTGGATGAGTTGTCTGTACTGCTGCTGCTGTTGGAGCTTCAATGACCAACTCATTCTCCTTCTTTTCGTGTTTCTCCTTTGAGTCCTTTTCTGCCTCATCTGCAGGGCTGATCTCCTGCTTATTGCTGTCCACCTGCTGTTCAACTTTGTCCACAACGATTTCCTTATCCTTCTTGGACTCGATTGGTTGTATAACCACTACAGGCTCAATATTCGTTTGAGTGATTGCTGGTGCTGGTGCTGGTGCTGGACTGAAAGTAGAGGTGGTGGTAACCATTGGTTCAGAGTCTGGCTCACTGAATGTATGTCGTCTGGTCCATGATGATGGTGATGATCTCCTTCTTCCCATCTTTGGTGAGGTGGAAGAGGAGGATGGAGAGTTGTTGGCACTGGAATGTTGTGATGATGTGCCACGTGGTGTACTAATAGGACGCATTGGTGATCGTACCCTCGGTGAGCCGAGTGGTGTTCCAAGTGGTGTGCCATGAGGTGTTCCCATTGGAGACAAGAATCTTGGACTGCCCTCACTCTCCTTCCTCTTCCAGAACTCTAGTAGCTCTTTCTTCTGTCCAGGCGAATCGAGGGAAGAGCTTGGTGACTCGAAAGTTGTTGAGCTTGATCTTGGCAGCTGATAGGGGCTATTTGATGTTGGTGAAGACGAGGACATGACTAGGTCCTCGTGATAGACTGGCAGCGATTGGGACAATGGTACCTTCACCAATGAGGGACTAGAGAGTGATCTCGATGAGGATATCTTGGTGGGTGTAAGGCCCTCTGGAGTTGTGGGGGGTGGCGTAGAGTCCACGCCATTGAAGCCTGTGAATGACTTTGGCATTGCGATCTTTTGAGTTGGTGATTGTGTTGTACGGAATGGGGAGTGACTAGATGGTGTATATGACTTGTTGTTGTTGTTGTTGATGTTGGTGCTTGGGGAAGATAGAGTGGAGCCAGAACGATTAGGGGATGAGCGAGGTGTTGATGAGGAGGACAATGGTGGTCTTGGACTACTATTGTTGTTGCTGTTGCTGTTTGAGAGTGATTCAAATGATGTACTCCACTTGAACTGGAAGTCTGATGATTGGTGTGTGTTGTTGAACGCAGATGTGGGTGGTCGAGGTGATCTAGTCCCATTGCCTAAGGGCGATATGGACAGTCTGATTGGTGAGTGTGCAAGAGGTGATGAGGGATAGGAATGTGAACTCTTCTTTGGTGGTGTTGATGTTGTTGGTGTAACATTATTGTTGTTTAATGATGAACTAAGTGTAGAACCAGATCTGTCGCTTGAATCAACGAGGACGACGAGGTCATCATCATCATTGCTGTTATCGCTCATATCAAATGTTTACACTTGTAATGGTAGCTTGGTGTAGCTCCACTTATATATGTATGTGTGTATATGAATAAATATAACTTTGTAATGATAATAATGAGCCTATGTTGCCAATGATAAAGTGGCGGGAGGGAAAAGCCTGTGTGTGTCTATGTTTGTAAATATGAGCAAATGGGTGGTGACGTGATTGGATGAATCAAAAATTCTAACGGTCACTTGTGGTGTGTGAAAAATTGAAAAATAACAATTAGAATATAATTAATTTGGGATTTTTGTGGACAACAAAAACTGATCAAAAGATAAATACCTTTTTGACAGAGGAACAATCAGTGTGTGAAGATGAAGAGGACAAAAAGTAGTACTAGCAATAGCAACAAGAACACCCAACAAGACAATAACAACAACAACAACAATGTGACAAGGAGACAATATAGTGGAGGAGGTAGGAGGATATGGGTGGAGGTAATATTGATGTTGACATGCTGCTTCATCGTGTTCTCAACGAGTTGGAAGCATCTTGGTAGCAGCATCGACAGAACAAGACATGGACTCACAAAGTATCCATCACTATTTGAGGCACTACTACAGTTGATCATTGTGTTTGCAGTGTTTGTTGGTGGCGTTGCACAGCAACGACTGGTGCCCATCACAATATCAGTGCTTCATCACTTTGATACCGACTCCACGGTGGTGTCGCGCACCAACCAACTCAGTGCTCTTCAGAACGATCTGAGCATCATTGATCCTGGAATGCTACTAAACTCAAGGGAGTACCACAATGTAGACATTGGTCTACCTATTGGTATATCTCTAATACCTCTAATGTACTCTGCACTCAAGAATACATTGATACCAGCACTGGCAACAATAACAACCACAACAATGGATGCAGTAATGTACCCATCATCGTTGACTAGGCTATTCTTTGCATCGGCCATTGCCTCTGTGTTTGTACTGATCAATGCAATCAAGAGAAGAAGAGTATATCTATTACTTATTGCATTCCTACTATTAACAATATATAATATCTTCTTTGGTAAGTTGAACATCAACAACAACAACACATTATATATTAGCCACTCACTAACTTTATACTTGAATCATCATCATCATCATTATAATAACCTCCAGGTCAACTTATGCTTGTGTATACATTATTGTATATAACGATTACATTCATTAGTTCAAGATGTTTGGTGATGACATTCAGTGGAAGCTTTACAATTGGAGAGGCATCATTAGTGTCTCAACTGTTTGCCTCAATGTTGACAGAGTCAATATGGTATTTACTGGGTGGCACAACAACCGATACATCGTCTACCGTCAATGAGTTATCCAATGATCATTGGGTTATTGTATGTTCAATCTTTGTCCTCATGATTGGTACTGCGATAATTGTGGTCTTTACTTCACCAGTGGCCAATAGAATTAGGAACCTACCCAGTACGACAGTATGGAGCAAACAGGTGATCACCTTCAACATTATATTTATATCGATTATAATATTTGGACTGATGCCATTGCTCACCTATTTAATTGGTGGTGATAACATATTCATATGGCTACTGTATTACCTAATCAATGACATTGTACGATTGATTATTATTGGATACTGGATCATCATGTTGGCTATCACATTCCTATTCTTCAACCCAACCGGTACGACGTTTCGATCAATACCAAATATCCTGCTCCGTAAATACTTTCATGTGTTGGCCATTGTAATGTTTGCACCAGTGATCATCGTTAGACCAGATCTCATGTCACTGAGCTTTGGTGTGGCCATCAGTGCACTGGTACTCATTGAACTGATCAAGTATGGACGCGTGCCACCATTGAGCCAGCCTCTCTCCACCTATATGGACGCTTTCCTTGATGGTCGTGACAGTGGAATCGTAACACTCACTCACATCTACTTATTGGTCGGTTGTTCAATACCGGTATTCCTCACATTCTTCTATGATAGTGGAGAGCGCTCCACATATCTTCATCCACTTTCAGCCTTCTCTGGACTACTCACTATTGGTGTTGGTGACAGCATGGCATCATACGTTGGCATCAAGTATGGCAAGACCAAGTGGTTCAGTACATCAAAGTCACTAGAGGGTACAATCGGAGGAATTGTATCATGTTTCATTGCTGGTGCAATGTTATTATTATGTGTCACCAATCAGACTACTACAAGTATCCAACTTATCAGACTACTGATAGGATCATCCATTAGTGGTCTATTGGAGGCCTCTACCAATCAAATCGATAACATTGTATTACCAATTCTATTCTTTTAGTATAATAAACTATTGATTCCTTGATGAAACCATAATATTTAATAAAGGAGAGTTATAACTTTATTAACAATGATAGTTATTATTATTATTTACAGCATCAATCACTTAGAGTTTGGTGTTGGTGGACTTGATGAACGGATAGAAAGAATGAACGAATCCATTCATTTACAAATACATTACCTCTTGGGTTGTTGAATCAAGAAGGTAAGTAAGTTACTTGAAGGATGAACGGAGGTAGGATCCAGTATGAACCTGGTTATAGAACTCTGATCCCTGCTTCACATCAACCATCTTTGGGAAGTCATTGTTGACCCATAACATCTGTCCCTTTCTCGTCATACTATAATGATAATGATAATGATGTTAGTTAGTATCTTGGATAATTATAACAACAACCTCTACAAAATTGAGATAGTGGTGGTCATACCTAATGTCATTGTCAGTGGACATCTTCCTAACACCAAAGCCAATAGTCACTGTTGCGGCAGTACCGAGGATAACAAATAGAGGGGCAAGCTATAAGGTTGGTACCTTGTTGTTAGAATTGATAATATAATTATAATTTTTATATACACTTACAGCAGCATCAATTTTAACCATCTTTAAAGAAATGTATTATTATATTTATCTGTATATATGTAGTAGTATTTGAGGACAATAATGAGAATGATTCAAATACATCAACAAAGCATTGAACTAATACTCTGTATTCCAATGGTAATTAAACCATACAAACAAAGAATAAGCACACAACACACACACACACACACACACTTACAACCAACACCCCATCATGATCAAATGGGGAAGGGTTGTGGATTGATGATTGGTTACATAACAAACTATCTTGATAGTAGTTGTCTAACCAACATTAATTAAAGGAACATAATTGTTGATTGATCATTTAATGTCTCAATCAACTGAATTTCCAACTTCTCCAATCAAGAACTGTTATTGATTTTCAATTATAGATTGATAACTTTCGGAAGTTCATTGCAACTGTTTTTTTATTGAATGATGTCCAATTACCAAAATAGGAAATTGATTATGTCAACCATGGTATTCAATTTCGAAATTATTGTTGTTACAAACAGTCCTGGTCAATTACAATCACAAACATTATGATGTCTAGTCTTTCACCAACATCATCATTTCATATTCTTATTTCTATCATAATATTATACATACATACATATTCAAACATTCATTCACTCTATATTTAACCACTTTAGTGTTTTAATTATTTAATTATTTTATTTTTGAAGCTCACAACTCTTGTTCATTCACATTAACCAACTGTTCAACAACAACACAACATGCAACAGCAATCAGATATTCTAAGCAAAGTTACTTCTAGACTCCAGAACTCGTTGTTTATCCCATTCGACACAATTATGGAGAACAACAACACCGCTGCCTCCACCAACAAACCATCTCTCTTTGAGGGAGTTCCATTGGCACCTGCCGACCCAATTCTCGGCGTGTCTGTTGCTTTCAAGGCCGATCCATCACCCAACAAGGTTGATGTTTCAGTCGGCGCCTACCGTGACGACAACGGCAAGCCCGTCGTCTTGAAGTGCGTACTTGAAGCAGAGAGACGTCTGCTCGGTGCCAGCAAAGAGTACCTCACCATCGATGGTATCCCAGAGTTCAACAGAGCATCAGCACAGCTTCTTTACGGTGATGCTATGAAGGGACAAGAGAAGCGCATGGTTACAGTCCAATCGCTCTCTGGTACTGGTGCACTCCGTATCGGTATCATCTTCATCCGCAAATACCTCCCAGCCGGCACGACTGTCTATGCCTCCCGTCCAACATGGACCAACCACCACAACATCTGCAAGGAGTCTGGTGTGCCTTCAAAAGAGTACGCCTACTATGACAACAAGAACAACCGCCTCGACTTTGAGGGCATGCTCAGAGACATGGAGAACGCACCCAACGGCTCAGTCTTCCTTCTGCATCTGTGCGCCCACAACCCAACTGGATGTGACCCAACCAATGAGCAGTGGGGTATCATCGCCGACTTGATGGAGAAGAAGAAGCACATCCCATTCATTGACTGTGCCTATCAAGGTTACGCAAGTGGTGACCTCGATCGCGATGCCTACTCGGCTCGTCTGTTCTTCAAGCGTGGATTCGAGATGTTCTCATCTCAGTCGTACTCCAAGAACTTTGGCCTCTATGGAGAGCGTGCCGGTGCCCTCACTATTGTCTCCAATAACCCAGAGAACGTGCCCAAGATGTTGTCACAGATTAAGATGGACATCCGTGCCATGTATTCCAACCCTCCAACCCATGGTGCCCGTATTGTCGCCACTGTCCTTGCCGACCCAGAGCTCCACGCTCTCTGGATCACCGAGCTCAAGCAAATGTCCAACAGAATCATTCAGATGCGTCAGGCACTCTTGGATGCTTTGCGTGTCAGGAATGTCCCAGGCGACTGGACTCACATCACTAGCCAGATTGGAATGTTCACCTACACTGGTCTCACTGCACCCCAAGTGGAGTTCATCATCAAGAAGTATCACATCTATATGTTGGGCAGTGGCAGAGTCAGTGTTGCTGGTCTTAACACCAAGAACATTAACTATGTGGCAGATGCCATCGCTGATGCTGTTGCCAACGCCAAGTAATAGATCAGATTGCAAAAGTACATGACCCAAAGGTCTTTAATAAATACATAAAGTTATTGTTGTCATTGTGTTGAGGCAATCAAATCTACTTTATTACTTCAAAGACTATAAACCAATATACTGCCTGAAGTGTCGGCGGCAATTACAAACTCCACATTACCGAGATTGTGTGTTAGAGTTGCTGAGATTGGTTTGTGTTGTCCAACGATCGCCTCTGTTGTCTCAATAGTCAACTTGCTGTTATTGGTCTTGTTATCGTCTGATCTAAAGGTAAAGTTATCCCAAATGTAAATCATGTTATCCTCGCTTCCAATCAGAATCGACTTTTGATCAGAAGATACAGAGGGCTTCACCTGGTGATTCTCTAACTTCATTCCAGTATACTTGCACACTCTTCGGAAGTCCTTGAGTGAATACTGTCTAATACATGAATCCTTTGAGCATATCAATAACTGATAGATTGAGAAAATTAGTTACTGTTGGTCATTAATTCTGCTTAGGGTGGAACTTACATCATTGAGATTGGTTTGAGAGTTGGAAACTAGACACATTCCCAGTACTTTAGCACCTCTTTTCCTTATGTGATTGTCGCGTATGTTAAACTTTCGTAGCAGCTCCATTGATTCTGGATTGTAGACCATTACATTGCCAACATGAGTTGTAACAATCAGACAGTAGGGATTAAAGGACAATACCGAAGTGGTAATGAATTCATCCAACTTTAGTTCGAACAAGGGTTTGGAATTGTCATCAATACTCCATTTTCGAATGTATCCATCCAAAGTCATTGAATAGAATATCGATTTTGTCTAAATATGTATATAAATATAACAATTAATATCTGTAAGATCGATATTTGTGTTATCCTCAAACTGACCTACCTTGTCTACGACTGTGGAGACTATACAATCGTGATGTTCGTACACAGTACAATTGTTGTCTTTGATATTCCATAGCTTCACTTTGGTGTCGATGGAAGATGTGAGAAGTCGATCTTCATCAATCCATTTGATATCCAATATGTGCTCCTCATGTGCTTGGAATTGTACCAATGATCGGAGTAATGGCGAACTCCCCTCAAAAGGGAGGCTCCAAATTGCTAATACTCCGTCTGATCCACCGGTCGCTAGTTTGGTGCCACTACTATTCTTATCCAAAGTCCATATCGACCCTTTGTGGGCATTGTTGATGCTCTGGACCATACTAAACTTTGATATGCCTAACTCCTTTGACTTCTTTCGATTATTCTATAGGGAATTGAGTTAACAACCAGTCAACTCAATAATAAATTAGCTACCACTTACGATTGCCGGGATATTGTTAATTTGAAGACTCTTTAGCCATTTTGCTACCCTTGTCTCGTGAGGGCTACTATATGCTGACTGTGGAGAGGGTTGAGCTTTTTTCTCCAGATTGTTCTCGGAGAGGGAATATCTCTTGAGGAGCTTCTTAATCCTGCTCTCTTGATGAGTATTGTTTGGGGTTGAAATATTGAGATCAGATTGAGATATTTGACTATCTTTGTCTGGTGAGGAGGAAATGGTCGATATGTTTGGTTGGCTCTTGATTCCGCTGTTGTTGCATGAGAATAAATTGTGTAGGGCATCCTTCTTAGTCTTTTTAAAGGAGTTATCTTTTGATAACTTCTCAATACCTGCTATTGATATGAACTGGATTGTTAGACACTGATCATCATCATTTTATCCTGAATGCATACTAGAGGTTGTTATTGATTTATCCGTCAAATCCAGAGATCCCTCACTGTCACTAAAATTACTGCTGTTGCTGCTGCTGTTGGAGACTATACCAGAACTCTGTGATGGTGTAAGTTTGTGAAATAGAGCACTTGGGGACAGGGACCAATCTGGATTGCTTTCCAGGGCGTCATAAAAGACTTCATTCTCTTCTTCATCTTTTGAATAGTAACTATGGAAGCTACCAGTGCTGTGTGGATCATTATTCCTATAGAAATTAGAATGGACTCCAGAGGCACTGGTATTCAATGATGCATTCGAGTAGGACAAGGTAGTCTTGGTAGTCATTTAAATCAGCCAATTCAACTTTAATTTTAAAGTATTAGTAATAATAAGTAATGATAGTAATAATAAGTTTACAACAGTGTTTAGAGATTGTCTTGGGAAAACAACGAAACTCATCCAAGATGGTGTGTGTGTGTATGTGTGAGTTGGAATGGATGCTCATTGGTTGAGTGGGATGACAAGATTGTCATTGGATGTCTTTGCCTAAACCGGGTAATTATCGATACGTACACACACACACACACCATCTTGAATGTGGTGGAGTAATAACAATAATCTATCTATTCAATGTATCTAGCTCTGGTTGATCAATGAATAATAATCTCAATCTGAGTGAAGTAATAACAATAGTTTATACAATAATCAAACAACTACTACTACTTGCGTTTTGGTAATTGTTCAATGATGAGATCTCTCTCTTCATCAGTCATTCTTCCCCATCCTGCTATTTCATTGCGTGTCCTGGAGCATCCCAAACATTGGTTCGTACCAGAGTCTAACTTGCATATATCTACACAAGGAGTCTTTATCCCACTCCTAGTTCAGTATATATTAGTTAGCTATGCAATCACGAGACAAAACTCTCATTCTGTGTATTGTTGTTTGAGTACCTTTCGCGAATGTAGACCTGAGTGATATCGATGATTTCTCCTTTGTTGTTCTGCATGATTATACTATCTCGTTTCTTGTTGTCGTCGTCGGTGATGTTGTTGATAGCTTGAGAATAGGATCTCAGAGGTGTGAATGGCAATATAAAGTTGTTTGCTCTTAACAACGTTGTGATGGTCTTTGATATGGTTGTTGTTGTTGTTGTAAACATAAGATGTAATCGATTCAAGGACGAGAAAGTGTGACAATGAATCGCTTTTTTTATCACTTGTTATCAAATTGCTCCTTTTCCAGTTGCAGTTTCTCAATGGCAATCTCCAATCGCAAACATTCTTGCTCAATCTCTTTGTTCTTATGCACCAACTCGTACCATTTGCGCTGGTTTGACTCTATCTTTGTCTGTACTGTCTCTTGGTCCAACTTTCTGTTGACATTAATCTGCTCCATCATTCGTACATTTTCATCGTGGTGCGCCTTGAGTGATTTGTATAGACGTTGATAGTCTTCCAGGTACTTTTTCCATGCATTAACGCCGTATCTCTGCAGAAGTTGTAGGTTTGTCCTCCTTGTCTCTTGATGTTCGCACTGTGCCTTTGCATTGTCCACTGCGCTCTGCCACGCGTCAACATCATGCTTCATTGATGCTGGTGGTTTCTCCACTTTATATCTGGTAAGGTTGAATTGCTCCATTGTCTTGTTCTCTTGTATTCTATTCATTTCATTCTCTAGAAAGTTAAAGCTCTGAGAGGTTCAATAAAGGAAGGTCAGTATTGGTTCCAAGTGTTGTAACACAGGATATTACGGATTGTTTGTGATTAGCATACATTGTAATCAAAACTATGTGCAGCTGGTAGTTGGGCCAAGTAGTCAGGAGGTTCAAACCTAGACATCTCTTCTCGAATCAATTCATTGATAACTGACTGTTCCTCTGAGTGGTGATGATGATAGAGTAAGTTAGGAATCAGCATCGGAGTAAGAAGTATGGTACATACGATCTGTTAAAGGTGCATCTATGTATGGCAATGAATCTACCAATGTTGAACCCTCTATTTGTATCTTCATTGTTTATCTATTGTATATTATTTGTGTTGTTGTTGAAAAGCAATAAAAGAAAGATTGCCAAAAGTCAAACAACTATTGTTTTTGATCAAAACTTGATCCTCTCCCGTCATGATCATCAACCACAGGTCACCTACGTGTTTCATTCATTCACTCAATCACATTATCACTATCTATTAAGCTATCTATCTATCTATCTGTCTATTACTTTATACATTATTAAAAGAGATGTCTGATCCATTTGAAGATAATATCGAATCTGTCGAGGTTCATGAGGAGATCATTGAGGGAGACTACGTACCGACAGAGGAAGGTGAGACTATCACTTTCGAAACTGTGTCTGATGGCAACAACAACAACGCATGGTCACAACAGCAGGATCATAGCATGTCATCACCATCTGGCTCAGCAAACAATTATGACTCTAAGCCCAAGACTGTTGAGGTCCCAGCTGCTGTTAGGTAACGTAGTTCAATTTTATAATATTATTAGTGATAATATTAACTTTATGGTGACGACAATTTAATAGAGAGTTCAACGAGAAGCATGACAAGGCATTGGCAGAGAAGAAGAGAGTGTCGGATGAGAAGAGAAGAAAGAAGCTAGAGGATGCTCAGAAGTCATTGGACAACTTCTACGCTGAGCGTGAGTCAAAGAAGAAGACAGCACTCAAGAACAACAGAGACCACAACAAGACATTGGAGAATGACAACATTGCTGCATCTGCTGGCAAGGATGACTCTTGGGAGGCTGTTGTCTCTATGATTGACCTCACCGCCAAGCCAACCTCTGCCTCATCGGCCGCTGCAGGATCATCATCTTCTTCGGAGAAGAAGGACAAGAATGTACCACCACCCAGCAAAGATACTACCAGAATGAGAGAGGTACTCCTCCGTTTGAAGAACAAGCCAGTCCACTAGACATTGTCTCTACAACTCAGGTCACATCAAACCTTACTATATTAATGCCATCAATAAATATCCGTTGTAATCAGTTGTTTGAGTATAAATGATTATTATTGTTAGCTACCAATTTGGTTGTTGTCCTTGTTGTTATTGTTGTTGTTATTATTGTTGTTGTTGTTATTATTGTTGTTGTTGTTGTTATTGTTATTGTTGTTGTTGTTGAATTTAAGCAAAGAGTTACTTGTCAATGCTACCTTTGCCATGCCAGCATTGAGGTTCCTCAGTAGATCACACGCCATGCATATATCGTTTGAGCATATGTATCCACATCGATTACAATTCCTCTGGACTGGCATCTTGGTCTCATCACGAAAGGCAAAGTTCTCTGCAGAGTGGATAATGTCGATGATCACAGATGGACGGATAGCCTCCAGGTCCTTCAGAAAGTCCCTGGCATGTCCACGATAGGCATTTGGTGCATATATACATTCTGTTGTGAAGTAGTCCAACTTCTTAAAGTAGGCGTACATCACTATCTCCTTCTGATAAGTATACTTGAATGGTTTGGATCGCGGTAAAGCACCCTCACTACCTGTGACAATGTTTACACATCTCTGAAGTCTAGGTACATCTCCTCTAAGCACTGTGTGTAGAATTATTATTATGTGTAAGTAACCAGACCAGAGCAGAAGTAGATAGATTAAAGTTCACATACGATTCATCAGGATGGTCTCTGCAATGTCATCGGCATTATGTCCAGTGACAATCTTGTTTGCCCCAAGTAGGACAGCGCCCCTGTCCAGTGCCTGGCGACGGAAGACTCCACAGAATGTACAATTGTTCTTCAGTCCAATCTCCTTTACTATATCATCCATGGTCCAATCGTACAACTCCTTGTATGAAAGAATCTTGAGGGGTATCTGGTATTGTTGTTGATTCCTTTTGACAGTCTCCAATGAGTCGTCCCTGTATCCTGTGATTCCCTCGTCGATTGACAAAAGGAATAGGTCTAGTCCATAGTCATGTCTTTTGTTGAGCAATGTCATGATCTCTGCCAGCACTGTAGAGTCTATTTATAGTAGTAGTATTAGTGGTGTGAGCATTCATATGTAGTTGGGATAATCTGAACTAAGGAAGTTACCCTTTCCACCTGATGCACCGATGGCAACCCTGTCTCCCTTTTGAAATAGATTGTTCGAAACGATTGTTTGATGTATCTCATCTTCAAACACCTGATAGAAACAGTCCTTGCATATCATCTGTGAAGTCTTTGGTCTCTTTAGTACAGGTCTTTTATCAAGACATACTTCGCATAGCTTAGTAGCTCTCTTCTTTTCATTGTTATTGTTGTTGTTATCTGCAGACATTGTTATTGTTGAGTTATTTGTTGTTGTGAAAACAAGAAGAATGATTTATAAAATTTGTAAATACAAAGTATTTATTGATTACTTGTCCACATTGAGATCCTATTCAAGTGGAACTAGGTAATTACTATATCGGAGATAAATCTTTGGAGCATCTACTACTAATAGCAAACATGGCAACAGAATTTGGCACTATCGGACATCTTGTGACAGTTTGGATGCTCTGGACATTGATGTGGGCAAAATGGAAGATAACCTTCAAGGGTTGCAACAGAGAGATTCAAACATATCAACAATATAATAAGAATGGTATAGAATTTAATTAATGACATGATAATATCGATATTGGACTTTTTGATGATCTATTGAACGGTATTGGGGAGGCATTTATAGGCACTGTCCAGCTGATATCGGTGGCAGGTGTAGGAGAAAAAAAAGGAAGGCAAGTCAATGTGTACTTTGGCTACTTACTTCAAAGATATTCCATTGCTCACCACATCATTCGCACAGTGATAAGTTCAAATTACCAATGGAAAATGACCTTGTTGAATGTGATAAGTATTCATCCCGATAATCAGGTCGATCACCGGCGCGATCCACCCAACATACACATCACACGAAACACAAACCACACTGCAATCTACTCGTCTGTTCGTACCCCCTAGCTGGGGTTCACGGAGAATCAAGATCATAGTGCGAGGTGAAGTTACAGCGTTCAAATTCATCGACTGTTCGCATCTAGTTGTTGATGATGTCAATTACAATTGACAATCGTGTTTGCACAGTCTACTACGAGTTCCAAGGCGTTAGTTGGAATGAGAATTTAGCTTGTATTGACTGTAGAATGAAATAAAGACCGATAGTGTGTGTGTGTGTGTGGGAAGGGAGTTGATCACTTCTGATCATATTGTCGGCCCTTCTTCTCGTTGAAGAGACGCAGTGCATGGTCGATCTTCATGTTGAATATCATATTCATGTTGTCATCATCAGCAGGAATCACCTTGGAGGAGACAGAGCGCTCTAGGAGAGACAAATCTTGTGGAGGACTGAGTTTCAAGACCAGACCATTGCCAGGAACGTATAGAACCTCTTTGATAACCTCGTATGGTATCTGGAACATAAAGTTGCTTGCAACGATGCTCCTCTTGATCTTCTGATAGATCAGTCGTTTGTCTGACAGAATCACCAAACACTCGTGGTTGATTGGATAGTGCCATATGTAGTTGTCTCCAGAGTGCTTATACTTGTGAGTGGTCTTCAACAAATACCAGCCCTCTGACTCTAGTGCCTCATATTGACGGAGTACATTGTCTGCACCAAAGCATCTTGGGGGCCTCTTTCTATCCTTGAACTCTTGGAGGTTGGTCGTGTTCTTGATGCCCTCTGTTGCCTTGGTCGTAGCATCAATGACTGCTGCTGTTGGTTTCACCGCCACTCCAATGACACCTTGGGCCAAACCTTTGGCGAATCCTAGGAAGCCATCCTTCTTGGCACCCTCAACGGGTTTGGTAACGATACCAGTGATTCCTTGGAACAATCCCTTACCAATGCCAATGCCACCCATAGCCAAACCTTCTCCAACGTGCTTGGGCTTCTTGGACTGCTGGGCCTTTCTGTCTTGAAGATACTTGTCATCGAATGACAATGTTGCAACACCAGATCCAATGGTGCCTGTAATCTTTGAGATGGTGTTGAACGTACCAAAAACAGAGTTCTTGATCAATGAGCTCGTGCCCTTTGCCAGACCTTTGCCAAAGTCTGCAGGTGACTTGACGAGACCCTGAGCTGGCTCGACAAAGAAGTCTTGAACACCGGTTCCAAAGTTTCTGAACAATCCAATTGGGTTTCCAATGATATCGATGGAGCCAAGGATGTTGTAGAACTGACCAATCACTTGCTTGATGTATGTGGACTTGAGTTTGTCAATCATTGTGTTCCATGAGGAGAATGGATGCTCCATCAGTAGACCTTGCAATGTGATAGGAGCACGGTCCAACTTTGTGAGTGAGAGACCAAGTCCCTCGATAGAGCTGAGGGCCTTGTGATCAGTCTTGAAGAGACCATCCTTCTGGAGGGACAGTGTGATGTTGACCTTGATCGGATTGAGTACGAGAAGTGCAAAGTACACCATTCTATGTGCAGTTGAGTCGAGTGTTGGTGGCTCAATGCTGAATACTGGGTATAGCTCTTGAGCAGTGTCATTCATATGTGTGTTGGTGATGGAGTTGGAAAGATTTGGTATACTATGACCAGAGTCGGTGAGGGATTGTTGCTGCTGCTGTTGTGACTGTTGTTGTTGATGATGATGGCTTGCAGAATGGTTGTGGAAGTCAGGCATTGAGTTGACAAAGTCCAAAACCTCCTTCAACCAATTGTCCTCAAAATCTAGCATCAACTCCTGGATCAATATGGAGAAGTATCTAAAGTGATCAATGTTGTCAAAGTTTGACTTGATGACCGAGAGATGTAGGAAGTCCTTTCTGTTGTCACCCTTCATTGTGGTGAAGAGCATGACTGGGAACTCTGTGCGTACCAGCTGGTTGTCCAACTGTAAATCTCCAATCTTGACCTCAAGTGATGTCTCATACATTGAGTGCTCAGTCTGCAGGAAGAAGTCAGACAGTGAGACGTAGCACAACTCCTTAGGCGACTGGTCAATGACAGAGAGACCGATTCCTGACATTCTGACAAAGAACTGGAACTCGGTTGCCTCTCTGTCCACCTTGGTGTTGACATTCTCCTTCCAATGCTTGATGAGGTTGTACTTGGAGGAGTGTGTGGAGAATTTGACCAGACGGCTTGTGCGCTCCACGGTGATCGTCACGTATATTGTGATCGAGTTCACCTTGACCTCGTAGCCAGTGATCTTGTTGAGCTTAAGGTCTCGCTTCATTGGTTCGCCGTCAAGGTAGGCAACGAGTATAGATGGCATTGAAGGTTCGTCCCAGGCGAAAGGCATCGTGAGTGTTGGTGTCAGGTGATCGAATCTCTGCTGGTTGGCTGGCAGTGCATTCTTTTGGTGGTAGGATATGTTGTAGGGTGTGTCGTTTTGAATCAAGAATGGTGGATGCTCTTGACTGGCCTCTGGAATCAAAACATAGAGTGTTCCCTTTTCCTCCATGATGGTGACATTACAATGCACAGAGGGCTTGGCTGGTTCACTGTCTCTGATTCGTACGATCGTTTCACACACTGTATCAATGTTGAAGCTGCCTGACCATTCCTGTGTGCCAGATGCACTCTTGATACTGATCGACTTGTCTTCGGTGGGCACAGTCCAGTGTAGAGGACTGTGAGCATTTGGCTGTAGGGTCATCAGGTCGATGCGCTCAATCTTCTTCTCGGTCTTGACGTATTGGGACACCATGATGGGGAAGTCCAATTTGTTCTGGATTACGTAGCGAGGTGTAAAGGTTACTACCTTGCTGAGACCAAACTTGGAGTGCTGACAGAACTCGATTGAGTACGAGACCTCGTAGGCGTGAGATGAACCTGGGATCGAGAGTGATCCAGTGTGTCCAACCGTGACGATGGGAACCGAATTGCAGTACTTGACTTGGTTGTTGTTAGTGTTGCCGTCAATAACACGTAGCTTGATGTTGTTGGAGTGGTAGAGGATGGGTGGGTTCATAGCTGTGGAAGTGTTTGGAGGCAGAGCAATCTCCTCACCATCACCCTTGACCACAAGTGGCAGCATCGAGTTGTTGACCAACCAATATTGACAATAGAAGGAAAGCACTCTGATGCCTTTGACCTCCTCAAACTTCTCCACCTGAAGTGTCAGCTCCTTGCCAGTCATCTGAGAGGTGAGCAGTTTGAACTGTTTGGCCACATTGTCTCCATTGATCAAGGTCTGTGTGGTCTCGGGGAACTTCTCAATGTCGCTCAGGCTGACACTAAGGTTGGTGCCTGGCGCATAGGAGAAGACATCAAGCTTCTCCCCACTGGCAATGAGAACAGGTTCCTCATCCTTTGCGAACCTGATCTTGAATGGTATTGGCAGCAGGTTCTCAATCTGAACCTGCGCACTGATTGATATGACCTGGAACTTGTTCTTTGAGAGCTCTGGGACGGTACTGTTGCCAAGGAGGTGGGTCTGGTTGGTAACTGACACTGCAACAAAAGATATCCTCTCGAGACGATCCACAAGTTTGAGTGGTCGACTGTTCTCTCTGCGAACAGCTCCATCTTGCTTCTTGTCCAGTTTGGCCTGCTCCTTCTCAAACTCGCTAACGAGTGCTGCAGGAGAAATAGCCTCTGACCAATGTGGTGAGTTGGCCATCTTTATCCAGAACCGACTGAATCCAAAGAAGGCGTCAACTGGTACCGAGTACTTCTCGTTCTGTTGCACTAGCACGGCAGAGTCGACATGGTTGTCCTCTTTGAAACTAAGATGCATTGGAATTGACGAGTTGTTGACAAACTGCACCATTGAGCGAATGTACACTATCTTGCTACCATCACGCTGTAGCCTTGCCTCCACATCAATATCAATGTCACCTTGCAAAGGTACGATTGTTGTGGTTGATGCGCTGAGACCTTGCTGTTGGGGTTGCTTGAGACGGTACACTCTGCTTCCGATAGCATCCAGGGAGACCGATTCCAGGCGACAACCATGAATGAAAAGGTCAATGCTGGTCTTTGCACCAATGGAGGAGTCTCTGCCTTTGGTTGCCTTGATCTGTACGGGTTGTAGTACGTTGTTGGCCACATTGATGCGACTGGATTGGGTGGAGAGTTGGGATGTCGTGGACATTGTGGCAGAGGACATTGAGAGAGAGTCAGAGTAACTACTCTCATTGTCGTCCTGCAGCTCCTGCATGGCCTCAAGAACGGGCAGAGAATAGTCGATCGGACAACCTGTCAAGTTCATGAGCCAATGAGAATGGAACTTGGGTTTGATGGGTGCACCCAAAGATGAGGTCGAGGCAGAGAGGAGGGACTCTTGGAGATCCTCGGGTGAGGTCACCTTCTTTGATAGGTACTTGGAGAGCGTCGAGTTTGAAGACACGATCCTGCTCTTGAGTGAGGTCTTGTTCTCCTTGTCCTTGAGCTTGATCAGATGGACGGTGGATGCGAGTGTCTGCAGAAGGGCATGTGTCACGTTCATGTTGAGTATTTGTCGTGTGGCCATAAAGGTGGCACGTGTCCTCTTGCCAGTCTTTTTGATGTCAAAGTTGAAGCCCCAGTCCTCAATGAATGGTTCAAACTTCATGAGACTCTCGTTAAAGTAGTCGGCCTTGAAAGTGACTGATGTCTTGAGCTCCATTTCCGTGGACCAATTGGTAATCTTTGCCTGTAGACCAGATAGGTAGAGCTCAGCGATCGGTAGGTAGATGTCCATGGACTCGTTGATCAGGAGCACGCTCATTGAAGGACATTCAAAGGTCAGGAACTCGTTCTGAATGAAAAGGTCAGGGCTGGATGAACCAGAGGCCGGGACAAGCTGTCCTGCGTCCACTGAGCTGATGCTGGAGGAGAGATCAAAAGAGGCAGTAGAGGAGGACAGATCTGTGTTGTTGTTGTTGGCCGCTTGAGCAATGGACGATTGCGTTGCAATGCTAAGGTTCTGTACAATCTTGAGGATCGTGTTGATATCATCGTAGGAGAAATAGGTCTTGATGATGGAACTGGTGACAGATATCTTGGTCTTGAAGTAGTCGGCCGTCTCGTTCTCCTTAATGTACTGCACCTTGATATGATCCAATGACCTGAGGATTTGAATTGGACGTGATCCTTGTCTGGATCCATCTACAGTAGAGTCCACAGCGACTGAAGGTCTAAAGATCTTGATCTTGGTGTCACGAAGAGACACAATGGCGTTCTCCATTCCCTTTGGATCACGCTTGAAATACACGTGGGACTTGGTCTTGGCCACGAGACACCTTGTGTTTGCCTGTGCCTCATTCTCTACCATCGTCACCTCTACGTTGAGATTGCACGAGAGGGTTATCGTTGGAGTTCTAAGTAGCTCTGGGTTCAGCTTTCGCGTCTGAGCCAAGAACTTGGGGCTGCTAGTAGTGGGCTCGGGAACAACTGGTGCAGACTGCTCCAGTGTCTGAAGGGGCTTCAAAAAGAAGTCGACAATCAAAAAGATGGGCGTTGGAGACACAAAGAGGCATGGATTGTTGATCTCCAGGTTGATGTACTGGTCGCCAAGATAGCTATCTCTAAGATAGCCGACTGTGATGAAGGAAACTGTTTCTGTAGCCTTTCGTGACTGATGATTCTCCATTAGGTTCTTGAAGATGTTGGGTGAGTCACTTCTAGCGTCTGTCAACACGATGGAGTCCATAGAGAAGTCCAACTTCATTTTTTGTCTCTCTGAAGTCTTGAACTGGATCACCATTTGACGCATCTCAAACATGGCAATGTCTGTTTCCGTTGTGGATATCTTGAAGCTGAGATTTGGCACAGTGATGTTCATCGATAGAGTAACCTTGCCCATATTCTTGAGCACTTCGTGTTCCCCATAGTAGGGGATATCAGACGATGGGGGTGGGGGCAGAGACACAGTCTGTAGCACGTTGCCAATGGCACGCATAGCATTGTCCATCATCTTAAGGAAGAAGACGTACTGTTTTTGCGTGAGATGGAAACTGATGTTTGACAGATTCATGTCAATCACAAGGTCGTCGACGTCGATCTGGTGATTTGGTATCAAGAATCTGGTCAAGGCAAGATCTAGGTCCATCTTGTTAAGGAAGTTGGAGACGTTGTCATTGTCATGGATGGTCATGTTGGAGGACTCTAGACGGATGTTCATGATGTCCAAGGGTTGTGCTGTGTCCCTAAAGTTATCGAATCGGTTGGACACAATGATCTTGCCCAGCTCCAGTTGTATCATATTGGTGGAGTTGAGTGCTTGGGGCACTCTAAAGATCGGTGTCTCCATGACAATGTCCAGCTTGGTACGACTGACTGGTGTGAGTGTGTCAACTGAGAGACTTGTCGAGAGTGGGTCTATGGAGTCAAAGTACTCATTGCCAGCTTGGTTGCTTGACGACGTCGCCACGGGCACTGGTACAACTGGTTTGTTGAGAATGGGGTCAAGCATTCCTCCAAGTAAATAGGTTTGGAGCTGATAGACGTAGCCAACTTGGGCATTGACAATGATCGATTTGATGTTGGCCTGGACCGAACTGTCATAGCCAGGATAGTTGGTCAACGTGGTGGGATGTGTGTTGAAGCTAAATGTGAGCATTGAACCTTCTTGGTCTTGAGGTGTGATCACATGCTTGTAGAGAGATGCAGGGTTGTCTGTCAGGTCTTCAAGCTTGATGCTTCCCAGCGTGCCACGAAGGGTCATCCTTGTGTCCTTGTAGAGGACAGTCTCCACCATGATGTCATTGATCGAGAAGATTCCTATGCGTCTGTTGGTCTCTTGGTTCAGCACCAGACCCAAACTCTTGATCTTGGCCACTACACTGATGGTAATGTTCTCAGTGGGTGGTTTCTTCTTGAGAACCTTCTTGATGATTGTCACCTTTCTAGTGGTTGGCGCAGTAGAGGGCGAAGGAGCAGAGTCTCCAGTGAACTGCTCAGAGGATGATTCTAGGGCAGGTGATGCTGAAGATGGTGATGGAGTAGAGCTTGCAGGGCCGCCAACTCTAAGTGTTTTGACTAGTCTCTTTCTCTTCTCGATCACTTGGATTGTTGACTTCTGGAGACCAATGACTGGCTTCTTGTCAAAGGACTGCACAATCATAAGCAACTGATGTACTGTGGGAGGGTTGCACACCAAGTAGAAGTTCTGGAAGTTAACATCAAGGGTCATGTCAACCTTTTTGAACTCTGGTGAATCCTAGTATTGTTTGAATGAATACAAGAGAATTAAATTAGTTGGTTGTTTGGTATTATTATTAAAAACTATGATACATACACTTTGGTATTGTTTAAAGTTGATCAGAACAAGTGATGCATCACTTGAACCTCCTTCAATGTCTTTGGTTGGGTTGGATGTGGCCAACTTCTTCAAATTGCTGCGAGTGAACAAGTCATCAATGTCAAGTCTAGAGAGCTCCACCTTGCCAACTGAATCAAAGGTTCGTTGAGCAAATGATACGGTCAAACCATCAATGACCAATTTGATCAAGTCAGTCTGCTCCCTCGATATTGTGATTCCAATCGAACGGATCTTGAAGCTCATGCTGACCTTCTTGTGGTTCATAAGAAGATCAATTGATGATTGTTGCTTGTCATCCTGTTCATTCTCATTGTAGTGACTGGAGATAGTGATTGAGTGTATGTTAGTTAGTGATCTTTGATCAAAAGTATCTAAACTAAATATACCTATACATATCCAATACCTTGCTCTTGATAGCTGATTGAGCATGATCCAGTGTAGCAACTGCTTTGCTACTAGTGTCAATGTCTGCGGTCAACTTCTCAGCCATCTCAATCAGCTGCTTGCACTTCTTATCGGACAGTGCAATGTTGAAGGATGGTAGCTCACCCTTGATCTTCACCTTGGTCAGTGTGAGACTGTCCTGTTGGATGCATGAGAAGATGGACAAGTGGACGTCGAACTGGTTGATAATGTGTGTACGTTGCTCGCTTTGCACTCGCTTGTCGTTCCAAGAGTGAATGTCGTTAGTCAGCAGCATCTGGACCGACTCGAGAGAGAGATTGAATCTATCGTAGAAATCGTCCTCGGATGTGCTAGACACTAGTTTGCCCTTGATCTTTTGGTTGGCCGCGTCCGATTCGAACTTGAAGCTACCAAGATCAAGCACCAGTGCGTTGGAGTTCTTGATGGTGACATTCTCTGGGATGATAATGACTGGTGCCTGGATCTTGACATGTAGAGCGACAGTCTTGTGTGTGTCCAATGCCTCTTGCAGTTGCATCTTTGTCTTCTCTGTGAAGTTGTCGATGTAGTCACCAGCCATGTTTGTGATGTTGGTCAAATCGATTGCGTCCTGATTGGTGAAGAACTCCACTATCTTCATGATCAGTGGCTTTGGTGCAATCACTTGTAGAGGCTCCATGTTCAGGTCGAGAAGTAGATCGATGGCCTTGTTGGGTGGACACGTGTCAACAATGGCAGAACAGAAGGTCTGCTGAGTGCCACCAGTAAGAGCAGGGGAGATGATCTTCTTATACTCGGTTCCCTTGGTAAACTGGTCGTAGACTTCAAACTGTTTGATTCCAGACAGCACCCTGATACCCTCCTTGCGCTGCTCTAGCTTGACGGTCAGTGCCGAGAAGACCGTATCAATGAATGGCGTATCGTTCTCAACCAACTGCATAGAGATGGACTTGATGGTGAGGTTGGCAACGATCTTGACCCAGTCGGGTGGCTCCTCCACTGACTCTATCACCTCGGAGTACTCGATCGTACGATAGAGCTCATCTCTCTCGTTGTGTGACAGTGTGACGATGGGTGCCTCCTTCTCATCCTCCTCCTTCTTCTTGTTGAAGAGGTTCTGGAAGAAGGTACGATCGGCCTTCTTGGATTGAAGGAAGTCCTTACGGATCTTGTTCTTCTCGGTCTCCTTCTTGATCTCGGCATAGGCCAAGGAGCGGTAGAAGATGACGTCCTCAAAACTGAGTCGCTCCTCCATCTCAGCAAGGCTTGCCGTCTCTGGTTTTGTCAGAGGAGTCAACCAGTGGATGTTGGGTAGAGATCTCTTGAAGAGCTCAACATACTTGATACGGTCCTTTCGACGCTCAAAGATGTAGGCCCATGAGCGCTGGTAACGTCTCTGGTGGATGTTCTCCAGTGTGACCTGACCTGCATACTTCCACCATGCCCTTGGGTTCTCCCTGACTCCAACTTGGGGTCTGTACTTTAGGAACTTGATGTCGCGAAGGAACTCATTGGTGAATTGTAGAATGTTCATGATGGAGTGGTACTGTGCAGAGGAGAGTGCACAGATGATATCTGAGAATATACACTCTGTGATGATCTTTGGAATGGCCTTGTCGATTGCATCACTTTTGTTTATAGACACCTGGTGATGGAAACAAATAAGAGTTGATTAATACATATATATATATGGTACTACCATTCTGAACATACCTTTAGCTGAGAGGATATTGGTTTGAGCATGAACTTCTTGGTCATTGACTCATGTGTCCTTGTGGTTGGGATAGCATTGTAAAATGCATCGTGGAACTCGTGGTCAGAGAGACCAAGCATGGAGGTTGCGTCTGCATCAATGTACATTCCAAGAGAGTTCATCTCGGCCAACTTTCTAATCATGTTTGTCTTGGTACTGTCAATGATTGATGGGATCCAACGCTCATCACAAGACTGTGCTGATATGTTGTCCAAAGTGACACCAACTGCGTAGAGCTATATTGGAGGAAAAAGTATTAGTATTTGCCATTGTTGTCGAGTGTGTAGTTGGTGTATGTATACATACACGACCAAGCTCATTCCTGTTCTCGAAACGTATATGTATCTTGTTTATCTTGATCTGCAAGTTGTCGATGATCTTTGTCACTAGTCGATCAGTGAATGAGCTATCAGTGGCCTTGCCGCCAGTTTGTTCATTCTCAGCCTCTTTGATAGACTTCATCCACTCGTAGTTCTCTATTCTCTTCCTCTTGAGCTCCTTCTCCTTCTTCTTCTCGGCCTCTTCGTCGTACTTGTAGTTCTGTGTCTGAGGCACGGCCAGTGCATAGATAGAGTCGATGTTGACAATCACTGGTTTAGACTTGAGGTCCTTCCAGGGTACCTTGAGCTCCAGTCGACCAAGGTAACCTTTCTTGACGGTGATGGGCATGTTGATTGGCAGATTGTTGAGAGCATCTTCCTTCAACTCTAGATTGGTCAGCACAACATTGCCACCCAGCACACCAATCTTGAGCTGGTCCTTGTTGAGATTCTTTACGTACTCGCCTAGTACCTTTGACAAAACGTCAGATACTATGCCCTCGAATACCATTGTTATATTTATCTCTCTATCAATTAAATATATATATTTACAAATAACAATAATTTGACCTTCACTCAAAACAGTGGTAGAGAAGTATGTTGAAAAAACAACTAAAATATCTAGTGTGGTTATACAAACGCTCAGTATTGTTCACTACTTAGTCCCAGGTCCAACCAAACCAAATTGAAACAGGATTGGGATTTAGAGAATAATAGAACTACTTTTGCATAAGAAGATATAAAGATAAACAGAAAATGTCTACAGCTGTTGATAATACATATACAAATGATACACTCTTCAAGTTGATCTCAAGTGCAGCACTTGAACAGAAGAGCACCAATGCGATGATCTTGCCATCGAACACTACCTCAACAGACTTTAGCCAAGTTACCTATGGTCAGTTTCTTCAGGATGCTGTCAGTGTAGCACATCTCCTCCAAAGCAATGGATTCAAACAGGGTGATGTTGTTTCAATTGTCTTGCCAAATGGTTATCCAATCCTTGCTTGCTTCGCTGTATGTTATTTTCAAAGACTTTGTACAAGGAGTTCAATCACTAATCATTAAATTTACCTACCCACATGACAATGCAACCGGTCTATCTTTAGGGTACAACATTTTCTAGATGCATTGCAGCACCTTTGAACTCATCTTACAAAGAGGATGAGTTCAACTTTTACCTTCAGGACATGAATGCCAAACTTGTCATTATTCAGGATGGTCTAACTGAAGCCAAAGCAGCTGCCACCCAGTTGGGTCTCAATGTGTGGACATTGAAGGACAACTTCGACTATGCCTCCAACCAGTACCACTTTGAGTTGTTTGACCAGAAAGATAACAAGCTTGACTTGTCGTCCAAGGGAACAGAGCTCGCTGACCCACCTCAGCCAGAAGATGTAGCTATATTCCTTCACACGAGTGGTACTACCAGCAAGCCCAAGGGAGTCCCATTGACACACAAGAACATATCCACCTCGTTGGTGAACATTGCCAAGACATTCCATCTGTCAAAGACCGATCGCTCAATGGTTGTCATGCCACTGTTCCATGTGCACGGACTGATTGGCGTCAGCTTGTCAACTCTAATCAGTGGTGGATCCCTAATCACTCCACCAAAGTTCAGTGCACAATGCTTTTGGGCACACGTCAAGCAGCACAAGGCAACCTGGTACTCTGCCGTTCCAACCATCCACGCCATCCTCATCTCACTGGAGAAGTCAATGGAGGATAGTCCGAACAAGGCATTCCTCAGGTTCATTAGAAGTTGCAGTTCATCCCTCTCGCCAACCTTGTTTGAATCTTTGGAGAAATGTTATGGTGTATGTATGCCAATGCAGTGGCTATGATAATTCGCTACCTTTGACAATATATATTAACTAATCTCATCAAAGTGTCCAGTAGTAGAGTCGTATGGAATGACAGAGTCATCACATCAAATGACCTCAAACAGACTCCCAGAGGATGGAAAGAGAAAGGTCAGCTCAGTTGGCAAGGGTGCCTTTGTTGAAGTTGGAATCGCCAATGAAGAGGGTAACCTCTTGGCTGTTGGTCAGGTTGGTGAGGTGTGCACCCGTGGCAACAACGTCATGAAGGGATACAACAACAACCCAACGGCAAACATTGAGAATTTCACCAAGCAAGGTTGGTTCTTGACCGGCGACATTGGCTATTTGGACGATGAGGGATACCTGTTCCTCAAGGGGAGAAAGAAGGAGATCATCAACAGAGGTGGAGAAAAGATCAGTCCTCTCGAGATTGACAACTCACTCTTGGAGTGCGAGCACATTGCAGAGGCTGTCTGCTTTGGTGTACCAGACGCCAAGTATGGTGAGGAGATTTGGGCTGCAGTGGTACCCAAGACATCCAAGCCAGACCTAACTGAACAAGAGGTGATGGAGTTCCTTCAGAAGAAGATTGTCTCTTTCAAGATACCCAAGAAGATCTTTGTCACCGACAGCTTCCCCAAGACTACGACGGGAAAGATTCAAAGACGATTCATCTCGGAACACTTCCTCAAGATTTACTCCCTTAGGAAGTAAAATACAATTGATAGATAGATAGATAATACATCAACTACATACATACATACATACATATATATATCGAGTGAATACAGGGATAGTAAGTCTATTTATTTATTTGTTTGTTGTTTGTTGTTGGATGTAGTTGGTAATATATACTTGGGTGATGATTTGATTGTTAGATAGCAACGACTAACGGTACCTAGGTCTGCCTGTTGATGATGATGATCAATCTGTGAACTCAAATGGTTGTGGTGCCTTTGGCTCCTCCAGAGCAGCCTTGTTGCCTTTAGAGTTGGTCACTGGTGATTTGACGGCAGGCTTCTCCTTTAACAACCAATTGCTCAGGCTCAGAAGGTGTGTTGTCCTTGAGAACAACAATACCGAGAGTGTGGCTCTTCTTGATTGGTGTGTATCTAGAGTCATCAAACACCACGTACTGCAATTGCTTTGGTGTGATTCTGGCTGGGTTGTTCTTGCGCTCAAACGTTGGCTCTTCCTCCTTCTCTTCCTTCTCCTTCTGCTCCTTCTCTTTCTGCTCCTTCTCCTTGTCTTCCTTCTCCTTCTTCTCCTTTTCAATCTCAGAGTCGATGTTCATTGCGGAGCGACTGTGCTGCAACTTTCCCTTTCTAGAGATGGAGAGGACTGCTGTCTCTACCTTTGATGGTGCGTTGGCTGTGGATGGCTTGGTGTCTGGTGGGTAGGCAAACAAGGATGGCTTGCAGTTGGATTTGACACTGAACACTGGCATTTCAAGGTTCTTGTTGACTCCAATTACAGAGGTGGGTGTCAAGGCCAAACCGATAAAGTGGGTCATTGGATACCAGTACCAGAACTGCAGGAATCCAGCAAGTCCAACAATCGCCTGCATGTTCTTGTGGCCGCTTGGGGAGAAGAGTGAAATGGTCGTGTTTCTGCCACCGGCATCAATGATGGCATGGGCAAGGAAGGCACCAAACTTGGACATGATCTCCTCACGTCTGTCTGTGATAAAGCGAACAAACTGCTTCCTGTAGACCTCAGTGTCGGCATATTGCTCCTTTGTCGATTGGATTAGCACCATGGCGATGGCAATTGAGGCACTCTGACGCACCAGTCCAACAGTGTCGGCGGACAGCTTCTTTAGGATATCCAATGCATCACGGTTTCCAGTGCCAGCACATGAGATACCAAGGGCCATGGCTGCTCCATATCGGACGTGGGGATTATATGATTCGGACAACAGTAGTACGGACTTTGGACACTTCTCTGGTTGCTTAGCCAAGACAAAACCTATGCACGTCACTGAGGCTCTTCTCACGGCATCATTTCCATCACTGACAGCATAGTGTAGCAACCTTCTGAGAGCATCATTATTACCAGTTCCACAATAGGCCATGGCAATTGTGTACATACCACCATATCTCAATAGTGGATCCTGTTAACAGTGTTAGTATCATACATTTGGAATGAATCATCACTACTACTGCCACTACATACCTTGTCGGTGATCAATTGTTCAATCAGAGTATCGGCAACCTCCTCCTTACCATACATGGTGAAGGCAAGACCGAGTGCCAAAGATCTGATGATCTTCTCGTGTTGTGTCTCATGAGCGTAGGCCAACATTTCATCGATCGCCTTTTGTGAGCCAGTACCCAACATAACAAGTCCCATAGCTAATCCAGCACCTTCTCCACTGATTGCATCGTCGTGGTAGAGGATACCCTTCAAATCCTCATATATATCTAATTAAGGATATATAGGTAACAGGTTAGTTGTGTGATGTGAGGTGAGATTGTATAAACACTTTCCATCGTTGATACTTTACCATCGTTGCCAGTGGCCATTGCGGCCAAACCAAGTCCAAGTGATGCACCATGATTAAGGATTGGATTGGTGGAGTGAACCTTCTCGGCCAGATATCGGACGACATCCTCACCTTGACCTGCGTGGATCAGACCCAGTGCATAGAGTGCACCAGACTCGCTGTATGGTGTGGCAGAGACAGTTGCGCCTGGCAGGTACAACTTTAAAAGCTCTCTCGACTCCTTGGTCTGGCCACGGTTGATAACACCCAAACTAGCAATGGCTGAGAACTTGGTCCAATGGGTTGCCTTGGACAACCAATCGAGGTTCTCACGAAGGAACACATCCCTGGTGGTGCCTGCATGCATGATTGAGTTGGCAAACAGTGTTCCAGTGTAGAAGATCGCACCCTTGTGCTGTTCTGAAGTTGACTGTTGAAAGAGAGAGAAGTAGTATGTGTTAATGTTATGGATGACCCTAGACGACAAGAACAATTACGTAGTCCCCTCTCCACTTACCTTCATAATCTGAAGAACGTGCATGTCGATGTTGCAGTTTCTATAGAGAAACTCCATGTTGAGTGCTGTAGACACCTCACCAGTGAGGATTGCTCTAAGACGAGTGAGTCTCAGTTGGAAGTTGTCTGCCGAGGATCTAGAATCGATCTCCATCTTATCACCTGTGGCAATTGTTCCCTTCTCTGCTGGTGCAGCGGCTGCAGCACCTTCACTCTGAGGTAGGAGCTTCCTAACATTGCCAAGCAAATGCTGAGATGCGTTCTGGAGTAAATCAAATGCGATTTGATAGGAGAGCAACAATGAATCCTATGATATTGATGAAGATATATATATATATATATTAAAGTTAGTGATTGGACAGTAGTGGTTGATTGTTGCGTGGATACATACATCATCCTTCTTTAAGAGTGTCAAGAGTATGGTGGCAATCTGTGGGGCATCACCCAAGAAGATGAGACATTGGGAAATGCTCGAGTAGTCTGGTCTCTCAAGAGTCAGGTACAACTTGACGAGGATGGCCAACACAGCCTGACGGAAGGTCTTGTTGGAGACGATGGTATTACATATATTGAGACAATAGCTGAGCATCGATTGTACGTTGCCAGATTGAGCAATTGATCTCTCAATGATGTCCAATCTCTTGGACTCGATGGCAATGCCCAATGCTTGTTTGTATGATCCCTCCCTAATGCATCATGAGTGGTGGAGGTGTCAGTAAATAGTTTGGTATTGACTGTCTGACATTATGTGAACACACTTAAAACATCTCTCAAACATTCCCATGACAATTGCCTCTAGTCTTGGATCAATGGTGGCAGCAGACTGATTTCTAAGCTTGATATACTCGTCGATGAATTTGTCTATGTGTAGGTAGGATATCAATGATGTGTCAGAATGTGGAAAGACAATGATAATTGATGTTCTAGAACACTACTACTCCAACATACACAAGATGCTTTCAACGTATTCGCTCTTGGCAAGAACATTAAACAGCTGTCCAGATGCAAGGGCATAGGACATTGAGTTCTTGAAATCACCCAAATGATAGTACACCTTGGAAAGGACCAATGATGCAAGCTCATGTTGAGTGAATGTCTTTTGGTCTGAAAGATTCTTACTGTTTGTTGTTGTTGTTGTTGTTGTTGGTTAGAATCGATATGATTGCATTGCTGCTACCAACTAATACAGTGGCTGATACAATACATCTTGGTTATTGATGTGGCAACCTCTGGCCAAAACTCATCGACCACTGTGTTGAGCTTCTCTAGAGCATATGATTGGAGTTCAACCTGTTCCTCTTCGAGTAGTGCAAGGTAGTTTGATGCAGATGTCAACACTCCCATTCTGTTTTGTACTATGTATTTAGGTATGAATAAAATAAGAAAATAATATATATCTTTGTTTGTTGTAATAAGGAATAGAATAAAGTGTGTGTAATTAAATTGTGATGATTGATGTTCACTCTGTGATTGGGAAGTGTGTGGTGATCATCAAATATTATTTCAAAAGAATTTAAATCAATGAGATGGAAGTTCAAATCTCCACCTGCAAAGATAAGTAGTAAGGATGAAAGTCTAGAATGGACCAACGATGTTAACCGTATCGGTAGCTACTGATGGAGCAGCTGCTGTTTCAAGAGAGTGTCCTACCAGACGTCTCCACAATGATGGATACTGAACTAACAACAGCCCCATCAAGTGGCTTCAGATGGTGGATTCTCAATCAAACAATGAGCAACAGGGAGCATCAATGATTGATTGATGTCATGGTTGTGAAGGAATCCACCAGGACGTTTGATATACATGGGAAACATTGGTTCATTCTTTAATGTTCAATATTTATCGCTATTTGATTGATGGGTTGATTGATTGATTGTACTATACTATAGTTGGTGTATGATGTTGATGATGAGGATCATAATTATAAAGATGAAGATCTACAGTGGGTTGAGCTCATCATCGATGAGATCAAACTGCAACTGAGTCTTGGTGTCAACACTGTTGACCAATGGTGAAAAGCTGAGAGTGGATGCTGATTTGTAAGCATATGTGTCAATGTTGTTGGTTACTGCTGGGAGGACATTATTAAGATTGTGGTTCGCCTTCTTGTTGAACTCGACAAAGAAATCGGTGCTGCCTCTCTCTTTGGAGTCGCTATTTGTACTATTGTTGCTACTACTGTTGCTACTACTGTTGCTGCTGCTGCTGCTTGATGCCTCATCATTATACTCGCCCACAATAGGGATCTGCAATGTCTTCTTTAGAAGCAGCGATGAAGAGTCTTGTGTCCATATCTTGTTCACTCTCTTGATATCTGCAACCTGTTGTTGTTGTTGTTGTTGTTGTTGTTGGTAGTAGTACATTTGTAAGAAATAAGCTAGTAATGGTATAAAGTGATCACTCTATTCATTCCTGCATACCGATGAACCATATTTAATTGCTAGCCCTTGAAGGGTATCCTTCGGTGTAAGATGATGTGTAATACATTTAAAACTAGCCTGCTCCTTCTTTGATGATGGCAAGTCACTTGTGCTCTGGTCCTCCATCATCTTGTTGTTACACAATTTATATAAATATTTATACCTATTGTAAATAAATAGGATCAGTTGTTTTGTGACTTGTGATTATTAGTGATTATTACAACACACCCAGTTTTGTGTCGAAAGACGATCACCCCTCTTTCGAACAGCAAAGCAACTCACAGGTTTGATTATTCCCAAAAAAATCGCCCAATGTTTTGACAGGTTGTCCATGTTTATTGGTCTTCCGCCGATCGCCTGACTCTTGGGAGGAACACTCTGTCTTTGCTTGACATCCTTTGACGTCTCTTCTCCATAAACTTGTCCAACTGACCCTTTTCCTTGAGTTGTTTGTACTTCTCTTTGATCTCGATCTCTTTGAGTGCTGCTGGCTTGAGATAGAAAGGTTTCTTTCCTTGTCTGACACTCTCGACCTCCTTCTGCTCCAACTCCTCCTGGAGCTTCCTGCGCTTGTCCTTCAGAGCCTGAGAGGCCATCCTGGATTTCCTCGATTGTATTTCGTACTCTAGAAGCTTTCTTTGATGTTCATCTTGGGTAGACTTCAATTGTTTTGTCATTTGGCTGATATCCTTTTGGACCACCTGATCGAGGAAGCCATACTTCTCTCGGTAGAACTTCTCATTGAATTGTCCTCCCAAGTTATCAAATCGTGGGTCCCTGGCAACAACCTTCTTAACCTGAACCACCTGTTTATATCTTGATACTGGCACTTTGGCTGTTACCTCTACAGGTCTATATATAGGATGTGGATGTAAGTAACTACTATTCACTATAGTTGACAGTCACTGTCTCAAGTGGAGCTCCAATGTTTGATACGCACGCATCTTTGTTGTCTCGCTTTGTGGAATCTCTCTTGAGTTTGTTTAGTTGTTGCTTATTCATTTGTGTTGGCTGTTTCTTGAGTAGTTGTTGTTGCTGTTGCTGCTTTTGACGTTGAAGTTGGTGTGAATGTTCTTCTCTCTGTTGCTTCTGTTTATGTTTCATTTCCATGAGCATTCCAAAAGGTACATTTTGTAATTGCTTCTTTATCTCTTCTTCTTCTTCTTCATCACTGTGATCATCATCTTCTTCGTCTTCACTGTGATTATAGGACTCTTCTTCATCATCATCATATATTCTTTCGTCATCCTCATACATCATCGTTTTGTTGTTGTTATCGTATTCTTTGTTTACTATCACTGTGATTGACAAGTCTATGAAAGTTAAATGCTCGTTTTTTAGGTTTAAGCTTCACATTGTTAACTTTTACTGAAAGATATGCTTGCGTATACAAGACTCCTACAACAACAGTATAAGCTACTGGGAGGAGGTAGCAAACTATACTGCTATGTTAGATACTATTCTTCAACTACAGCACCAATTGTGTTTATAGACAAGCTTTTGGAGGGATCGAAATACAACAATAACAATAACAACAACAACAGCAACAATAACAATAACAATATCAACATCATCAATTACATTATCCAACCAAATGAAAAGAACCAAAGTACAGAGGCACAACAACAGCAGCAACAGACTCAACAATCTCCTCTACAACAAAGTCCTCATTTAAAGCACAACTCTTTCTTACAATATCTTTCTTCGGCAACACCATATATCGTTACAACCTCTCCCGATGACACAGACTTCTCGATATATCATCCAAATCGTGTGCATCCACCTCTTGACTCTTCCTCTACTTTGCGAAAGCGACTCTTTAGGATTAAGGAGGTCAGTGCGAATGGTTACATCAGAATACGGGATGCTCTCCCTGAAGAGAGTGCATTCATATATATGTATGAGATCAAGCGAGCGCTCAACAACAATACCAGCTTCAACCTGTCGTAAGTTTGTCTCTATTGCACCACCTCATTGTTGTTCGAACAGCTTTAAACTAACAGAAACACATCAGATTCTTCCTTCAGCGTAGGAACTTAAAGAAACTAACCAAAGATACAATGGATAAACTGTTTGCTTCTATTCTTGATATTCCTTTGTACAATGTCCAGATATGCAACGCATTCATGGCAACATACATTGAAGTCCACAATTGCTTGGAAAAGGCCATCGACATCTGGGCAATGATCAAAGAGAGGGTGCCAGTGGCCAACCACTATCTTCCAATATCAACACTTATTAGAGCTTATATGGATAGAGACGACCAACAATCTTTCGATAGACTCATGCAAGAGGCCAAGGACACGGGCGTAAACATGGAGACCATTCATTTAGACATCATATCATTCAATGCTAGAAAAGGTCATCTGGACTCTGCTGAACAAATCGCCACAACAGGAATCCAGTCCCGGATCACCAAAAACATACTCCTATCGTTTAACATCATGTTGGCACACTATATTAAGCGCCTGATGTACAAGGAGGCTTATGTCATGATGCACAAGCTGATCAACAATCGTAGTCCACCCATTTCACCAAACGAGGACACATATCGACCAATACTTGGATTGATCCGCCACCAAATCAATAGACCACAAAACAATCGATCCGACATTAACATGGACACAGAGCACATTAATGACCTGGTGTCATACCTGGACACAATGGTCAGTCACCCAACCATCTTTAGACAGTTCTCTCGTTCAGAGTTTGACAGTGCCTTTGTTTATGCCATTACTAGAAAGAGAAACACATTGTATGATATTCTGCTGAAGGAATACGGTCAGACCTTCAAGCATAAGACAAACTCTCGACTGTTCAAACAATACTTTGGACGCCAAATACAACAACGAACTGATCTTTAATAAAGATTATTGGTGAAGCAGAAGTTAATTGATACCATCGTCTTGAGTTATTGTTGTGTCCATTATATATTTGCCCATCGTTGACTGGTAGTCGTCTTGAGTTGGTTGGGACTCAACTTTGAGAGCGTTTGTCTCTTGTGATTGTTGTTGGTCCACTGTTTCTGCTGCCTGACTAGTGGTGATAACCTCTTCGGTCAAGTACTGTTGTTCATTCTCTGGGAAACTCTTGCCAATGGTGTCAATATCCAGTACGTCGGAGGAGTTCAACAGTGCATTGGGTTGTTGGAGTCGAACCAACTTTCCGTGCAGCAACTTTGCGCCATGCATCCAGAGCTTGATCTCCTTGATTGAATGCTCTTTTTGCTTTGCCAAATGGTTCTCCAAATTGACAATCTTCTTGTTGAGTTTCTCCACCTCCTCGTCGTGCTCCTGTGAGCACTTCTGTACATAGGCCTGAATGGTCATCTTGAACATTTCAAACTCATCGCACTTGTCCTTTAGTTGTCTTTCCAGTGCAGATACATGTACAGTTTGATTCTGAACAGTTAGAACCAGTCCTTGATTCTCCTTGGCGAGTTCCTTTTGTTGGATTGACTCTTTGGTGAGTAAGACTTTGTGTTGCTCCAGATCATTGGCAAGTTGGACAATCAGCTCCTCATGTCCATTACAGGTATCTGTACGTAGTTGTTGTTGTTGTTGCTGTTGTTGTTGAGGGAGGCCAAACTTGGATATCTCTGATCTAATGACCTCTGCAATGTCAGACTTCAATTGTGTGTTGACCTTGACGTCAAAATCTCCGTTCAATGCTTTCTTGCAGTTGTGTAGTCGTTTTCTCAACTTGTCCACCAGTTCTTTAAGACTATCAATGGATTCCTCCTCTTTCTTGTCGATAGATGATGCGATCGTAGTTGGAATATTCTTTGGGATTGAATTCGATGGTGCAATATTGATTGCGTTCGCCATTGTAGTAGTTGTGGTTGAGGTTGTATCCATTGTGTTTGATGCGTCTGAGCCGGATGAATCAATTTGTTCAACCTCCTCAGGGTTGATTTGTTTCTTTTGCTTCTTTACAACCTTTTCCTGTGCCCCGGCGGTAGTAGTGACACTTGTGTTGACTCTTGTTTTGTCTTTTGAACCAACGGACCTCGTTGTGTTACCTTTTATAACCTAAATAAATATATGTTAGTTCAGTTTATGATTACCATCATTAATCTAAAGTGTACTCACATGGGTGCTCTGGAGAGGTCTTGACTGAGTGTTGGAGTTAACTGGAAACTTCATCCCAAGTTTGGCAGTGTAGGTGCTCTCAGTTGTGGGAAATGGGGAGGTTGGGAAGATAACTGCAGTTGTGGCGTTGCCACTGAATGGTGGTTGAACACTTGGTTGCGGTAGTTGGGCTTGGTTGAGTTGGGTTTGATTCTTGGATTGACATTGGAGTGATTTGAATTCCTCAAGTTCTTTTCTAAGAACATGAATTACTTCAACCAGTGATCCAATGTTAGTGGTCTCTGTTTGTTGATGCTTCTGCATGTCTACCATGATTATGGAGTTGTTATCCACATTGTTATCAATCTGACCAGGGTCGGAATATGTAACCAGGTTCATTGGGAGATCAACGTGTTGCGTCACCGTTTGTTGTTGAATAAGAGTGGTGTTCACAGGGTCGGGAAGGACTAGAGGAGCTGGCGATTGCGTTGGGGGAGTAGGTTCATTGGGGAGAGGTTCATTAGCAGGTGCACATAGTAGTACGGTTTGGGGCGCCTGAGTATTCGTTGGCTGTTTCTGTTGGTTGGATATTGGTTCGTTCGAATGTTCATTGATAGTCAATGTCGTGATGTTTCGGTGGGACACTAATGGATTGCCGTTGAGCTTCAATGACTTTGTTGGTGATTTCGCATTTGTAGTGTTATTGTTGTTTGTGTTTGTGTTGCTAATAGTCAGGATTTGGTTCAGCTTTGGTTGAGTTGGGGCAGATATGGTTGTCGTAACTGGTTGTATAGGTGAGACTATTTTTGTGATTGCTGTTTGTGGTTGGAGAGATGGCTTTGTTGGTGACGATAAAGAGGACTTCATAATTGACGGCTTCTTGAGAGAAATTAATGTGCTGGTTATTGACATAATAGAAAAGAATTGAATTGAGTGGTGGAGTGTGAATGGACATCAACTTATGCATTGCCAAAGCTTTAAATCATTGATTTCTAAGAAAATTCATTTTTCAAGAAGTCTTCTGCACTAATAACATAATGTAGATAGATATATTATAAAGATAACCAGCGACAGCTTAATCACTGTGTATGAGTTTAAAAAGAAGACAGATAACCTCTTACCCATCGATTCAATCTGAGAATAAAGTGCAGCTTGTGTCGTTGTAAATGATGATCCAACCAATGTAATCACCATTCCATCAAACAAATTTGCACTAGCATCCTCATTACTAGCATCATCAGATGTTGACAATTGTCTCTTCTTTGGTGGCATTCTTCTTAAATAATATTAATTATTACTGGGATGCCCACCTCATGTCGTTTCAGTTTGCAATCAACCACTGGGTTCTCTCCATTCTTCGCGAACTATGGCTATGAACCAAGTACTCCGCTGTCCATAACCTCGCCGGTCACGAAGACCGCCGAGCAACACATCAAGGCCATCCAGACGTATCATGCTGCAATCAGAGACAACATACTCAACAGCTCAACAGCAATGCCCCAACTCCCACGGAGTTTGAGGTCAGCCAGAAGGTCATCATCATAGCAAGTCATTCCCAAGCAGCTATGAACTTGTTGGTGATTGTTGGATGCAGGACAAATGCTTTATGGAGAAGTCGTAGATCAATCGTGAGTCGGTTGAACGAATCGAATTGACTACCTGGTTCGAGGTAGAGATAGAGTCGTTTCAATGAATTGTGTTTGCACAACACATCAGGAAGCTCATCACTGATGGATACACAGTCAATAAGAATGGTCAACTCCTCCAGACATTGGCAGTGCTCGATTACATAGATCAATTGTTCATAACAATGATCAGAGGCAATTCCCGAGCTCCAAACCAAACATTTGACATTGTTGAAGGATTGAAGCACCTTGTTGCGTTGAACTGTGTCTATAAACGAAGAATTGCCAAGAAGAGTGAAGCCATATTTGATACGTTTCATCGGTTTGGTAAGTGGTGTCGCTAGTTGATGGTCCAAATGGATCTCTAGATCGGTGACATTGATGTCGGTTGAGTCCAGCAAGAGTTGCCAAAGCTCTGCCAGGTGCTCGCTCTCTTTGAATTTATCTAGACGAAGATTTCTCAATGACGTTTGCTGCTTTAGGTATCGAATTAGAAAGGGAATGCATTGGGGGAGGGCGTCACAGTCGTCATTTTGTGACCACTGTCTGTTACTGTAGGGCTCAAGACCCAAATGATGAAGGGACTTCAACTTCAAGATTGATTTGAAGAGCTCTAGATAGAATCTGTCAACAGATGCACGGCTTGTCCTCCATCTTCCACATCGAATAGCAAGCTCAAGCCACGATAGATTGTGGAACCTTGATAGGATGTCCATATTTGGTGAATCAACATGCTCTAAAGAGAGATAGATTCGCAGCCGACACAAAGTGTACGAGATTCTTGATGAAATGTGGAGCAATGTTTGATTGAATTGAGCTGGCTTGATATGTTCCTGACATAGATAGGTCAATGATGGAGCGTGTACTAAGTTTCCAAGGATCCACCAGTTCTGAATGTTGTGACAAGATATGATCTTGATGTTGTGGATGTCGAGAATGGAGAGCATAGGTTGAGTCCACACCTTGTGAATGTTGATGTCGACGGTTTGCAATCCTTGCCACAAGGACCACCGCATCCTCACCTGCGCTAAGTGGCGCAGCAGTTTCTCATAATCCAACATGCTTGCAATATGTTTGTTATGTGTGGCAACATAATTATGAAACAACCTGCTCACTAGGGACAGTTGCAACATGACCTTGTCATTGTAATGTTCCAACCAATCTTGATCGCTTAAATGTATTGCTGACTCTTCTTCATACACTAATAAAAGGTTATGATTTTTTTTGTCACATCCATAGGCCAACTCTGAAGATGCATCTTTAGGGTCATCTGTTGTTGTTGTTGTTGTTGTTGTTGTTGTTGTTGTTGTGCAATTGTTCGTGAGAGGTGTTGTTGTTTCTTTGAGGGTTGTTGGCAAGATGCGATTTATGGTAGTGAATACCGTCCAATAGTTGAACAATTATCTGCTATTGTTGTTGTTAGGATAGTGGGTGCGCGACACTGCTATGTGTCGAATGCCTTGATAAGTATCTGTATTCTGTAACTGTATCTGTATTAATATCTATGGACTCAGTGTAATGAATCTGCAACAATGTGAGCTCAAGTGAGATGATGGTACAAACAAAAGCAGGTCATAGACATTGATAATATTTTCATTATCGAGAGAAATGAATGCATCAACACTGCATCCAGGTTCAGATAGCATCCGGATCGTACAACTTGGTCTATTCTACTCTGTACAACTTTGGGCCGCTGCCGTGTACATTGTAATTAGAAGTTATATATGGAATAACAATTGCCCTCATCATGAAGAAGGTGATTCTGTCCCATAAATGTCACCCAGGAGAAGTTGATATGGAGACATTGAATCGATGTCTTGAGTTGGTCCATTCCACCTCTGATACGTTGGTAGACTCCCCAGTGAGCAGAGCTTCCATTGGGCAAGTTGTAGGTCAGAGCCTGAAGAGAGGTGGGGTGGTTGGCCAGAAGCTTGATGTGCTCCATAAAGGTGCTCTCCTTTGCGCCAACAAGACTGCAGATGTACATCGTCTCAATATGATTGTTGAACAGGACAGACTCGACAAAGTCTCGTGAGAACGGGATGTCCAGGAACGACATGTGCAGAAGATGGACATTTTTAGATCGGAGCAGCTCGTTGATCAGACCGCCAAGGCCTTGCGTGACCCCAACGAATAGCGCCTGTAATCTTGACCTCTGTATGAGCTCAAAGAGCTGCTTACGTGCATTGTCCCTGGCGGGCTGGTAAATGTGGAATCCGAAACTAGTTAGCTGATCCAGGTTGCGGGCGAGGAGCTCTGCCAGTGGTGCCAGCGATAGTGGTCTCTCGTGAGCTGAAGCTATCCCAGGTGTAGCCTTTCCTTCCTCCGTCTTCGGCGCCGGCGGGATAGCCCTCGCCGCGAGTCACTTGTTTGAACTCAAACGCGACGAGGTGTCTGTGCATCTCACAGACCGAGTCGAGCACGCTTCTGGTAATCGATGCCAGGTCGTCTGTGATTGCACAATGGATGACGTAGGCTTCGCGGTGGGGATTCACTGAGCTGAGTAATGTGTCATGACAAGACGGATCGGACCTGAATGCCTCTGTGTCGGTGATGGACAGCTCGCAGAGGATGGAATGCCAGCGATAGCAGTACAGACTCAGATTGTGTATCTTCAACGTGCGTAGTGTACTATTGTCGACTGGGCACTGCTGGTGATCGAGCGGCTGTGCAAAGGCAATGTCAAGATGTTCGACAAGGGCGTTGTTGTTGAGGAAGCGTTCGAGGTTGTGCTCCACATAGTGGACGCAGTGGAGCCGAAGCGACTTGAGTGTGGCATGGTGCACCATGCTCATGGGAAGCAGGCTCTCACCCTGGAACGTGCGTCCAGACTCTTGGGTCACAGTGATGTCGAGGCTCAACAGCGAACCATAGCCTGTGATGATGTGCTCGTAGATGGCCGGCTCAATCGAGACAATGTGCATGCAGAGATGGGTAAGCGTGTCGGAAGCAATGGCCAGGTCAAAGTGAGGGGGAACACTGCGGCCAAAGCCACCAGCTCGGTAGGCTCGGAGCTTCTTCACTCCAAACTCGTGCAGCGTCTGCTGTAGCCTCTGTGATTGCATAGGACTGTAGTTGAGCAGGTCCAGCATGTCAACATTGTCATTACTGGGGGGATGCAGTTGTCGCAACAGAGTCAGCTCTGCCACAAGGTCCGTAGAGGCGCCACAGTGATTGAAGGTAAAAGAGGGACCAGTGTGTGCGTAGCCCGAGAGTATCAATGCTGACAACTCGAGGGCGGTCAGGGTATGTTCTTCAGACGATGGAAGGTGGCTGTAGTACTGCTGGATGGAGTCGACGTAGTCAGAGAACTTCGGTGAGGCAATGAGCGCACGGAGACAGTCGACCCTGCTTTTAAGGAACGAAGAGGGCATGGAGAGCAACGAGATCTTTGATTGTTGTAGGCGGTAGCCTCGTTGAAGAGTTTAAACTGACCAATGGACTCGATGTGGACCAAAGGGAAGTGCAAGCCGCGCTTGAAGACTCCTGTTTGGTTGAGGTGTCTTGAGATGAGCTCCACATGACCGATCCACGTGTAGAGTTGACGAAGCGTGTCTCGAGTGCAGTTATGAACACCGTAGTATCCTGATGGTGAACATCTTCTTAGGTATTGATCCAGATGCTTTGCGAATATCTGAAAGATCAGCTGTAATGGTAGATAGTACCCAAAATCTTTATCCATTGTTGTGCTCGATGTTCTGATGTTTGAAAGGAATGGATAAACCTTGATTCTCAAGGTGGGTTGGAGATTTCGTTAATCTATTAAATCTTTCTGAGTCATATTGGCGTGACGAGATCCTACACATATGACAAAGAAAAGGACAAACACCTGATCAAGTTCTTGTCGTGATGAAGCAATCAACACCACAGAACAGGCCAAACTGGATACACGTAGTCAAAGGTTGAGGAAGGCCAAGAACAGTTCTCGATGCATAGAGGTACCTTGGACGAGCTTGATGGAGTATCATCAATGGAGGACATCTGTAACTCACACTCACACTACTGTCTGAGGGTCATCACCGCGGTCATATCATTTGGACCATTCATATTAGTTTGGCCAAGTCTAGATGCTACTCGATAAGTGGTTTCCAACCAACAAGGGTCGCCCCAGCATCGATGGCTTAAGCGATAGCTCCTTTACTACACAAATTGTTCATTGCACATCGGCAATCCAAAAGTGATGAAAGTTGAGTCCATGTTGTGCAATGACGAGCCTAATCATGGATGGAGGGATGCCAACAGCGAGACATATCCAGAGACTTTAGCAGTGCTGTGTCGATGACTTTGTGGAGTACGTCGACACATCGACTTTTCCAGAAATGCACTGTCCTCTATGAGATCGTCTTCGTTTCTATTCATATCCAGCCGTTCTGGATAGATACAGTGTTAGTCTGTCAGTCAGACAGTTAGCGCGATGAGATGAGTGTATGTGTGATCACTTCTTACCAACGACAAAGATTTCAGTTCGATAGAGGGTTGGCGGGTGACGATACTTTGTGGAGATGTCAAGTGTCGCCTTGATGTTCCATCCGTACACCTATGACTTGTCTTGCCACAGGCTATCGATGAAGGATGCGACCTATCGTCATGTGTTGTCCAAGATCGATACCAAAATTGATAATCCAGCTCGTCCAAGTAAGTGAATTTATATGATGAACTTGTTATGATAAGTCGCCGGGTCTCCACATTTGGGTGCTTGGGCATCGTCCACGAGGAAGGTGTCCAGAATGGCAGTGGCGTATAATAGTTTGCCCATCTCCAGAAGAACTTGAGCAGGTGTTTGTCCTCTCCTTGTCATAAAATTATGTAGGATCTCGTCACGCAACTTTAGTCGGGTCGCCAGAAGCGCAACAACAGTAAGGTGGCAATTGTGTGATGGAGTCTAGACTAGCTTGAGCAATATTATCAACAAACACCTTCATGGCCAGCGAAACATTGCCTCCAACCGACATCAAACTGAATGAATGAATGAATGACGCCTCCATCCTCATATTATAATAATTATAATACACCAACTGGTGTCATGTAGCATGGTCGCAAGAGTCTGTTAACTTAGTATATAATGTATATATGTGTGTATGTAAGTTGAATGTATATGTATTTATTATAAGTATGATTGAAATGATAATGGTTTCGAATCAGCACTGTGCAAGGTATTTGTAGGTGTGACAATACGATGGGAGAGCATTTATTTATGGTTTGGCCTTTAGGGATCCAGATTGTTGTAGATTACGA